TTGGATGTATCCATGTCTTTAGTTTTAGATACAACAATTTATAGTTATGAATCTGAATTCAATTTATTTAAATTTTATGGGTGGGCCATAGGGGGCCAAAACTTTTTAGGATGGGCCCTCTGACACATTTCTGGCACCGCCACCGATTATAACCATAACATATTTTATGATCTTGTCAAAAGAATCTGGCTAAGGTAATAAGCTTAAATACACTTAAATTTACCGTCTATTCTACGGATTTGTTGTCTTGAATCTTGGTTAGCGACTTTGCGGTTAATTGATGTCAATTGAATTGCAAACATTTTAATTTGAGGGCACACTCTAATGTAGTTCTTTATCAGTGATAAAAACATGTTTATTTACTAAGCAACAAGACTTTTTTGGGTAAAGTCCTCAAATAAAGCCAAGAGTAGCAGATGTAATATTAAAATCAATCAATATATCATGCGGCACTTAATTTTGGGGATGTATTTTTTTGTGGTTTTAGCTTCAATGCAAAGCTGAGAAAGTATTTTTTTTACATGATTTGCGGTTTTTTTGTTTGTCTGTAAATACGATAACTTATTTTCTCTGGACCGATTTACTCGAGTAGCAATTTTATATATTCGATTGGTACTATTAACCATAGTGGGTTAAAGTAGAAAGAGGCAACCGATATTAAAGTGTCAAAATTAGACTACTAAGGATCGACGAAAGCATAAGAATGAATTTTCTCGTTGCCTTACTAGGTTATTTTACATTGACCCACATTAACTTTTCCCGTAATTGACTAACTCTCTGCATCTACCAGTGATAAAAACGTGTTGGTTTACAATTCAACTTGATTATTTTTTGGGTTTAAGTAACAAATGCAGCCATTAGTGGCTGATGTAATGTTCGAATAAACCAATAATGCATACGGTATTTATTAATTCTACAACGATGTGTGTTTTTTTTTGTGTCTGTAAACTAGCTGCACTGGCTTAAACTCTTAACTCACTGGCTTGGTTTGAACTGTACTGGTTTTTTATCTTCATAAGCTTGGTTGAGTTGCTCTTTAAACTGTTCGTTTTCTTGTTGTTTCAATCATATAATCTCGTTTCAAAATAATCGTCGGTTTATTATTAACATTAACATTATCCCACATTCACTTTTCCCGTATCCGACTAACTTGCTGCTTGTACATCCAGGCTTTTGAGATTTTTGGCTAAAACCGGATTGACATTGGATTTTATCTTGGTCAGCGACGCTTCTGCTTGAGTTGCTGAAATACTTAAAACCTCAAGTTATTGCTAAATTTATTCTACTAATAGTTTTGCAAATGCTTATCTACGGAAATGTTTTTTTGGATTATCAGATGAGATCCGATTCACACCGGCCATTGGGTTTGGTTAGCAAAAGCTACGGCTTGAATAGCCCAAGTTAGTATTTGATTTGTATTTAGATGAAAATTGATTTTTGATTAAAAAAAATTACTCTTTTATTGTTTCGTGGGCAAACAAAGTATTTGTCCATAAGGTTTCAAAAGATATGCAAATTCTGATTTCACCAACAGATTCATTATTAAAATGTTAAGTTTTTGGCATCATCATTAACAATATCTATGTCCCACATTAACTTATTCTTTTAAATTAGTCGTTCGGACTAGTAGTATTGTTATAAAATACATCGAAAGTAACGGAAAGTAAATGGAAAAAAAATTAAATAACTATTGTTGTTTCAAAAAATGTAGTAGGTAAAGTGGTCGTCTCACTTCAATATAGGAATCAGCGACACTGATTTTGCTTACAAAATAGTTTAATACATTTTAATAATTTTTAAACATTATCCACAGTATAAAACAATTTTTGTTAGTTTTTGTATTTATTGTCAAGCTAGATAATTAGATATTGTAAATTGTGGTTTATAATTATTGCTTCGTAAACAGTAATGTAAACTATTATTTAACTCAGCCAGACGCATATATTAATCTTGTTCTTATAGCATTGAATTTAATAATTTAATTTCAGTTAATTTCAGTACTCATTACGCCTACTTTAAATCTATACAGCTAGCTAATGTTTTCCCTTCAAAATGTGCAACGCTAATATCTCAAGTCATGAGTGTATGTTGGGAAAAAATATAAAACTATACTGATTTGTTCGAAATAAGCGAGCAGTAATCGAGTTACATATACATAAAAGTCATACCACGAATACGCGCTTTATTCAATTTGATTTACCTAAACTTCGCATAAGAAAAGCGGGCAGTGTCCATTGACATGTCGTAACCGTATGTCGAGAACACGCGCTTTTAATTAAACATTTTATTTTGGCCTCAGTCGTCAATGTGAAAAATAAATAAAAAACGGTTTTGGTGTATTTCACTTGCAATTACACAAAGGCCATTTTGCACACTCGGTTGTCGACATTGTGAAATGCCAAATTTAACCTATTGCTACATAGTTATGTCGAACGAGTAAAACCAACGAAAGTCGAAAAAGATATGTATATATATATATATATATATATATATGTTTAATAGCTTAAGCTGTATAGAGAGAGTATGATTTTATAACATTTTTTAACTATAATCCCACGTAGCCCTGAACACCATAATTTTCAGTTTGCCAGATATTTTAACAAAATGTTTGAATAAAATCAAAGTTATTGTATTATTATGAGCTAAAGCTATACAAATTAATAACTCTATATTTTTAGGCTTCTTAATTATTTATACCTTACTCTAAAAGTATAAAGTAATATACATATAAATTATTTTATACAATGCTATATGGATAAAAAATATATATTATCTGGTGTTAACTATAATAATCATTGTTATTCTTATAATAATCATTATGTGGTCGGATTCCATAATATCTTCGTCGTACCACATATACTTCCCTTCTTTTATTATTACACACATTTAAATTTTAGCATTTCTTTATTATTATTTTTATTATTTTACTTACTAAAACCAGGGGCAGATAGGCCCACCGGGATACCGGACAAATCTCGGTAGGCCCTCCTCTATGTAGGTTTTTATTTTTTATACACTATTACAGTGTTCGCTACTCAATACTTATAAATATACACAGGGCGGAACCAATATGTAATACCTCCTAAGAAATAATAATTTTATAGATAATGGAAATTAAACTAAATACTAAAAAAAAGCCAGTATTTTCTGATAAAATCACTTTTAAATAAACGCTCCGATGCAAATCTATGGATAGTATGTTCAAACCAGTTATAGCGGTTTAGAAGATATCGTGGAACCTAAAATGTACTTAAAATGTTATGTTTAGTCTTGTGCAGGGTGGATACGATAAGGGTTGATCGTCTGTCTATAAAAATGTACTGTCATAGTTACCCATATATCGTAATTAACAATATAATGAAAATATTTTCATTACCTGTTGACTGTTGATTCACTCACACACAGCAACCTAGAAACTGACTACGGCCAAAGTGTAAATTTACCCTATTTTAGGAGTTTTTCTTAATAAAAAAAAAAATTTGACTACAGATTTCTGATATATTTGCTGTTTTTGTTATAACTGTTTTTGTCGTTTTTTCTGTATTTGGGAAAATCGGAAATGTGTAAAAAACAATGTTTGGACTGTGAAAAACTGGAATTGATAATTAAATTTCAACAAGTAACGATTAAAGACCTGACAATGGCTTTAGAAAATGAAAGACAATCTAAAGACCAGAACAAAAAATTAACCCTTAATAAATATAATCGTTAAATAATATATAAAGGATTATAATGTAATCCTTAATAAATATATAAATACGGCTTCACCGTATTGTATAATTTGTAAATTGTATAATATAATATAATTTTATAATAGACAATTTACCTCTTTCGTCATTTGTAATTTCCGTAAGGTCATCCCAGTCATCAAACATATTTTGGCCTATCGACTTCCACGTTAAAGCTTTAAAAATTTTGTTATGGTAGTTAGTACTGCCTGTATCCCAATATGCATGGATTTGACTCAATTTCAGTTATACATAATTCAAAATAGAACATGTTTTGTTTTTAAATAAATATATTTTCAAATATAAATTAAATATAAAAATGACAACACTCATAAATCTGACGCATATTTCTTTGGCCAACAAGTAATTTTTTTTTAGTATATGAAAAATCTAAAATCATTACTATTCATTTTTGAATTTGTATAATTAATAGCTTTACTTGAAAAATCATTTATAGTTGTAATAACGCTTATTAATCATTACTTTTCAATTTTAAAGACAAAAAAATATAATTTAAGTCAAGGAATATTTTTTTTGGGGGGGGGGCTAAATTTTAATTAAGGGTCGAAGCCCCCAACCCCTTCCCCTACTGAGTCCAAAGCGGATAAAAAATATAAACATTAATCATTTCATAATTATAATTAAAATGATTAATGAAATCGTAATTACACATGAATGATTAATGAAATCATGATTACAATTACATGATTACAGTAATCATACCTACATGGTTACTTTTCTGATTATGATTACATTAATCTAACACTATGATTACTGATCACAATTATTAATCGTAATCGTTAATCATTTATCAGTTTACAATTTGCCTAAAACTGTTTTGTTCTCGGTGCAAGTATTACCAGTTGTTTTTGTACAGTTGTACCCAACACAAATTTTCATCATAGATTTTGGAAACAGTTCGAGCCTAATACTCTCGTGTAGCTATAAAATGACCAAATCAATGCACTTTGAAGTTTGCAAATGTATTGGCGTTTTTGTCGAAAACAACTTGAGCGACAAAAAGTACCGTTTCACTTTCCATATCTCAACTATTTAATATGCCGTTAAAATGAATACCAATTTATATAACAATTTATAGATGGTCTAAAGTTAATTTCAAGAAAATACATGATAACTGTACGTAGTCCGATAAACAAAATATCGGGCATTTATCAATCCCGGCCTAGGTTTCCCTTCTGGTTATTCTGTGGACGATGGACTGTTGTTATCAATATTAAATTCAAAACAACAGCTACTTCTGCTCGTTGTTACCGGCTGCATCCGCTGCGGAGTTCAAGAGTGATTATATTATAATTACGCAGTTCAAACTTCACAGTTCACAATAATATTATTATGGCCAACTCTAACTAACGCTTGAAATCAACAGTTTTTGAACTATTATTTCATTTCAAATAGTTAACGATGTGAAAACAAGCGAAAATCATTTTATAATATTTTAACTACAACCAGATAAGCGGTACGTACAATCTATTTTTATGTATAAACAAGATGATATATTTTGCATTTTGTTCTTTTATTTTTAATTGTAATCAATAATAATTTAGGTATGTTTATTGTAATCACAAATTTTCTCTGTAAAAAAAAAAAAACACTTCGAATTTTATTAGTTCGGGTTTTTTCTTGTATATTTATTTAAATATTAAACAATTTTATTATTTTTGTATTTTTCAGGTGAATTTGAGTTTCAATGGTTGAATTTATTTAATTAAAATTTTTATGTTGAACGAACAGTGTTAAAAATGTTAAAGAAAGAATATTCAGAGCATAATTACAATTCCATTTCCGAGGATTATTCTGATCGAAACTCGAGAAAATATAATTTTACAAGAATTTGTGTCATATTAGCTACTGCCATAATAGTTGCAGTTTGTTTATTTAAATTTGTCAACCACTTCAGGATAGCAAATGAAGAAGAATCTGTTATCATTGCCGAATCAAATATCCTCAGCAAAAATTCTTTGTACGACTACAATGATACTTGCGCTGTAGTATCAGATGACTTTAAATTTGATTGCTTTCCCCGTGGAAAATCAGATCAACAAAGTTGTGAAGAAAGGAACTGCTGTTGGGCTCCTACTGGTAACGATTCTGACTCGCTTGTGCCATGGTGCTATTACCCGACAAACTATAACAACTACAAAGTAGTAAATATAACACAATCAAGAAATGGGCTGATTGCGTATTTTAATTTGTCATCAGAAACAACGTATAAAGAAAATATAAAGTTATTATGTATGGACGTATCCTATCATACAGCTCAAAGATTACGCATCAAGGTAAGATTTTTAATTCAATCGATAGACGATACATGTATAAATTGGTACGCTTAAAAACCATGAACTTGATTTGAAATAATGCTTTTATCTCTAACACTATGCCTATAAGAGTATTATATATTATTCAACTATTTTTTTATTTGAAGCTATAGTTGTCTGGTTTTTTGTTTTTATTATATTACATCTAACATATATTTTTATTCCTTGAAGATTTATGATGCTGAAAATACCCGTTACGAACCACCATATCCCGAAATACCAGCAGTACATTTAAATAATAGCAAAATAAATGAACCATTAGTGTCAGATTATGGTATTGTAGTAGCTGAAAATCAACTTGGGTTTGCCGTTGTAAGGAAAATTGACAACGTCACTTTGTAAGACTTTTACGTAAACTAAATTGTTTTTTTTATTTAAAGCAAATCATTTTATTATATTCCAGTGTACATTTTTTTTTATATAATTCATTTTAAATTCATAGATTCGACAGTCGCAATGTAGGAGGTTTTATTTATTCAGATCAGTTTATTCAGATTTCGGCTTTGTTACCTACAAAATATATATATGGCATTGGCGAACAAAGAGCTAATCTTATGCTCGACATGAATTGGAAAATTCACACTTTGTTTAATCACGATAGTCCTCCTACTGATAATGTAAAGTATTTCATATTTTCAAATTAAAAAAAACCTATAAATAATATATATATATGTATATTGTTTTTAGGTGAATGGTTATGGTGCACATCCGTTTTATTTGATGATGGAAAAATCGGGAAAGAGTCATGGTGTATTTTTGTTCAACAGTAACGCAATGGGTAAGTAATGGACATAATTATTTCTGAATCAATTATTGTATTTTATGTTTTTCAACTTGTAATTTAGTATTTTTTTCTATCAGATGTTGTATTACAACCAGCTCCAGCCATAACCTTTCGTACCATCGGTGGAATATTGGACTTCTATTACTTCATGGGCCCGACTCCTGCAGATGTCATTGCTCAATACACAGAAGCTATCGGAAGACCGTACCTACCTCCATATTGGTCTTTGGGATTTCATCTGTGCCGGTAAGTTTTCTTTTAACTATACTTAAAGTATTATTTGACTTAATGATTTTTTTTTTACTATTACAGATTTGGGCAGACATTGAATCAAGTAATTGAAGTACACAATAGAACAATCAATGCGGGAATTCCTTGGGTAATTTTTAAATTACAACTTTTTGTAGGCGATACTTGTACTATGTTGGGATTGAGTAAGTTTTATTAGTATGGATTAGAGAGGATTGATCATAAAAGAGTTTATCAGCTAATTAATAGCAATGAAAATAATAAAATAGATAATTTGGGAATTGTGTCAAAAAAGAGAGCTTGAAAATTGAATTGAAAGTTAAATTATCATAATATTATTTAACACTTCATTTTATTACATGAACTTTTTTTTAGGACACGCATTGGAATGATATTGACTACATGAAAAACAGGAACGATTTCACTCTAAGTGATAACTTCAGCGGACTACCGGGCTACGTAGAATACCTGCATAAAGTAATGATTTATTTTTTCTTATTAACTTAGCCGCAGTAGCTAAGGCCACCATAGGCAATTTTTTTACATAAAACAGGGCATATTTTGTTTAAATAACAAGTGAATAATAATAATTTGAAAAAAATGAGTTATTTGAAATACATTTTTATTTAGCCCATCATAGTTTTTATTTGACATAAATTATTATTTTTTGTTTAAAATAGTTAATTATTTATAATTTAAACAAATAGTTTATTTAAATTTGTATTTGACTGTTTTCCAATAGTCTGTTTTTAAATACATTTAATTTTAATTTTAATTGATATTATTTGAATAACAAATTGTATATTTTTTTGAAAATAAAAATGTATTTTAATAGTTTTTATTTTTTTATAGTTATGAAAAAATTATAGTTATTATTAGAGCTTTTTGAAGTTTATTGATTTTTGATAACTTCTAGATATTTGATTATCTCTAGTGATTTGACGGTATATATCAATTATTCTCCCTATACCTATTGTTATGTATATTTACATATCATGTTTTTTTTTCTAGATAGGAATGCACCATGTTGTTATACTAGATCCTGGCGTATCTTCTCGTGAACCAAAAGGAACCTACCCACCCTATGACGATGGCTTAAAACAAGGAATCTTCATTAAAAATGCAACTGGTCTTCCCTTAGAAGGACAAGTACGTTTCATTTTAAATTAATATTTATCAGTTTAATTGATTTAACTTAAGCTTTATATGACTTTTTTAGGTATGGAATAAAGATGGCGGCACAGTGTTCCCGGATTTTACAAATCCCAAGACTGTAAGTTATTGGATAGATCAAGTGTCAAAATATCACCAAGTCGTTGCATTTGACGGTTTATGGATAGTAAGTTTTGAACAATATACTTTAATTTCAATTTGATCGTTAACTATTTATTAAAAAAATTTTACAGGATATGAATGAACCGTCAAATTTTGTAAACGGAGATTGGCAAGGTTGCATTTTCAATAACTCTGATCACTGGGAAAACCCGCAATATGTACCGGCCATCGAAGGCGGTGTACTAAATTACAAAACCATTTGTATGTCAGCCAAACAACACAGTGGACTTCATTACGATCTACACAACCTGTATGGATTTTCCGAGGCAATAACAACTCAGTTGTGAGTTTGAATAATATTAACTAAAAGGAGTAAGAACTCGTTTTAAGTAGTTTATAATTATTTCAGTGCTTTATCCATCATTACGAGTATGAGGCCGTTAGTTATATCAAGATCGAGTTTTGCTGGGTTAGGTCATTTTACCGGACATTGGACCGGAGACGTGTACTCTACTTGGGACGATCTGAAACAATCTATAACTGGTAAAAACCAATTTCTTTATAAAAAAAAAAGATTTGACTTAATTTAGATTCGTTTTGTAGATATTGTCGTTTTTAACATGTTTGGGATTCCGCTTGTCGGAGCTGACATCTGTGGTTTTAACGGCAACACCACTGTAGAACTATGCTCAAGATGGAGTCAGTTAGGTGCATTTTATCCGTTTTCAAGAAACCACAACTCTGATGATTGTTTTGTAATATTTAAAGACAATTAATTGTATTGTTAAATTATTGCAAGAATTTGAACATTGCTTATTTAAATTTTAGGATCAAGATCCAGTGGCGTTAGGAGCTCTAGTGGTGAATTCGGCTCGCAAAGCATTGACAATACGCTACTCTTTACTGCCGTACTTATATTCTTTGTTTTGGAAAGCACAAATAGATGGTGAAACTGTTGCTCGACCTCTATTTTTCGAGTAAGTATATTAATAATAGCCGTTAAAGCTTTTGATATATATCTGAAAAATTGTGTTGTTGTAATAATGGTTTTTTTTTTTAATCAGATATCCATCCGATGAAAATACATACAACATCGATACACAATTTTTATGGGGCCCCGCTCTGTTGATATCGCCAGTTTTAAAAGAGGTATTTAAATTAATTCATATAACACTATTTACTCGGGCAATATTATATTATTATTACTGATCGTGTAAAATACATTTAGAATCAAGAAGAAGTACAAATTTATTTACCGAATGACACATGGTACGATTATTACTCCAAAATTGCAATAAAAAGTAACGGATCTACGTACACTGTAGCTGCGCCACTAGACACTATTCCACTTTCAATACGGGGAGGTTACATTTTACCGACTCAAGATCCATCTACGACAACTACTTTGAGGTGAGCCCCAACTACAATTTTTTATTGATAAATTATTGTTAAAAACAAAAACACACTTCACCCATTTAGTAGCAAACTACTGATTTTTATTAATTTTGGAAAAATTGGGATATTCTATTTTTATCTTCTATTTATGTTTTTTTTTTCAGTCGAAAAAATCCATTCGGTCTTTTAATTGCACCAAACGTGAGCGGAGAAGCATATGGCTACTTGTTTTGGGACGATGGAAAGTCTTTGAGTAAGTGTTGGATATTATAAATATTTATGTGGCATCTTATGACAAGTGCAACAACTTTTGTCCTAGTTCATTATATTATCTTCATTAAAATTGGAAATTTTGTACTGAAGTTGGTTTATAACTGTCCCCATTCATTTAATATGTATTTAAGGTAGACATTGAAATTACAGTGTTAACATTTTTAAAACATCAGTCAATCATATTTTTTTTATAGTAGGTTTAGTGTAAAAAAATAAATATGATTATTTTTTTTATTTTTATTTTTTTCAAATGATGTATAAATATTGACCAAGATAAAATGACTCATTGCAGCTTACGTCATATCAACACCACGATAGTGTTTAGCTTTGATTTAATCTAATTATTGTTTATTTTCTGAATGTAGATGTATGGGAAAATGGAATGTATAACGAAATACATTTTAAATATCAAAGTTCAACGATAACAGCCGAAGTAGTGACGAGTAACTATCTCGATGAAAGATTAGTATTGCAAAATATTACAGTATTTGGCATTCAAGCGAACCCAACAAGTGTCATTGTCAATGGAAATGCATACCAAAACTTTCTTTACAATAAGACTGAACAAGTGAGTAGTATATCGATGAAATTATTTTAAACTAATAAATTAATCTTTTTAAATATATATTTCAATGTTTGTTTCTTGGGCGTTGCCCAACAGTTAAATATTCAAATATTGGTAAATTTGAATAATTGTTTTTATTTTCAGGCGCTTTACTTTCAAACTCTAAATTTGGATTTATTTACTGTATTTAATATAACGTGGACTTAATACACTACCAATATCAATATAGTAACTACTAGTTTTCTTATATAATTATTACAAATTTAATCTTCGGCAAATGTGTAATTTTTTATTATTATTAATTGATTAAAAATGTGTGTAGTAATAAATTATTCTATGTAATTCCAAACTTATAAAAATTATATATGGTTATCTCTTACTTTTTGTATAATTGTTAATTAATAATTATTGTAAACAAAATATATATATACTACAATAGTTGTATACGATATAAATATAAATGTACGCATTCGTTATTCCACGGAACCAGTTGTCATGTAACTTAAATTTTTTTTTCAAATACTACCAGTCAAGCTTTAGACTACGCTGTTGCAAACTATATGTAAAAAATAAACACAAATATTGTAGGTAAAAAAATATTTAATGAGTAAAAAAATGGCTAGTTGATTTACATACTGAGTGTAAATTTACAGGGTTCGCAACTTTACCGAGGTCATGAAGAACAAAAATTACATCATGTACAAAATTTATACTAAAATACAATACAATAGTTATTATTTATATCACTGAGAAAAAAACTGTATACTTTGCATAATATTAGGAAAATAAACTTCATTGTTGTGATAAAAATGATTTTGCGATTTCTACTTTTAACTGTAAAATATTCACTATGCTTTTTGAACTTAGCATTGGTATTATAATATAGTTAAAATATATTTATATTTTAAAAATTAAATAATAGTTTATTTGTTAGGTTAAATAAATACATTCAACAAAATGCATATTATTAATATAAATAAGTCTGGACATTTTTAGTGTTTATCGTTAATTCATAACAGACTTTTTTTTGTCTTGTTGAGTTTTGCTTAAAAATGTACTATCCAGCTGCTTCTTCAGTGCCGTATGACAGTGTCGTCTATGAGCTATGTTAAATGTTAATTCATATTTTTTAAACCTGACAGGTATAAAATAAACTTAATATTTAGGAAAGTAATCACAATCACATTTTAATTTTTAAAACAATATATACAAATTTAAGATAAAATTAAAAAAATTCAAGAAAATATATCCTCTTGAATGAATTATATGTTTACAATATATAAGTCTAATAACAAAATGTACCATTTTTTTAATTTTAAGTCGCGCTAACCTTTATATTTATTAAATAAAAAAAAAACAGTATTTATGAATACAATATACATGTATATAATACAATGCATTATTAAAAATATATATATTTTTTTTTTCAAAATGATTAACAAACTTATCTTTTTATGCAGAAATTTACAATATCTATAATATAATATATATATATATATATTCATGAAACTGATGGTTAAAACTAATTATAATTATCGAAAAAAAAAATCACAGAAATAAAATTTGTATTTTCCCCGTTATCTTTTATTCTACTCTCGATACCTAATAATTTATATTATATAGTAAATACTAAATAGAGTTCAATTTAGGTGTTATTCCTGAACCTAATTCCACCTAACACATACTTTGTAAAATAAAAAAATGTTATTCAACATAAAAAAAAATATATCTCAGCACTTATATAACATTGTACTTTTATTGATTTTAGCCAAATATAAATTGGATACTTTTAGTTAAGATCTAATAAATAGGGGAGATACAATTTTGTTGTAATACACTTTCTGTTGTGTTTTAACTACGGGAGAAAAAATATTGATATTGTTTAATTTTTAAAACATTTCGTTTTATCAATAATAATTTATATACAAGTGCATTAATGGAAAATAAAAAAAATTATGGAATTTCTTAAGGAATTAAAACAAATCGTTGGCTAAATTTTACAAAATACATCCATGCACAAAATTAGCTCTAAAAATCAAAGTCTTAAATACCACAATAAAACTTTAACAATTGTATAAATAATTCATCCAGAAATTGTTAAAAAAAAATATATATATATATGGTTATCATATGAGTAATTACATGGTTAAGTTCTACATAAATTAATGTTTACTTGTAGGATTCGACCAAAAAATAATATTTGTTTAAATCATGAACCTGGACAGTCTCTTATAAACTTAAAAGTAACTAGTATTTCCTTTACAACAGCCATTAAAATGTATTATTCAAAACTGTAAAATAAGTTTAAAAAATAGAAGACAGTTTATTATAATGTTACAAAATAAATAAATACAAACAAATTAACTAATTTACTGCATCAAGGGTCATCTGAAAAGTAAATAAAAGAATTAATGACAAATAACAAATGTAGTTTTTAGTGCAATTTAGTTTTTGGTATCTCATTTTGTGACAATCTATTTTTATTAATTTAACATCCCTCTTTCATTCAAGCCCTACCAGAGCGCCGTAGGTCCAATACTTTTCAACCTACAGCCATTTGAAACCCCACCATTCTTTATGATACACCCAGTATTTAAAAAAAAACTGATTTAATTTAAACTTTGTAGTCAGATGATTTTAAAAGACATTAATTATAACCAAGTGCTGGTTGTTTTTTTAAGTAAAAAAAATTCCTTTCATCAATAAAAAATATATATATATATATATTAGTGGTGGGACTATTCGAATAAAAAAATTTGAATATTCGAATACTTTATTCGCACGAATATTTGTTATTCGAATATTCAATCTGATTTTTCAAATATTCGAATATTTTATCATTTTCTTTGCAGGATTAATAAAAAAAAAAAATAATAATTAAGAGACAAATAAGGTGTTCTTGATCTATTTTTAATAATTTTTTAACAAAATAAATATTATTACTTATTACAACAAATAAGATTTTAACAATTTATATAGATGTATAATTACAAAAAAACATAAATTTGACAAAATATTCGAAAATTCGAATTATTTGATTACTATTCGAATATTCAAATTATTTTCATACGAATAGTAATATTCGATTATTCGAATAATTCGAATAATAGAAAAATTCGATTCGAGGTCTCAGCTCTAATATATATATTAGAAAAACGAGAAAATGAGTGATTTATTGGGTATGGTGGTATTGTCTAAATCTCGTCAGGAGACGTTTACTAAGCGAGTATTCATTCAAAGAAAAGTTCCGGTATAGCGAATTTGCACGGAAAAAAAAATTGTTTTAAATAGAATACACTAACCTGAATCATCCAAAGGTGATTGGTTATTCGTTGGGTCTATTGCTTCTTTTATTTGATTACTAGCGCCTTTAGGGTCTAAGTCAGTTGCACGATTGAAATTCATGAGTGCCAGATGAATGTTTCCTAATTTTTTATGTACCTAATATATTTCAAACAAATGTTAATACACCAATTAAATATTGTTAGTTTAAATAGTGATTTTGTAACAGACTTTGCCAGTTAAAAAATAGACTAGAGATTCTTTAGGCACAATTTCTTTCAGTTCCTCGAGTTCATAAAGTGCTTCAGGTAGTTTACCCAGTTTTGAGTAAATTTGCGCTCGTTGGTATTTACACATTGGGTGTTTGGGTTCTAGCGTTAACGCTATATGTAACGTGTGTAACGCCTGGTCAGGTTTATCCATGCTGTTTTGAACCTATAAAGCGGACATAAACAATGGTCAAATCACATTACTTCTTTTTTACATTATTTTTTTACTAATATATTAAACCTTTTCATAAAAAAAATACATTTCATAGAAAAAAGTTACTAAATTATTATTTGTTAAATGTTTGTACTTAAGTGACTTAATGGAATTAATTTAATGTAGTTCGCTTTTTTAGGGGTAGATTTTGAACTTGCCTTAAGTTCAAGAACTACGCAAAAGATTATTAGTGTAAATAATTAAACTTTCATTGAAAATAATCCCTTAAGACATGTGATTGCCTTGACCTTGTGATTGCTATGCTCCATTTTTATGTACAAGTTATACCCATTGACAGTGTTAAACTAGTGTTTTGAGGTCACATTTCTTCAGTAAAACGTATTTTTAATGTAAAAATTGCTAAGCCAGTACATTTATAAATAATGTATTAATAATTAATGTACGTTTATAATTATTATTATAAGTATAATTACATAATAATGAATACTCACAACAGCAATATGACACATGATTAAGGCACTGCTGTGATTTATTTTTAACGCTCGCTTGTAATGCATTTCGGCTAGTTCATATCTTTCCTGTTTTTGATAAATAGCACCAATACCATACCTACAACAAAATAGTTCATTAAAATTTTATCCAGCCATTAAATATAAAATAACACAATATTTACCATGACTTATAATGTCTTGGATCTAATTTGACAGCTTTTTGGAAACAGGTTGTTGCTTTTTCTAATTCTTCAGTGACTAAATATTCATTACCTAATAACGCGTATGCATAAGGAAAATCTGGATTAACCTGCAAGTTGAAAAAAAAAATTGTTATCAGTAAATAAAAATTGATTATTTTTTAATTATCACCTGAATTGCTCGTTGAAAATATTTAATGGCTGTTTGGTGTTCCTTTTGCAGAGAAAAACAATTTCCAACAACACACCAAGTAGATGAAGAATGTCGATCTAGAGCAGTCAAGTCTTGAGCTAAAGCAGAAAGCGCTACTTCTTTCTGTTGATGCCATAACGCTGTACTATAAAGTTCCATTAATGTATCCCTGTGCGGCTCGAGTTCTCGGACTTCACTAAAATATCTAAAAATAAAAAACAAAATCAAATGTAAAATAAAAAAAAAATTTGGCAGTGTTTGGAAATAATGTATTTAAAAATGAATACGTTCATGAAAAAATTATAAGACTATGATTAGTTTGTTTACGAATGTGAATAATTTTTTAATCGTTCATTTACAAAGATAAAAAGATGAAGTTTAGAAATTTTCATACATTATTCCTTGTATAAGTTTAATACTTGATGGTGATTTTTATAAATAAAAAATATATTTAAATAAAATAACATGGATAACTTGAGTATTTTGGCGACAAGGCCATGCTCCTATCCTACACTTAGTGTTCCAAACTTTATAACTAAAAACCTACATTTATTTACTGACAGTTGTTGAAGCAATAAAATAATAATAATGACAATTTTTTATTAATACAAAAAAAAAAAATATATATATATATATATATATATACATCAATAGTGAAAATAAAATATATATAATAAATTAATGTCAATCAATCCTATTTTTATTTACAATTTTCAAAATTAAACATAATTTAGTAGTAACAAATTGTGTACTCACTTGATTGATTGTAAATAATCAGATTGTTCACAAAATGCTTTACCAATCATAGACAATACAAATCCAGTTTTATATTGTTGTGGTGGTAAATTTTGAAACAATTGAATTGACTTTTTACAGTTAAACTTTGATAATTGCAAATATGCTACTCCGATATCTCTTAACAACGACATCAAGCCTTCTACACAAACGCAGTATGAATTATTTCATTGTATTTACTTCTAATAGTATACTTCTAAGACTCCTTACCAGCCGTTTTCTTTTGCAAAGTTAGCGCTTGCTGGGCCAAAGTAGTGGTGTCCACTTCAATACTCCCTCGATCTTTTGGATTACGTTCAGTAATATCAGTAAAAACTGCTTTTTTAGGAACTATTCCAGTTTTTATTTTACGTGATGCTGATTTTGGACTTGCAAACTTTTTACTAGGACTCTTTGTATTTTCCTAAAGAAAAAGAATCAATTACTTAGCTTCATATTTCATGCCCCGACACAATTTCTAAAACTGCTTAAAATATTTTTACTTTAACAGAACAGCTATTTGTAATTATTCGACTACTCCGTCTGACTACGTGCGACATTGGACTTGACGGTAGAGTCACTTGTTGTGTGCCCAAATTGTTGATATTACTTGTATTGCCCGATTGGCTGAACACTGGTTTAGAACTCTGTTGAATTTAAACAATGAAAAAATGATATATATGAATTAATGAACAGGCTAGTAAATGATATAATAATAAATACTTTTACTTACTCGTTTTGAAATAAACTTCTGATCATTAGTTTCATTTAATGTACCTGAAGGAACTAAAACCATAGATTGAGATGAACTTACAGATATATTGTTGTCAGGACTTTCCAACGGGAAAACTCCAAAACTGAAATGAAAAAAAACAAAAAGTTATTAAAAAATGTAATAATCTTAATTATATAAAATAAACCACAAATTATATTCGCTCTACCTTGGTGTTAAAGGACTAAATGCATTTTCATTAATCACTTTCACTTTTCTCCCGATGGGTCGAACAAATATTGCTTTCGCATTATTCATATCGGGTGTAAAAGGTTGTATACCGCTGGATATTGAACTATTACTACTAGGTACAGACATATTAATCATTTTTTGGGCTGGCGTACTGCTAAAAATGTAATAAGACATCATAAAATTAGTAAACTAGTATATTATTTATAAAGTAATTCAATACTTATAAACTTGCCTGTTAAAAGTGTTCATTGACTCGTATGATAGGTTATATGTTGATAAAGGTGTTGAATTAACATGTGAATTTGATCCTACGCATTTACTAAAATTATCTAAATTGTCGACCTAAAAAATTATTCAACAATAATGAAAACTAAAAAAATATTGTCTAATTTTTAAATGTACAAAATGGTTTACTTTAAATATTTTAAATGGTTCAGGATCCGGTTTAACGCCTCGATCACAAAGGTCTTGAAATGATTGCCACAAAAAAGGATTTAGGAATAGAGCTTTTCGACAAGCCTCGGCCGCCAAATGTGCTCTTTCTGATCGCCACCATATATGACTGATAAGTTGCAACGCAAATGGAGCACTGTCACCATAATTTGAGACTATTGAATCAATAAATGTAGAACACGACGACAATGATATTAAATCGCCTACATTGCCTGTCAATATTGTTTCTGCTTCTGATAACCTATAAAATACATTGATTCTATAATTGCTTAAAAATCAATTAATTTATGAACAATTTTTTTTACTATTTTATTAATTTTTTCATGTACTTAAAAAGATGCTGTAACTTACTTATGAAGGTCAACACAACACCGAGCTAATAAAAACTTGCATTTTTCTGATACTATTTTCTTTCCATTAAGAATGGAATAAGCTTGGGACGGCTTACCAGCACGATAATAACAAGTTGCCAGTAAGTAAGTACTTTCATCTGAATCAACTAGAGAAAAAATTAAAAAAATAAAATTATTTAACATTTTTTAAAATAATCCTACATAAATTAAAAGTGCAAACTGTAAGAAAACCAATTTTTTTAAACCGCCAGCAATGAATTGCTATTTTTTTATTTTTTTAATTAAATTTGTATGAAATCTGCAAAAAAAATTGTCTAGTACTAAAAATAATAAAATGGTGAAATAAGGAACTAAAGATTTTATAAAACAATAAAAACATGTCATTGACATGTAATGTAAAAATATACTTACATTCGGCACATAATCGTTCAGCGAGAAAAATTGCATCTGAATATGCATAATGATTTATACAATGCCAAATTGCAGCCTGTAAAAAAAAATAGCAACAAATAAAATTAGTTAACTACCTCACATATTATATTAAAGCATTAAATTATTCACCTTCATAATTTACATTAATAAAATGTTAAACAAATTATACTTCTAATGCATTCATAGCAGCATAATTCACACAAAACTAGTTCAGAAATTTTGTTTTAAATATTTGTTAAGTATAATAACATTTTAAGACATGCTATTGAAATAACACATCAATGCAGTACAAACATATTTTAAAAATATAACTAACATTGAAAACAAGTATGTAATGTAAAATATTTATAAATTTCATCTACAATAAAATAAATAATAACAGTTATGTTCTTTAGCATGTTTTCAATTTTTATTTAAACTAAAGTATGGAATAATTTCAAGATTGATTTTGAAAGCAATAATATTTTTTTTTACAATTAACCTGTAAATAATATTAACTAGTAGGACAAATAGTAATCGGTGTTTTCTTTATTGTACCAAGAGAATATCATAGAAAAAAATTGTTTTTTATGTACTCAATAGTCTAATGTAGTATACAGGATAAATCTAAAATTGTATAAGAGCTAAAGCGACCATCAGAGCCATCACTGCCTCCTTTAAGGAGAACATTTCTTAATATAACAAGTGACTAAATTATTATATCTGTAATTTTACTCTAAATTGTTTGGAAAAATAAGTTAATAATATTTTTGCAATGATGGTTGTTTCATTGAATACATTATTATATAAATACATTAAATAAATTTGATTATTTTTTTTTTGCACATATCGATAAAATATACATTTTATTAAAATTAATGGTTCATTAATAACAGAATGTTTTGTAAAGTTTAAAAAATAAGGAAGATTATAAAATGGATTAAACATGTAAAATTGTCTAACTACCTAGTGTATATTCTGTTAATACATATTTATGAAAATTAGAGTTTATTCTTTTATTATTTTGAAGTCTGGAACTCATTAATAAAAATACGTACAACTATTAAAATAAAGCTACAACTCAAATAAATTTCTTTATAAATTAAATTTTCGATATAATGATATTATGAATATCAATGAAAAACAAAACTGTGTTTAACACTTACTTGAACAGGTTCTTGAATTAACATTGTAGACGAATTCGTTAAGATAAACTATAATTATATATTAAGAAAAAAACTAAAATATGAAACCCAAATATAATATAACATAAATATAAAATAATAGTAGATATTTAGGTAATGCAAAATATTTTTTATTGAGTTTATGGTTTTTATCACATAGTGAAGAAAAAACGAGAGAGACAAGACACATTCGATAAGAACAGGACATGTGCAACAACATAAATTCTCACCGTATGTATTTCCCTATATTTAAATTTTGAAAAAAACTTAAATTGAACTATTGATAATAATATTATTGTGACGATAAATTAATATACAATAGGTATAGTTTATTATTATTATTCGGCCTACAAAATAAGTTATTTAATGTGTATTTATTTTCATTATAAAATACAGAAAGATAATAATAATCTTTTGTTTATAATAACATTATTTTTTTAAACTGTTATATTAGATAATAATATCTGTAATTTTTAATTTATCTAATCAACAATTGGCACAATACCTATTTAATAAAGGACAGAGTGAGTATAAAATGTTAAATGTCAATTGATCTAAATGAAAATAAAATATAAAATTCTATTAATTAATAATAAACGTTAGTTTTATTCTCTTAATCAATGCGTCATACTGCGATATGTATAATTCATCAAAACAAAAAAAAATACCTTTTTAAATATAATCATGATCTAAATGATTTGTAATTTGTTTGACAATATTTAAATCCGTAAACAAACTGCGCAAGACTTTCAAAATACTTAACAAATGTGGTTATAATAATTATGACATGGTTAAATCATAAATGGTTATTATTATGATATACATTTAAAATAGGTTTTCCTTACGAGAAATATTTTTTGTGCTAAAGAATTTATTTTTGTAGAATTACATATTCTATAACCCGGTTCCGGATGGACCGAAGACATGTCACATGGACGGTAGGCCCTAGGCCGACAAGTGAGGTCTATATTGGCGATCAGTGCTACCACGCACAATAAATATAATTATGTTATACCACTCGGCCGCGTTTTATATATTGTACAGCCTACATGCATGATCATTATGCTGTTATAGTGTTATATAATAATATATACCAATAATTACTATACTATGTACTAATTATGTTATAATAGAAAAACAAAAAGAGTCCAGTGGCCAACAGTAATTCAGTAAACATTTAAGACTACAATAAAACATGTTATTATCTGCAAATGATTTTTCACGCGTTTGTGTAAAAGATGCGATTTCTTAGGCCATCTGCTGAATGAAACCTGTTGTTTACATTAAATTGCATTCCGCAACTTGAATCAGTGTTATATCACAAAATTATATAGTCGCGGCGGTAGATTTTTTTTGGAAAGGCCAGACACGATGATTGAAAGCTTTAATTTAATCCCGAGAACACCGAAAGAATATGAATTGATATAATTTATATCTTTCTGTGCTTACGCAGATGTGCTAAAACATTAAGCAAACAATTGAAATAATAATATTAATTAAAAAATATATATTTTACCGACGAAATCATTCTAGTTAAGACAGAATTTTGGGTATAAATCTACTTTACCGGACACCTTTTTTTTTTTAAATCGATAGTATTTTGCATGCTGATTACGAATCTGCAAACATTTTGGGCCGCTCGCACTTTGGAAGTTCGCAGATTTTGACTTACGCGCGCGCCCGGCAGGCCTCGTCTACTCGCGAACGCTGGACACATTGTTCGTCGGTCACCGCGGTGCCCTCGTCTACTTGTCTCCCACCCATTGTGCCCACCACTAATGACTAACATTAAGCAGGCTAGGTTTGGACTCGTTGGGTCACTAACCGCTTTCAGAGCAGTATCAGGTTAGTTTTTTTTATTCCCTTTAGGTGAGCTATTTTTTTTTCTGGGGGTTTGGGGGCGTGAGCCCCCATCCAACGAAGAGCCCCGAAGGGGCTCGAGATGGCTCCCGGAGCCGGCAGGCGTAGGGAGTGGTTCTGCATAGTTAGTAGTTTATTTAATTAAAACTTAACTGAAAAAATAAGTCTGCTCGATTTTAAATCCAGATTCGTAATCAGCGTAAAAAACATTATAATATGGCAATAAAAAAATCGAAAAAAAAGATGTTCGCTAGAGTACGACACCGACGTCAAAAGACGGCCGGTACGTCGAGAGCGGCGACTGACTAACGAAGTACCCGGAGGCCGCCGGGAGACGAAGCCTGTCGGGCGCGCGCGTAAGTCAAAATCTGCGAACTTCAAACGTCTGTAACTTTCAAAGTGCGAGCGGCCCAAAATGTTTGCATATTCGTAATCAGCATACAAAATACTATCGATTTAATAAAAAAAAAAGGTGTCCGGTAAAGTAGATTTGTTCCGAATTTTGGTTTGTATTATTTCTATATGTAAAAAAAATGATAACAAAAAAATAAACAATAACAATGAGCTATATTTATATAAAATAAAATATACAAACAAAATAGTTAAACATAATTAATAATTAATTAAACAAATAAAATATAGAACACAAGACAGTTAAAAGAATAAATAATATATAAATATCCATTATGATAAACTCAAAAATAGAAAGGTTTATGTAAAATAAAAAAAATTACTAAAATTTCAAAATTTAGTAAATAAAATAAAAGTAGCAAACGAAAACAGAGAACAACGATTTATACAATACATGCATTTGCATTATACAAGTCAGGTACGAAGTCGTCTAAATTATTGCTGTTAGCCGATGTAGGGGGTATATTACAACAGATTCTTCTTTTGGATATTCTTTACACACATGTTCTGTAACAAACAAGAAAACAGAAAAGTTAAGCTTTATTATTATTTTATTTATAAATTAACATTATATTTGAGCTTACTTTTGATATTACTTGTTTCTGATAGTTGTCTGACACGGTGCTTCTGTGCCGAAACGTATTTGCGAAAATACGTTTTAAGGTAAAAATATAGGTAACAAATGTCGAATAGACAAAATAACAACGGTCGCTAGGCACTTATGGCTTACAATAAATTTACATATATCAAAGAACTGAAAAAACATCGATGATTTTTAATCTCCTGGAAAAATATTTTAGTGCAATTTTGAAATATCGCAACAGTCATTACACTATAATTACAGTGTTTATATTATTATTTTAAAAAAATAGGTACTTTAGAGTACAGACCATAGACGGCTCACGAGTCATGAAAACTGAGCGCTGGCATCAGCGCCCCAGTGGCAAATTTCCATTAGTGGCGTTATCAATTGGCGCGCTTTTTTAAATGTTTAAATGTACGTATTTTATTATTTTGCCTCACGCGCTACGTTACGTGTTACGAATATAACAATTAAAAACAACTAATGAAAATATGTTTAGTATATTAAAAATATTATACACCTTTAACATTCCATAATAAAGAATATTATTATTAATGGGAATTTGTTAAAAGTATATTATGTACATTTTTACAACTTTATTTATATAGATTAAGTAATATAGAGTATAGATCAAGGTAATTTCATACAGACAATATTATATGAAAAATATGTAACTTAGGTCCCTTTTAACAAAATTTTTTTTTATAAACAAATTTTTAAATGTATTTTTAAGTGGGAAAGGCAAACTTATATTTTAACTTTTCAACACACTTAATTCTTATTATAACTATCTGAATAAATAATTTAAATTTAATCGAAACGTAAGTTGGGAAAACATTACAAATAAAGAAAAAAAAAATGTATTAAAAAATAAAAGTTTGTTCAATTTTTTGAACAACTAACACAATAATATTAAAATTGATTGAAAACTAGATTTGAGTAGTTTTTTAAAAATAGAAGAAATGAGTACCTGTATTGCGTAGCCGGGAGTATTGTGAGAATTTAACTGACATTTTCCTATTCCTCATTCTAAGCTCCGACTAATTTCAAATTTATTTTTGCTACTTTTCCGTTATGGAGCTATATAACAAATTACTGTTAACCTGTACATTTTAAGTACGGCAATCTCACGAAATTACACAATACTTACGGACTGTTTGAATCAATTCTGTTGAAGTTTAAACTAAAGAATATAGAATAAACACAAACTTGATAATAGTTAGTAATGTTTATTAAAAAATATAATGTCGAGTAGAGTAAATATAAAATAATTAAACTTTAGAGATCATAATGACTTAAATGGAATAAAAACATAAAAAATATAATTCTTTTTATTCAAGTTGTACTTTATGTATAATTTAATAAAGCGGAATAAAATGCACTTACTTCAATATTAATATTACAAAAAACTAAGAACATTAATAACAATAATAATTAAAAATTTTAATTATATAAAACAAAATATATTAATGTAAAATGATCTAAATCATGATACGTCATTCAAAAAGCTTTCCAAATTCTCGTATTCCGATTTGGAACTAGTAATTTTTTTTTTGCCCTTTTTCTCTCCTTTAGATTTGCTTTTCTTCTCTTTACCCTATAATACATTTTATATTTACTGTAACTGTTTATTTGTGTTCAATGTCAATTTTGACTATAACCAGTGACATTCCAAAAATTTAGTACTGCCAAAATTCCTAATTCTAGGTACAAATTTTAATTAAAATTTTAACTAGTACTAATTCTAGGTATAAATTCTAATTAAAATTTTAACTAGTACTAGTTTTAACCAATGGTGAAATCTGAATAAAATAAAATTGGAACTTGATATTAGTAGCCAGTTTTACTTATATTAGCAGAATTTTGGCATTGCGTATTTTATAATATTGTCTATCAATAGTGTGTTGCGTATTATAATAATAAAATTATAAACAATAATTGTTAATTATAATTTATATTTTTAACAATTCTGGTTACCTTAATCTCTGAATCTACAGAGTTTAAACTATCTTTTGGGGTTTTTGATTCATCCTCTCCACCTTCAGGTCTAGGCCTCGTTGTATTTCGAATTTCAGTTAAATTTTCTATATCAAGTGAATTGTCGTTTTCACTCATAATGGTAGTATTTATCTATAAAGTATTAATACAAATATAAACAGGTGTAATAATATTAAAAAAAAAAATTATTTTTGTCTTCATGATGTTATAAGTAATTTACTATTCCAACCTTTATATTTGATAGAGCTGGTGCTAAATCGTCTGGATCAATGTCAGCTTGATAACATGCGACCATAGGATTTCCAGAATCATCATCACTAAAAAAGTATAAATACAATTTGTTAAAATACATAACTATTACATTTCAAATAATGACACTCAAACAATTAAATGATATCGTTGGACTAATTCGGAGTTGTCTCAACTCCAGAAATTTATTATTATTGCGTTTTTGTAGATAATAATTTAACGCATCGTTTAAAACTACCCTAATAAGGCAATTATTTATTCATAATAGATGATATTTAATATTACTTTGTTGAACTTAATATATTTAACATGTATAAAATATTTTTTACAAAATTATGTCAACCAGATGAAGAAAAGTTATCATTGTGTAAACCCAACTAGCCTAGCATTGTACAAAAGTATGATATTTGTTAGCTAAATTCTTATCTAAAAATCTAATTTTACTATACATTCAAAGTGTGTCCAATATATTATAAAACATGTTTACAATTTGTAATTTTACATATCAGTAGCTAGGAATATATTAGAAACTTGGTTAAAAGGATAGTAAACATACCTATCAGAATCGAGTTCAGTCTCTTTGACACTCTTTACCACAATATCATTATGACCAGCGTCTTCTAAAAATGACTTATCCAACACATCGTCTGGTACAAAGTCATCTAAATTATTGCTGTTAGCTGATGTGGGTACATTGACAACCGATTCTTCTTTGGGATATTCTTTACACACATGTTCTGTAACAAACAAGAAAACAGAAAAGTTAAACTTAATTAGTATTTTATTTATAATTAAAATTATATTTGAGCTTAATTTTGATATTACTTGTTTCTGATAGTTGTGTATCTGGCTTAGTTATAGGAAACATTTTTTGGGCAATATTTTGTGTTTTTGGATCTATTCGTGATTGATTCTGTTTTTCAATTTGAGATTTTACGTCATTTATACTGGGAGTATTTAGCAATGGTAGCGGTAATGTTGCAGCTACAGATTTATTTTCCGCATCAACTCTTCTCTGTTTTGACAACCTCGTGAGAAACCTAAAAATTACAAAATAGTGTAAATTCATCTTGTGCTTAAGCCAGTAGAAGATAAAATTATGTTGAAATACGATTGTACTCACAAATCATAATTAGCTTCATTACTCTGTTGATAAACATCTAACTCCATTGTCATTATTTTTGTTTCCCGACCATTTGTTTCTAAATGATTCATTATGTTTTCACGCTGTAGTTGTAAAAATGATATGCCAATCCATTTATAAATAAGTCGCAGGCCAAATCCGTTTGACATTGATACCTCAGCATATCGAATAGAGCTGCCCCTAGAAATTTAATTGTAAAAAAATTATATAGCATATATTTAAATTTATTGTAATTTAAAATGAATAAAAAAAGCTAATACCTTTCTAAGGAGTTCAAATAGTAAATAATTTCATCCGCATTAACACTCCTGTGGTGATTCATATCACAATGATTTCCTAATACTAACACGGGTATGTTATCAGGTATTTTCGGCAGCTCATTGTACACATAATCTAGTGTCCTAAAGTGAATGTTAAAAAATGCAAGTTTAATTACAAAAACATATTTTCAAAAATTGACACTCCTTGAGAAAAGTAGCACGTTTTATTTTGCTAACAAAACACACTTACAACAGCATTAGGCTAATATAAAATTAATAGCATCAAAATATCAAAACATTAATTTAGGGAGGAAATACTGACTTCTTAACTCATTAACGCTGGGATTTTTTTTTTGGAGGGGGGATTTTTTTTGAAAATTTTTTTTTTTAGTAATTGGTCTTGGGTGCTCGTTTCTTATTATTTTTTGAATTAAAAAAAAAAAAAAAATTTTATACTTAAGAGATTTAAAATAATTGGATGTAATGGGATGAACTTCACTAAAAACTAAAAACTTAAGATGAAACAGCTATAGGTTGTCAAAATATTTAAAAATTATTTTAGTTAAACAAAGTTTAACAATAGCAATTAGCAATTCTGTGTCGAGTTTGTTTTTAAAAAGCTACACCAGACCCCAGACAATTACTTTATAGATTGTATTAACAATTTTACATAGTAAAAATGGATATTTTATCACTACTTTAGTACCATCTTTTAGTAATATCCAAGACTATTAAAACACCATTTGTACATCGGTAAACATCAACAAGTTCTGCATCTAATACTGGAGTGTCTTCAACGGGTACTGGTGATATTTTTGCTTTATTGTGTTCAGTCTTAAGAACATCACTTGATTTAGACGATGGCAATGATCGTCTCTTTCCTTTGTCAACCACGTCCCAAACTTCTACTTTAACGATATCTTCAGTATTTTTATAGTTCCATTGGATATGGGCAACCTAAAAAGAAAAATAATTTTTGTAGACATGTATCACATAGATATAATGAGAGTTTGTACTTGTATTTCATCAGTTTCTTCGTAGTTGGCAATAAAAGGTTTTCCTTGCAAACGGTTCCACAAACATGTTTTTCCTACATTCCTGTCGCCTTTAATGACTAGTTTCACTGTATTCATATGTTAATAATAAAATGTTATCGTTTATTACAGAAATATTTAATGAAACACTTACAGTTGTATTGAATGCCTTTGGAGAAAGTTCGTTGTAAGTCCTGAGGTAATGCTTTAGGCTGACTTGTGGTAGCTGGGACATCTTTATTGTCAATTTTGTTCGTTAAACGTTTAAGCGTTGAGAACATTGTTTTTATTTTAATAAACAATTTATTGATCCCTTAAGGTGTAAAGACTTAGTCCATACACATAATTTTTAATAGCTTTAATGAACAATGTCAGTACCAAACGCATGAGATATAAAGTAAAATATTTTTAAAAAAATAGCACTGATATATTACTCAATAGTTTTCACTACTGTGTACTTGAATAATTTAAATATAATAATTGTAATTAAAACAATATTTTATATTTCTTATAATAATAACTACCTTATATTTTAATATTTTCGAGATTGAAAAGTTCTTTGCTCTGGTGGCATTTTTATCATATATTTGATAAAACGATTCAAGAGTGATAAGACGATAACTGTAAAGTGCAATATATGGATAACAGCTGTGATAATTAATAATACAAATAAAATGTAATAATTACATTACTGGAGCCTAGAAGTTCAGCGTCCGAGTGCCAGGTAGCTTCCAGATATCAACAGATTAACCTAGTACACTACAATTAAGCTAAAACGCTCATATATACGATAAACAATAATAAAATAATATTTTTATTAAAAAAACAAAAATTATAATTTTCTCAATCATTTGTAGCTATATGATATTATGTTGGAAAAAGTCCAGAAAACAAAACAATCTCTTCCCATTTTTAAAAAAAGTATTTGGTTATTACATTTTTTTTCGTTATAAACTCATTTTAAACAAATATAAACAACTTTTGGAATCATATTAATAACAATAAACATATTGTGCGATTATGAAAACTTAGAAAACATCATTAATCAATAAATTTTTTGGGGAGGACTTTTATAATTTATGAAATCAGTTTATTATTTTTTTTTTTATCTAAAGTTTTTAGATATTTTAACTTTGGTGCAAGATTTCTTGTTTAAAATAAAAATCTAGATAAAATACAATTTTACAACTAATAAATTGGGAATTTCCAATGAAAACTGTTTATAAAAAAAATGGTATTTTTTGAAATATTTACTCTTAAACACATTAAATGTAAAGAAAAACCGTTCGATAGCATAAATTGGACAAGTCTCTTTAAAATTTTGGAAGAAACAGAGATAGATTTTAAGTACAGATGTATTCTTTATAAGATTTATGAAGGACAAGAAACCATTATTAATATTAATTCAACAACAGCGACTGCCAGAATCCAAAAAGGTGTGGGACAAGGGTGCCCACTTTCACCTGCATTGTTCAATGTATTTATTAAAAAAGCATTAAACGTCATAAAGCTTTTGTTAAAGCAAAATGGAATTGGAGTGAAAATAGGAGGGGTACTAATAACAATGCTTCGCTTTGTTGATGATATAGTCGTTCTTGCAACATCGGAGGAAGACTTACAAGCAGCGTTAAATATAATGAATACCACGCAAAATAAACGCAGCCAAGACTAAAGCCCTAGTATGCTACAAGAAAAACATACCATCTATAAATATAACATTAAAAAACAAAGAAATTATCCAAGTAGACTATTTCAAATACTTAGGCAGCATTATAACAGAAGACGGGGAATCAACCAAGGAAATCAAAAACAGGATAGGTCAAGCAAAGAATGCATTCCTTAAAAAGAAAAAAATGCTTACATAAAAAAATATGAACATAGTAACGAAGAAATGGCTCATAAAAACATACGTCTGGAGTGTGGTATTATATGGAAGTGAGACCCGGAAAACTAATAAAAAAGAGAAAGATATGTTAGAAGCTCTGGAGATGTGGTGTTGGAGAAGGATGCAAAGAATAAGCTGGACTGATAGAAGATCAAATGAAGACATCTTGAGGACAATAGATGAAAACGAACATTGATAAACATTATAAAGAGAAGGAGATGGCAGATGATAGGACACACGTTGAGCCTTGAGGCATGGGGATGAATTGCATAGTTTAATAATTGAAGGAATGATAGAAGGAACAAGATCAAGAGGCAGACCTAAGACGAGATACATTAGCCAAGTAATGCAGGATGCAGAAGTTACTTCCTACAGGGAGCTCAAGAATATGGCAAATGACAGAGAAAAATGAAGATGGCATTTATTGTGAAAAATTTGTTAAAAACTAATCTTTGGATTGATAAAAAAAAAAAAAAAAACATTAAATGTATCCACATACGATTTTTTGTAAATTTAAAACTACGTATTATTAAATAGCAGACGGTCATCAATACTTCATTTGAGACACTGCCAAACTCTGATCTTCGTTTATAATATAATAATTAGAGAAATAATTTTTTTTTAAATGTATAAACATTGTTTTAAAATTGACCAGTCCTACCCAACTGCAAATGGACCTTCAATTTGCTACTGACAAGGCAAAAACGTCAACTATGAATAGTCCATTAAATCATGTTCGTGACATCGACATTATTGAAGACTATTAAATCTAAATTTGTAGTATGGACTCTTTCAGTTGTAGACCTCAGTCTCAAAACAAAATAAGCATGGATAATCATGTCCATTTAGAAAAAATAGAAACCAGTACTTATCCTTGGAATTTTTTTACCGGTACTCACTCTGTGGTCCCTGTCTAACTTATGAAATCTGAATACAATATAATCTATATTTAATATACTTAAAAAAAAATATAATTATGACATTGATACTTAATGATGAGTGATGACACAAAGATGTGAGTTAATAAAGAAATATTGATCGATTGAGGTTTCGGTCGGCTCTAAATTGGCTCCGTTTGTGTTGGATAATACGGAGAAGTACAATTAAATCTTCAACCCCCATAACATAATACTATGCAAGTCATACTACACATATAATATGCAACACATTCAATGTTTTAATTAGATCGAGACCAAAACATGTGGCAAAGACACCGAGCCCTAACTGCTTTACATTTTAATTTCTTAAATAAAGAACGTTATAAATCAATATCTAAACTCAATCAAACTTAAGCAGTAAATTTGTCACTACATCAAAGAAAACAACAATGTTGTTTATAATATATTGCTGAAAAAAATATTTGAACAATTTGAATAGAATATATATATATAATTCTTTATTGCCACAAATGTAATTTGAAAAAATCTTACATATATATCTATATATATATATATCTATTACTAAAAAGTTGAAATAAAATTAAAAATGAATGAATGTTATGATAATCCAAATAAAGTTTTGTAATTACCACAACTCATTTTTAAAAATAGCTATATGTTCTTAATTAACAACTTAAAAATATAATTTAAAAACGTGATCTTATTTAAAATGTCAAGTACTAATGGTAAATTATACAATTAGAATACTTTATTAATATTTATATATTTAGTATATCATTAAACATTTGTTTGTTAACTACCATTACATATGTATAGAAATGAACATAAAAAAGTGATCTACATAAGACATTAACAACATTGATTCGCAAAATAGAAACAATCAAAGTAAATGAATACCATAAACAGCACCTAAGTGTTCTTATTAAAATTATCTAATAAGAGAACACATTTATTTCTTATTATTTGGTAATGTTCGAAAAGTTTTGCTCTACTAAATTTACAGATTTTATTATTGATAGTTTTAATATGTAAATAAAATAATTAAAATTTTTATTTTACAGTTCAATAAGTAGGAGTTTATATTAATAATGAATTTCAATAAAAATTGCATAATACTATGTTGTTTAATGATATTGAAATATTATACTAAGAAACGTTTTATTGTTTGGAAAATGTAGCTTGAATGAATCTCCTCGGTACATCGATTTCTTCTTTGACATTAACAGTCCTTTTGCATACATACTTATTGGAACATTCTTTAAAGCCATTTGTTATAAAGAGATTGCGGAGATATTCAATTGAAAAAAAATACGACCTGCAAAAGTGAAAAACGAACACTTAAAATCAGAAAATAGAATACTGACTTATGATTTAATAATAATACACTTACCTAGTGCCATCTTGTCGCATGTAGAAATTGTCAGCAATTTTATGACCGGGTTTGAATCTCAGTTGAGCCATATCGTGAAGTCCGTAATCTCTGAATAATAGAAGACCTCCAATCTTTAAAACTTTATGAATATTTAAAACTACTGCTTGGTGATTGTCTGGATTTACAGCAGATAATACAAATATAGATGTTACCATATCCAGACTATTTTCAGGTATATGTGTAACCAGTTCATCCTCAACAATATCGCATGTGAATGCATTAATCACCGATGGATTATAAGATAAATTAGATTTCAAACACTCGATTGCTCTAGGTGAAAAGTCGCAAGCGAAAAATTCGGCATTTATTCCATCAGCTATCAAAGGGTAAATAAAATTACCAACTCCACAGCCAATCTCCAAAATTTGTTTTATCCCATTGTTGTCTCCAAGTAACTGAGTGAATTCTCGAGTTGTCCAATGCCGGTCTTTGAAAAATCTATCTCCGTTGCGCTTATAAAAAATATCCCAATGTTTTTTAGCATATTTATCCAGTTCTTGTGCTTTAAATGAAGATACTATTCGCGAGTTTTGTTTTTCAAGTATAGCTTGTTCTTGTTCGTTTAATTGTACTGAATCAGTAGTTTCTTCTTGGTATCTACTATTATCATTGCTACAATCATCCATCTAAAAATGTCATGCACAATCAAGTCACACAATATAAATTTACATACAAACATTCATATATTAATTTCTAAATGTACTGTGATAAATTATGTTATATATTTTAGTTAAACAACAAAAATTAACTTAACTATTTAGGGGAAATAAAGTTATTAATGCAAATAATTAAATTCTTAAAAAACAAAAAAACAGTGCATAAAATGGCTTTATAAAATGTTAGGTAGATTGAATTTTTGTTTTAATTTTATACCCTTTATTTGTCTTTTGGTTAGGTACTTCATTAATAGTTTAAAAGGAATTACAAATTATTTCAAATGAATTATTTGTATTGACATTAGGATTTGCAAGGGTATACATTTTCAAAATAAAACCTATAAGATATTGAGATCAGGGGATTCTCTAAAGAAAAAAAAAATAGTATCAACCGTAATAGAAAGAGAAAAGTATAAAAATTCATGGTTGCCAATAATAATTAAAAGAAATGTGATTTTTCATAAAATAATTTTTTATTTTTATTTATTTATATATATATATAAAAAAAATTGAAGATCATAACGAAAATTTAAAATAACATGTTCTCTTTATATATTATTATACTTGAAGTATGCAACCAAATATATATATATATTTTTTTTACTAATCTCTTAAAATTCAAAAAAAAAAAACTTTTGCACGAAAGCTTTTAAATAAAGTATTATTACAATAAATAATAAAAAGTTTTGTAAAAGAAAATTAAAGTAAAATATAATAGCAGAGCAATATTATTTTAGTTCCAGAATCTTAAGGCTACATGGTATACTTTCACCATTCTGGCACAAAATAATTTTTTTATAATATATAATAATTACGCCAGCTTCGTACCCATTAAAATATATATTGACAAAACAATAATTGTGAATTAAAATAACGTTATCAATTAGGTTAAAACTATATATTTATTTTTAAGTTGACTTTATTTATGATTTTGTTTAAAGAAATAGTGGTTAATTTTGGATCTGGTAAAAATAATAAAAATTCTAGGTTTAATTAAATTTTTTCTTCTATTTTCTAGTAAGTTACTGTAAAACATGAAATAGAATATTGATAATTTTCAAATGTTTCAAACTTAGAGCTTAAGCTCTAATGCAATAATTACATTAGCAATTTGTATGTTTGAAATTTAACTCAAAAAATATAACTTTTTTTTTAGTTATAAGAATATTTATAAATATATTTGATGGCAAAAACGATTATATGAGAAAAGCATTAAATTTAGTTTGATTAACTATCTCTTCTCATTTCTTTTAAATTTACCAGATTGTGTACACAGCCAAAAAACAATCCAAATGTATTGTTAAGAAAAATTAATAAAAGTGTGACATACTTTGTTTTTTTTTTTCATTTTAGAATATCACAAATTAATTTGCTTGTCCTTAAAAATAATAAAGTATCTACAAAATTAACTCTCCAAATATTGTGAACATGTTGTCAACATAAAAAACCTACTAATAACTACCTAATTTTAACTAAAATTTAAGTAAATTAGTGAAAACAAATGAAAAAACTGGATACGTAATAATTATAATTATTGATTTTTTATAAATAATGGCTATAGTTCCATGTCTTGTGCTTCACTTTCACTGAACTCAGACATAGATGATTCGTCACTATCTGAACCAGCATTTCCATCATCTTTGAGTGCTTCTTCGGTTGCATATTTCTTGACATATTCTTCGACTCGTTTTTTATACTGTTCAGGTTTATGCAAGTACAAAGCAGCAGCATCACCATTCAGTGGATCAATTGGATTTGGATAGGCAAGTAGTTGGGGTAAAAATGATTCGAAAATATTAAGCAAATCATATAAAGCTGTCCAAGCTTGATTAATGACATCAAGACAAACGGTTCCAGATACTTCATCAATGTTAGGATGGTAAATTTTGTTGATAAAGCCAATTGAAGGAGACTTGAATGGATAATGTTCTGGTAGATGAACACGGACTTTCCACAAACCACCTTCATACGGTGTTCCTCGTGGACCATACAGTTTTACACAGAATTCATTCAAGCCATTTAACAGGGTCACCTCATGCTTGCTCTCTATGAGCTTTATGACGTCCGTGTCCATACGACGTTTGCCGGCGCTAGGTGAAGACATAGCAGTTCGACGCGTGTACCAAGTTTACTGAAAAATAGTTCAATTGTTAAGGTACACACCTAGATACCTAGATTGTTACCCTATTCTATATTTTTTTTTGCATTATCATAGTTTTAGTTGCCTTGTGTTTTAAGTATCATATTGAGCTCCCATTCAATGTTTTTATTTTGTGAAATTCCACAAATGGTACCGAGCATAAAAGAATAAATTATCACAAGTTTTAATTTGTAATATATAAATGTACTAAATAAAAAATAGGTATACATTATAATTTAGGATACTAATATTTAAGTTAATGTTAAAATAATAAGTTAACAACGTAAATCAGTAAATCTGATTATGATTATTACCAAAGTATACATCAGTGGCGTAATTACGGTGGGGGGGGGGGATTTGGGTGTCGTATCCTTCCTTGACATGGGTAAAATGTATGCAATTTTTTTTATCCCCCCATTGGGTCAAACATGACCCAATTACGCCTCTGGTATGCATGCCTGATACTATTAAATTATATCATCAATAATATATAATAATAAACATCAAGCAATCATTATGAGCTTGAAAAGATAATAGAACTCCAAACAAAAATTGACAACTAAATTTGTACCAATTAGTATGAAAGTAATTATAAATAAATTTTAATCATAAAAATATTGTCTATTTATTAGAGAATGTTCTCAATTATTTATTTCATCATTTGGTTAGCCAATACTGTAGGAAAAAATATATGATGGTATGTACAACAGATTAAAAAACTTTTAAATTAATTATATGATAACTAATATGTTAATTCTTATTAAGTTTAAATTTAATTTAAAGCTAACTTAACATGCTATCTTTTTTTATTTTGGTATCATAATAAACTTATATTTTTAGTATCTTAATTAACTTAATGACAGTCTAATTATTTTTTATATTAGTACAAAATATATAATTATTTCAAAACCAGCCAAATTTTTACACAAAAATTGGGGTACAATGACTAATATTTTTTTAAACTAACTTGAGTTAATAAAACTCTAAAGTTGAGAAATAAAACTAATAATGGGACATAATATTTAACTCAATTAATAATATTTTTTTAAATTTATTGAAGTCCACATATCATGAACATGCCTAACCTTGCAACAAATAAAAATTGGAAAAGTGTGGCTTTACTTAGGTTTTAAAATAATTGGATTAAATATATATTATAAAACTATACACTATCCCATGTAAGCAAGGTAATGCACAGAAACTAAGACATGCAGAAACAATGAGCAGTTAGGACCACCACATTTTGGTTTTGTGACTACCTTTCTTTTATGGGATACAATATAACGTTTTATATTTTACAAAATATAATTTTAGAAGTAAAGTTGTTAATTGTACTTAGTAATTATTACACAGTAAAAAATAATGATTAAAAAATTTTTAAAACCATTTTCTATAACACTAGGCAACCAATACAACTCAACCTGGCAACAATTTTTTTTTTTTAAGTTAATTATTTTGTTAATATAATAAATGTAGTATTTATTTGCTATCTGCGCACTAATAACTAACAAAATATACCTACCAAATTTGTTCATTTACCCTGTTTTATTTATGTTAAGATACAAGAAAATCCTGAATTCTTACGAAATCTCCCGATCTCAATTAGGCAATCACCTGAGTATTTTTTCTTTTTTTAATCTGGCATAAACCAAAACCAAGGGCTTGTGTTTTCATAATAAAGTAGCGTATAATATTACCTAATGACTTCGTTTACATGTAAATAGAAATTTTTAGACGATCCGTTCGTGTTTACATTAGTATCGAAAAACCATTAATTTTTTTTTTACTAATAAAATTTTTTTTATAGATCCTCGGAATTTTTTTACACCAAATTAGTACTGAAATTAGTATTTAATGAATCCGACTAATTTTATTTTGTCTGAATGAAAAGCACTTTATTTAAAAATATAATTCAAGACAAATAAAACGGTAAATACGTCCAAACGGTCATTACGGTTCCTTTGTCCACTAACGTGTACTTGGAGCTTGTTACGACGTATTGCGTCTTACTTACTGGAGCGAAACTAGACGAAGTCCGTAGGATGTCGTTAGCGAATGGATTGACAAACTTGGATGGTGGAGAACGCCAGATCGTCGATGGAAATATTGGCCACGGGTAAATTTCGACAACGTCGACGCAACAACGCGAAACCAACACAATAATAAACGTACAGTTAAATAAATATTTTTATAGCTTTTGATTAGGTATGAAGTATAAAGAGTTAATTTTGACAAGGTAATGGGCCAATAATATTGAATGCAAAACAGCCATTGGAACATCTGTGAGAGCACAATAAAAAGGGAAAAAGGTAAACGAGTCATGCGCATAAACCTTATCTGATAGCGATCAGCTGACTGCCCAGGGAAACATACGAGCGCGGTCATTTCAATTTAAACAACAACAATATTATTTTAGAAAAATAATAATTTTCACGACGTCGCTATATAAATGCATAATAATATTTCAATCTTGTTAAGTGTTAACTCGATTTTAATTTCCATAATACAGTAGGAAAGTCAGTATTATAAAGCCACAACAGTTATAATACATAATTGTATTATATAAACATTAATTATTTTATTCTTGTCGATTTTTAAAACCAAGTATCGAACTGTGTTAGTTACAATGTATGTTAGTTAGGTGATTATTATTCACGTTGTCCTAGCAACGAGCATAGATGTATTTATTATGTTTTTTTGTCTTTGGTAACTGTATAATACAAGATTTAAAATAACTTTCTATCCCTTTGCTCTGCTAACCTAATTGTTTATTTTATAATGTCCTTTCATGCTCTTTCCAAAATGATATAATTTTTTATAAACGTCCCGCCCTTTTTTGAAGACTACTGTCGTTACACATTTTTATAAAATAAGACGCTAGAAACATTTCTAAATTCCAATATTAAAAATTTCAATAATATGCAAATACAACACTGAACACATTATAATTAATATTCCGGTTACAGGTATTGTTGGCCAGAGTATATTTAATTATATGATGGTTCGAGTCCGAAAGGTCTTGCATTAAAAATTGTCTAAATATTTACAATAAATGAATTTTTTTTTTGTTCAAACATTGTTTATTTGAAATATACATACTACCGATTTAAATTTTTAAACATATGAAAGTAAGACTGTAATTAAATAAAATAATTTTTATTTATAGACAAAATATAAAAACATTCTAGTCTAGAAAAATACCTGAGCAAATCTTGTGGAGTTTACATACTAATCGCCCAAAGGTACCTATACCATAAAAATGATATACTTTTTAAAAAGTTTTAGCATATAATATGCTACCATCAGCAGCTCTCACCTATCACAACAGATGACACGACGCTCCCTTATAATATTTTATAGTTTAATTACTACATTTTTAATTATTTTACATTAAAAATCATTTTAACGTTGTCATTTTCTGTGAACCTCTTACAATTTACATAGGTACGTACAGCTAAAATAATAAAATATTTACAGTGGCCATTGGCCCAGCCCCTTGCAAATTTGTTTTCTTATTTTGCAAGACAAAAATTGAACCAGATAATAATTCCTATAGCTCCTATAATTTAAATGTCAGAGTCATAATTATAATACGTATACCTACTTAGATTACCAAATTTTCATAAACAAATCATCGTGAAGAAAAATATTAATGCACTGTTTTTGATTCATTAAATAATTTATTCTTAAACATTTTTAGAAGTTTAGATTTTTTAACTAGTTTTTAAAATTAGTAGATTGAGTTATCATAAATAGGTGATCTATATTATATTAGCTATAAAATCATAGCAATAAATAATTGTGAAGTCATACAAATTACAGATTGAGGTTCCTAATCAATTCGTAATTATTCAATATAATTTTAAAATTTTGGCCATTTAACCCCTTTATTTAATAAAAACGAAAATGATGCTCCTCTATTGAATAATTATTTCATTGGGTTCTTTGTTAAGTTTGCAAACTGGGCCTTTTCAAAAAGTCTGCCACTGTCCAGAAGGGGTGAATAAAATTATTATTGTAAATTTATTTATTTCGCTTTCTTAGATGTAGTTTTAGGGCTTTTAAAAATTAGACTAGGTATATAATATAACTATAACATTTACAATAAGTAATAATTATATGATATAATTATTATATAAACAGACGATCGACCCTAACACTCAAAATATAATTGTAAGCACATTATATGCTATAGCTTTTAAAATTATTGATTTTTTATTTCTATCATCTACAGATTCGCATCAAAGCTTTTATTTAAAGGTGATTCTATTACTCAGTTGTAATAATTATTTGTAGACCTGTGACCTCTCCCGCCCCATTATGCTCAGACTATACTGCACTGGCTTTTTTTGAATAATCAAGTCAAAAATATTGAACGGTATTAGCTTTTGTTGTTATTATAAGAATTTATGAGAGCAAACCATGCATATTTGAATGGGACTATTTTGTTGTAAATTTAATTGCAAGTAATGATTAATAATTAAAACAAACACACACAAACCGCTCATTAATTTTATCTTTTATACTTTCGAATTAAACAAAATTAACAATAGTAATAATTTATTTTAGAATTTAGGAGTATGCAGTGTGGGCTGAAATGCAACTGGCTGGTAGTAATGCAACATGAAGGCTGCTCAGCGCTGTTCCCGTTGTTGGAAAATAGGAATTTATAAAATAACAAAATGTATTAAAATTAAAGTAAAAATGTTAATAATTACAAAATATTGTAAACAAAACCTTCCGAATCTTATAAATGTATTACATGCAAACCATGATTTATTAATAAACAATAAATAGGTACTTAAAATATATCCATCCTTTTTGTAAACATAACTTAATATATAACAAATTAACTATATCATTTAAATGCAGCAGAAAATAAAGCATGTAATGTCAAATTAAAACATTCTGTAATTAATAATAACAAATGTTATTATGGACAATTAAGTTTTTCATGTTCCAATCACTTGTTTTAAAAATATATAACCTATCTTAAATTCTTATATAAATACGCTTAAGTCTCTTGATGTCTCTTCGCTACTAGAACTACCAGATGTCAAGGTCTCCTCCTTTACTCTAATCACAATATTCTCCTCTTTACTTTTTTCTTTTCCTTTGTCCTGCTTATGTTTGTGATCATGCCTGTGCTTATGTTTATGCTTATGCTTCTTTTTTTCTTTTTTCCTTTTCTTGCTCTATAAAACATTTTTGTACAATAATAAATAAATGCATAATATACAAAAATATAATAGATACATACAGAAGTACTTGATCCATCAACTTTACTATGATGATGGTGGTGATGATGATGGTGATGGTGGTGTCGACTTTCTGTTTGAGTTATTTGTTTAGTAGGTGGTTCTTCTGGTTTTATTTTGAACATTCCGGGCTCAAAGCCCACAGGTCCAGATGTACTTGACACCATAATACCCGGAAGAGACGCAGAGTTTTCCGAAAAATATTCAGTCTTAGATTTGCCTTCGTTGATTTCAAATGTTGGCTGAATATTTGGAATTATAATAATATTCTTTTCTACATCATGAGGCTCAGCAACTTCCTCTTTTATTTCAGGCTAAAAACATAACAAATCAATTAAATAGGAGAAATAGAAAAATATTAATACTAAAATCTTTTAGTCCTACTTTAATCCTTTTCTGATATTGTAATTCATCATAATCGAATGCATCGTCAATGTGGTCATGTTCCACTTTTACTGTATCATCAATTACTTCTGCAACTAGTAACTGGTTTTCAAAATCTGCACTTCTTTTAATGCCACGTTCATCATTTGAAACATTATCTGGCTCAACGATTATATTTGGAAGCATACATGATTTTGCCTAAAACAATGTATAAAGTTTGCCATTGATTAAATACAATATTGTACTTAATCAATGAGTTTGCTAAACTTGGGGGCAGCTTTGAGACAAATTAAATGTAAAGCAGTATTATTTTAATATATTGACTAATATAGTACTTACTTCTACTTCAACTTTAATGGGTTTGTATAACGCAGCAATTTCGGTGCGCAACATTTTTTGCCGTCCAAATAATGTATAATATAGATCGACAAAGTTGCACCTTAATGTTGTGTCATAAGAAAGTAGAGAGCTGTACATGAAAAAAAAATATTTACATATATAAGTATGGTCTTTAATGATTTTTTTTTATCGGCATTCCTTTAAAAGGCTTAAGTTGTGAAAAAAATATTCCTCTACATTTTTTTACTTTTATCTTTTTTCCTACGTCTCCATATTTTAACGAGAAGCCTTTACCTAAGACTTAACCGCCACCAACATAAAACATCTTTCGATCGGATTGAGAAATGAATCTTAACAATACTTCAAAATATCCCTTGTTTAGAACTATGATAAGTATAAACTAGAATACAATTTTTAAATGAGAAATATATTTAAATATTGTTGAGATTTGGTTGTCAGCCTGCTCAAAAGGTATTTTATGCTGGCGGCGTTGGAGCCTTAGGTAAAAGCTTCTCATTGAAATAGGAAAACCAAGGGATAAATAAAAATACAAAATATCTTGAGAAATATTTGTTTAAAATTTGAAGCTATTTTAGGGAGTGTTGACTTAAGTTGTCTAAAAATGTATAAATAATATATTCTAATAAATTATAAATATATAAACAAAATAGAAAATCAATTATATTAATTTTGTATTATTAACTGTTATTTGGCTGTAACAGCTAAGTGGTAAGAAGTTCAGAAAAAATTTTTGTTTCAATTTTCTAATCATTAAACTTTTTTTTTATTAACACGCTTATATTAGCTTCACTTGTATGTATGTATGTATGTATGTATGTATGTATGTATGTATGTATGTATGTATGTATGTATGTATGTATGTATGTTTGTTTGTATGTAACTATGTAACTATGTAACTAAAAGAGATAGGCAACCGAACGTACATGCGTGTATTCATTGTTGTTTACCTGAAGTTTTCAAGTAATATAGACACGTATGTACTAGAATTAAAAAAACACGATTTTAAAGCACATCGAACTAAAAAGTGGAAAATAAATATAGTTTAAAAAAACTAAAAAACACGATTTTAAAGCACATCGAACTAAAAAGTGAAAAATAAAAAAAATATAGTTTAAAAAAACGAAAAAACACGCTTAAATAGTAAAATAAACTAAAAAGTAGAAAATAATTTTCAATATAGAAATCAATTAATAAAAAATAAATAGTATTATTGTGAAAAAAGCCTGGGGTGCTACATATATCAGTTCTTGAAAAGCGCCCTACGCTTTTTTCACAATAATACTATTTATTTTTTATTAATTGATTTCTATATTGAAAATTATTTTCTACTTTTTAGTTTATTTTACTATTTAAGCGTGTTTTTTAGTTTTTTTAAACTATATTTTTTTTTCATAACTCTTATGACTAGTTTACTTTTCATTAATCTATTTAAATATATCTTATGAATAAAAGAATTAACAACAATTAAAACGCCCGCTTTTTTGTGTACTTAAATTTAAGATCTTAAGATTTTGATAAACTACAACTACGTAATTAGTATAAGAAAGCCAATCTATAATTTGCATACTTATCATTTAAATAGTACAGAATTATATTTACTTAATTAATTTCCACAAATGATGAAAGAGGTAGTCATTGTTAAGTCTGCTATTTGGTTTCTTTGGAGTGAATGGGGGATTTTTACATAGCATTCGAACAAGTTCGTTGCGAACTTTAGGATCTGGATCACTATCGGCTATGTCAATTAAATATTTTAAATCGTCCCAGCGCCCATCTAAACATGTAAAGTCAACCAATGCTTCTAATGCACATAGCCTGACATCTGAAAATTAAAAGTAGGTTTGAAAATATAATAAGTTCATATTAACCTTTAGGATCCGCACAGTCTCTAGTCACAATTTAATTAAGTTTGACTTAGATAAACTTTTCAAGTCAGTCACACACCTATACTATGTGACTGGGGTAAATTTTTACCCGCGTACGTCACTGAAAGTTAAAAATGTAAACTAACCAATAAAATTGCCATATGACGCATAAGAGCGAAATATGTTGGGATTATTCGGCAAATGACCAAATTTTTGTAATTTTCTAATAGCTTTCAAACAGGATATGGTGACTGGGCACTTGTATGTTGGTAATCGTTTTTCTACATTTAAATGCTGAGTAATCTCTTCAAGTATAAGTTTTGAATCGCCAGACAATGAATCTGCTGTTATATCACAACTAGATTAAGCATAATAATTTACAAGTTAAATTATTGAACATTGAATGATAAGTTATACAGTGAATTGAGTAACATTTATGTTTTGTAATTAATTTAAAGATTAAGAGTATTGAGTTTTTTACTTACGCTTTTTGCATTAACGATATAACAGGAGTAATAGTTGCTCCTAGGGCATCAATCAAAGCAGCTCTATAATAATTATCAGAGTATCTATTTTTACTATTGTCGTTGTACTTAAATAAATCTAATATAAATTTTAATATTTCAGGAGGACATATTCCGTGAGAATTTCTCAACCCGGCCATCGCAACTGGAATTGTCTGAAATTTAAATTTAGTATTTAATAACTATTCAGTAATGTTAATTATTTAAAAGGAAAATATGATACCTTTTGAAGATAATAATGTTGTACGTTCGAAAAATTATTTTGTCTAATGATGTGTGGACAAGAAAATGAACCAAACATCTTTTTAAATGTTGCCAACATAGCTGGTGGTCCAGTCCAATTAGTAACCATTGCGTTAGCAATCTGAGCAAATAAATAAATGAATAAGCACACAACACAATAATATTTTATTGTACCTTATTAAATACCTTTGTTAAACAATGTGCGGCTTTACATCGTATATTTATATAAACTTGTTCATTTTCAATAATGTCACTTAAAGCATTACGTGTAGCAATTGTTGGAAATTTATCGAGTGCAACGACAGCTTCCACCTGAGCTGTCACGTCTTTTTCATGTCTTAATTGATAGTTCCATTGATATTCAGGTTGTTCTATTATACAGCTTCGTAAAATAGTCATTTCCGGATCTAATCGAATCCATAACACTGGCGAATCATTACTAAAAAAAAAAAAAAATAATAAAGCTGATTTTAAAATAAAATATGTTTAAAATTATTATACTTGAGAATCATTAACTTTTTTTTTTTTAAAGGTGTTAAATTATTTTCCTGGCCGATTTTGTTTTACGATAATATCTTGAGTTCATTTTTGAAAATACTCATTTTTTTCCATAAAATTTTAAATTTTGGTCGAAAAATTATTATGGTTTCAATTGGGTATAAAATAATCAAATCTTTTTTCTGTTTATGAATTACATATTATAAAACACATTTTTAATTTTACTTACTCCATTGCATTTAAGTCAATGTCCACCTCATCTCCAGTACACAATGGAATTTTTTTCTTCTTATTGCGTCTACTTTTAGAATGGCATGTAATATCTGCACGAGCAACATTTCCTTCAATTTGCAACGTATGTTTAAACGGACCATCTAATTCTTGAATACTGACCAGCAACGGACCAACATATTTTCGTATACCCCTTTGAGATACTGCATCTTGTCTAATTTCCAGCTCTAATGTATTTCTGAAAAAATAAAATTGATCATTCTATTGCTTAGTAATTAAAATTAGAAAAATGTTTACCTTTTCCTATTGAATACAAAAGTGCATGTAAATTTAGCATGGCCGCCTGTTCTGACCCACTGATCGATAAAGACTGACATGTCTATTCCTGACACCGTGAAAATAGTTTTGTTAAATATGTTAGTACTGATCAACATGTGTCCCCATAATCCAGAACTCATGGGATTTTGTGAAGCATTACTTGCTAAAGATAAATGCTTGTTCAATACCTATCAATAAAACAAATAATATTAATAAGCTAAAATAAATAATAAAATCAAGTCACCATTAAACAGGATTTTAACACCTAGCTGTCCCCTACATTCCTGAAATTTTATATACCATTCATTTTCCTTAAAATTAGTCTAATTTAACTGTTAAGTAAATTTTATTTACTTAACATTAGACTTAAATATCTATTTTTTTGGAAACTGTTAAGTATTTTAAGAACTTCTTATAACTTTTTAAACTCTGGTATAAAAATGTAAACAAATTTCACCGCTTCACGGAAATACATTGAAATATGTACATGTTATGGGCTGTAACGAGGTGCAAACATATCCCATGGACCCGTAATTTTTTTTGTTTATCCAGCCCAAAAACATATTCATGATAACAAACATAAATATAACATACCCTACTAATTTTCAACTGGCTTAAAAAAATGACAAAAAATATCATGATTCTTTATGGCTAACAAGTTGATTTATATAGAAAAAACTTTAGCAACTTATGGTTAGGTTAAGTAAAGAAATTAATACTTAAACCTTTAACTATAAACAGAGTGTGTATGCATAGAGTGTTATTTTTTTATGGTTAATGGTTTAAATATTAATTTCTTTACTTAACCCCCTCTCCCTTAAGTAGGGTTTATCAAGTCAACATTTTTAAATTTTTTTTTCTCCAAAATTGTATTAATTTTTAAGTTTTATAAACTAGGGTGCCCCTTATGATTTTATAAAATAAAAAATATTTTAATTTATTAATATATCATAATAATTTACTATACCTGTAATAAAAGTGAGTAACCAATACGATTTTCTAACATTCGTAGTACAAGATGAGCTTTTTTTGTCATATAGTGAAAATATCGTGGAGATATTGTGTGCAGACTACGTGTCGAAAAATAGAAATTAGAAGTATCATTGGCATTTTGTACGCTATTGAAAGATAACGATAGCCCTGGATTGGACGAACCTCCTGGACTTAAAAGGCCACTACTTGTTGGAGCTGGTTGTTGTGTGGGGTCTAAAACTATTGGTCCAATTTCTTCTTCGTAACGCACTAAACTCGTCAGCTCCTTTAATTTAAAAAAAAAAATTACATATAATAATCAAATCCACGTATTATCGAACCCATGCATTACATAACAATGCAAGTTATTAATTTTACATTGTGAATCCATTCACGATAAGAATTGTTTCCAAAACATTTTTTAGCAAACAGACCAGACATATATAGTGCTATACCACATGTAAGCCACCAATCTGACCAATTTTGGGTCGAAATGAAACAACCGAAAAATTGTTCAGCCATAACTTGGGCTAGAACTTTTTTCGATGTGTAAACTTGATCAATGATTTGTTTTGGATGAAGAACATTTACACTGAAAAATGTAGATAAAATAAATTCAATAATGACATTTAAAATTGTACATCGTTATGACTATATTTTACCTCATTATGCCCATTGATGCATATGATGCATAGTTGGTAGGAGTTTCATCTACAAATACTTGCTTATAACAACTGTAAGGGTAACCATTAGAAAGTGTGTCTTCATAAAATTCTAATGCTTCATGAGTATATTTTGCAGCTAAAGGTAATAGTTCTGATAGTCCAGGTAAACAAAAATGCGTTATTATATGCATTGTTGGGTCAACATATATTTCAAAAGGTCTATGTTATTAAAAAAAAGAAAAAGTTAAAAATGTACAGCCAATACATTCTGAGTAAATAAGGTTTACATTTATTTATTATCTTACCCTACAGCCAATGCAATATTCGGTGCACTCGTTGGCATTGATAAGTGATAGTAATATGTTTTGCGTCTTAAATCTGGGGCTGCTACAACTTCAATTAAATCTCCGCAGGACACTGCAATCATATTTTCATCAACGGTAAACTCTAAGTCCCAAGTGCAAGGCTCTGCATAACTATCCACACAGGGGAACCATAAGCGCGAAGAATTTTCAAAACATCTGGTATACATGTGAGCTCGCCTCTAAAATTGATTAAATAGTATTTTTATCGTAATGTTTGAAAATGAAATAGTTTATATGCATAAATATATTAAAATTTACTTCTGTTAAAGATCCTTCTCCATCTGGAATTACAAAATGAACACCACCGCTTGGTTGTTCTAAAGAATACTCTATATTTATTTTAAATGTTGTACTGTCATTTACAAATGATGTAATCTCTGGTGGCAGACTTATAACTAATTCCCCATTGTTGTTGTCTGGATCAGTCCCTTGAGCAGCATCCAAGTGACACGTAGAAAAAATACTTAAAGTGGGTCTAAAATATTATAAAATATGAAGTTGTAATATGAATAATACCTAATATTAACTTGATCTGTAAATATGTATGCCTACTCGTCATGTTTATCCTGAGTGATATCAATAAAAGGATCGTAGTACTGAAATGGAGCTTCAATATTATCATTTACTGTTACACGATAAATACGACATTGTTTTGCATTAAGCTTTATAAATCTTAAGTTATTTTGCAAAGGAATAATCGTAAGCTCTACCATGCCCTAAAAATTAAAATTAAACATAATGACTGTAATATTATTGATAGTCCACGTTATTCTAAAAAATCAAATTAAAATTATATTTACCAATATATTTCTTCTTTGAAAACTAATTCCCGTTAAACTTACTAGCTGGTGGGCTGTAAATAAAGAAACACATAAAATCATTTAAAAAGTTTTAAAAATGTAATAATGGTATTACTATAAAACATACTGTGCTCCCTATTTTTTTTTTTTTTTTTAATTCAGAAATTAGTAAAGTAAAAAGTAAAAAAAGATACAATTTAGCGAATAGCTTGGAATACAGCAAATAAACATACAATTTTGGAAATTTATACATGTATTGAAGATTTAATATTTTTCTAATTATTACACCTTAATCCTAATTAAGAAAAAAATACTTATAATTTGTATGGTCTAGCATTGTCTCCTGTTTTATCTTTCCTCATTTTGAATGAATGTGAAATTCTAATATTTTTTTATGATATACTTAAAGTAATTTTTAGTACGGTTATGAGTTGTAGAACATTGTCAAACATTTTAAACGTACAACTTTTTGGTAATAGCTTTAACGAAAAAAAAAAGGAAAATATTTGTAAAGAACTACTTGTAATTTTAGTTTTTACTTTTCACTTTTTTGTAAATACTAAATGTTTAATGTTGTGTAAATAAATGTTATTTAAACGTTATCACCTATCGTAGAGTTTAAGCTTTGATATTTATTGCAAGGAGTTTGTACATAACTGTAGACCGTGGTAAGCGGTCTTTTGTTCGGACTTTATCTTTTTGTCACAATCGTTTTTATGATTAATAAAATATACCTGTCAGCTACTACTTTCAAATTTCAGCGATTAATAATTGGTATTTTCCTATAATGTGTACTGTTTGTCTGTTTATTTTTGACGTTGTTTGTTTTAAGTTAAATTAACTATGTCAAATGCCACGCTATTTTCTTTTGAAGTCACGTGTTAATAATGTAAAATTTGTTGAGATTTTATATTCTGGTAAGGCCCTATTACTTCAAAACTCTCATTTACGACCCATTTAGATTTTCCTATCTGATTATGCAAAGAGTATTGGTAAATTAATTTCTGTTCATAAGAGCATAATCGTTTTGATATATAGATATATCTCATGCATTTTAACATTAAGGAGCTGATTGTGTTAAAACTTTCACGAATTGAACTATTTAATATTTGTTTTAACTATCCATGTCATCATTGGTTAGATGACGTTTCAAACCCTTCGCTTCCTTAGTCGCCGCCTATTATTATTCACACTGAAATATGCAAATTTCAAGAAGCTCTAACTTTTGGACTAAAGGACATACAATATTATAATTCAATAAATCATACACAAACATAATGTCAGTCAACTGACGTCGTAATAGAAGAGAATCTAAATTTACTACTGTAAACTAACTTGTAAGAGTCTTTAGAAATGGAAACATAATCATAAGAGCAATTCTTTTAAATTGAGGTACACCTGATGATACATAAAACTTCCAATATGAAAAGATAACTTACAATTTGTATTCGATTAAGTAGATAAGATGCAATCCAATTTCATGGGAGGAGTGAGGTGAATGTTGTGCAAAATTCCGGCATTGAAAATAAATCCTAACTCTGATATGGTTTAAGTAATACTTGAGTATTTTTTATTAAGTAAATACTAACTGAGGCTACACAAATACCTAGTTAAATTAATCTATAACAATTAGAGGCTCTACCATATTGCTAGTCTTTCAAAAGTTCTATAAATATGCATAAAACTGCACATTTTTGTCTTTCAACGCTCCTGTTATATGTTTTCATCTCAACCGATCGCAATTAACTTTACTTGCCTATAGTGGTGAAAAGTCATAGTAGACAACAATGAGACAAAATCTTTCATTTTAATAAAAATAAATAATTCTGTGGCATTAAGGGCAGTGATACTTATCTGTATTGTTTTCTCCAGTTGGTTTTCTGCTGACACCATCAAATTTCTCAAATCAGTATTTCTAAATATGAAGTATATATATATGTATATAAACATATACCTTTAAGCTAATGTAATATATATTTTTAAATACTTATTTATAGTTCACTACACCAATTAAGATACAACCATGTTGCGAAGGTTTGCTCGTGGCGAAATTAAGCAGCAGGTTTTGCCAGGTTCAGATACTCGAAGTACTATTCCGCGAGGATTGCCTATATTAAATCAACCACCAGAACAAAACTATGAATTGGATTGTGAAGCCCAAAAATATGAAAATGGTGATCCAGAAGAATTTTTTGAACAGGTATTGATATAGCAGAGATAAATTAATTTAATTCATATTAAAATTATAAGAAGTGTGCTTTCAAGTTATTTATAATTATAATCCTAACTATTGTATATCAATTTCTTATTTACATTGGTTATATAACAATTAACTACTTAATTTGAAAATAATATTAATTTAACTATGCAATACATGTTTGTTTATCGATAGTAATTTAAATTTTCTTTATAGGAAGCTCAAAGATATGGTGTGGCTTCCAATATGAGTTGTGTCGAAAGTATTACCTATGTAGGTGGATGCTTAGAAGAATTGAGAGATTTAGAGTCTGATGAATTACATCTTTTTGAAAACTACAAGTATAAAGATTCTTCAGATTCCTCAAATACTTTGCAAATTGCCAAGTTTAAGGAAAAGGTAACAAATTGCTTTTGTCTTAATGTATCTATAAAATGTAACATGTAGTATGCACATTATCCTTAAATGAAATTTGGTGATCTCACTTCTCATATGACCGTAATTTAAAAAAACACTAATCAGTATTAAAACTTGGGTATTTTTTAAAGTGATTAGCTTTTACATTTTAAGAAGTGTTAGTATTACTTTGAATAATTAATTATATTTTAATGTAGATTATTCAAACTGTCAATTCAAACAGTACAGTATTAATAACTGGAGTAACTGGATGTGGTAAAAGTACACAAGTACCGCAGTTTATTTTAGATGACTGTATGACAAGAAAGAAACACTGTAACATAATTGTGACTCAACCCAGACGTATAGCCGCTATTTCAGTTGCTAAACAAGTAAATAAAGAGCGTCGTTGGAGAAATGGGCTTTTTGTTGGTTATCAAGTAGGACGCAAAAGAGATTATGATCCATTTACTACAAAAATTTTGTACTGTACTACGGGCATTTTATTACAAAAAATAATCAAAGCCAAAAATCTTTCCGAGTTTACACATATTATTTTGGATGAAGTTCATGAAAGAACTCTAGAAATGGATTTCTTATTATTGGTGATAAAAAAACTAATGAGGACAAATTCAAAATCTGTTCGAGTAAATATTTTTTTATTATATTCTTATTAACATTGTTATTTAAAATGATCTTTTTTATAAATCCTTTATTAAACATACCTTTAGGTGATCTTAATGTCGGCAACTGCGGAAGCATTCAAGTTGTGCGATTACTTTGGCGAGTACTACGGGCCACCTCATAATAGAAATGTTCCTGCACAAGCAATTAATGTCTCCAAAACATTCAAACATAAAATTTACAAATATTATTTAAATGATTTGTTTCAATCAATTCATTATGTGAGTACAGTAAAATTAACTGAATATTTTTTTATACCATAAAATGAGCCTTCTTAGTATTTTACAAATTCATATGTCGTAAGACAAAAAGAAAGTAATAGAGACACTACTTGATGTACACACTGTTTGAACTGAAACTTGTCAGAGCACTAGAGTATAACGGATTGCCGTCGGGGTTCTTCGAGGATGTCGAAGAGCCGTTGTTTACACTGGATTAAAAATAATTAGAGATTGAGAAAGTATAGGTACAAGGTGCGAACGGATACTTAGAGAGATGAAGGAAGGATAAAGTACGAGGTGCGAACGAATCGCAAGACATGGGTACGAGGAGAGAGGAGAGACTCCTAGGTGTTAAATGAACGAACTCTCAAACTTAAACCTTGTAGACGGACAGCGACAACCTACTCTTGACTGATGACATGTGGTTATGGTAAAGTCAACTGATGAAAAAGCAATGCCTTTCCGTCTCTTTTATATTGGTTTAATATTTGCAATTAAGCGTTATTGTTAATTTAATCGTTTGGTCATCAGTCTCGAGTCGCCGGAAGTACTGCCCGCATTTATTTAAATAACATGTAACCTATATTGACGACATGGCCGTCATATAACACATAGTTATATATAATAGATTAAATATTTTAATTTTAGGCTTCCAAAATGAATTTAAGTAAGCCCCAGATAGAAGAAGCTGGTTACTTGACAGCAGTTAATTTAATTAAAGAGTTTGACAAAATGGAATTGGAGGATACCCACAAAAACGCTTCTGTTTTAGTATTTTTACCTGGAATCTATGAAATAGAAGAAATGCATAGACTTATGGAAGTTGCCATCGAGACTGAGTTTGTATTTTTATTTATTATTTTTCTTGTTGATAAGTTATTTTATTTCATAATCATTCATTAATTACAGTTATTTTTCTGTAACATTAATTTATGTCATGCATCCTAAGGCATTTGATATTCAAAATGTTTTAATTTTGGGGTTTCTTCATTTTTTCAAATTTTGTTTGCTATGATGATGATTACACTTAATGATGATCATTAAACACTTATTAGGATTTTACTATAGAATTTATTTTATATTATATTCAATTTGCTTTTCGACAGATTGTCCTTAATTTAAACAATTTTTAGTAAAAATTAAAAATAAATGATTATATGAGTTAGTAGTAGGTTAAAAGATATTGAGAACTAGTGTTTTATTTTTCAATGAAATTTTTATGCATGTTTGTTTAGAAAATTTAAATGGACATTAATCCCATTGCACTCGTCCATTACAAGTGAAGAACAAGATCGCGTGTTTGATATTCCGCCAATGGGACATCGTAAAATAATATTATCAACAAATATTGCCGAAAGCTCTATAACAGTTCCAGATATTAAATTTGGTTAGTGACCTGATTGATTTAATTGAAAAAACTATCGTGTTGTAATTTATAATAATATATATTATATATATGTTATAGTAATCGACTTTTGTTTAATGAAACAATTAAAAAATGAACTGAGATCAAACTACTCCATGCTGGTTATGACATGGGCATCAAAAAGTAATTGTGATCAAAGAGCAGGAAGAGTTGGCCGTGTTGCTGAGGGAAGAGTGTATAGACTTGTTCCTAAAAGCATGTATGATGTAAGTATTTATATAATAATATAATTTTATTTTTTTGAAATGTACATTAGATTTATAATAAAAATATAACATTAAATTATATTAATTTACAGTTATGATTTGCATTATAAATGTTGCTTGACAAACAATAAAAGCCAGTAGTACAGTGGGTGGGGTCAGTGCATGGTGGGAACGGGTAGGTCATAGGTCTACAGTAATTATTATAACTGAAAGTGATAAAATCACTTTTAAATTGACGCTTTGTTGCGAATCTGTGGATAGTAGGTTCAAACCAAGCACAGTAATAAAGTGTTTTACGTAAGTGAGTAAGTAAGGTAGGGGAGGTCCAGTGTTCACAGATAAAAACAAAAATATTGATATAATCAGTGATTGAACAATGACAATTATGTGTTTAAAAATTAAATTTTAGTATTAGAATAGATACGATAAGTTTGATCATCTGTCTATAAAAATGTATACCCATATACTTATAACGTAATTAACAATATAACGAAAATATATTTATTACCTGTTGACTGTTGAATCACTTACACAGTACCTGAAAAATTATTACGGTGTTTTACCCACCTTTTTTTAGTTTTTCCTTAAAAAAAAAGTTTGACTACTGACTTTTGAAAAAATTGTATGTGTTATAATTCTATTCTAAATCTACCTTTGGCCTAATTTACAGACATAAATCCTTAAAACTGCTTGAAAAAGTGAAATAAAGATAAATTGTTTATCACTTCTAGGGAAAAGGGTTTATGATATTTTTTTGTTTGTCCATGTTTGTCGGTAGTACTTTGTTTAAAGAATATTTCATGCAAAATTGGTATTAATTCGACTATTTTTAAAAAAATTATGGTGCATCGTAATTTTAAGTTGAAAAATATGTATAATTTTTGTTGTTTTGTTCGATTTTGAAGGGGAAGGGGTAAATGTTTTTAATTTTTGGCCTGGTAAAATACCTTACACAACCAAAAATCAAACTTTATATATTGAATCAAAATTTTTTTTTATAAATCAAATTTTAAACTGATAAATAGCACTGTTGACAAAATGAGCATTTTTTAACATTTAATTTTCTTCAAGTTGAGACCTAGCTAATTTGGTTTTTCTCGCTCAAAACGGTATATTATTCAAAACATTTTATCAAAATTGTTTTGAATATTAACGATATGTCTATATTTATAAATTGTAATTTATGTGTACAATTATTATGATTGCTTTTTATAATTAGATAACAATAATTAAATCGTTTGAGTACTTATATTATTGCAAGTTAATTAATTGTATGTATATATATGTTGTATAATGTCATTATTTATATATTTAAAATCTATAATTACCATTTTAGAATGAATTTGAAGCTGAAGAGAAACCAGAAATGTTACGATGTTCATTAAGTCGTATTATACTTATGTCGAAAGTTTTAGATATGGGACCACCTCTTATGCTCCTTAAAACAGCAATGAGCCCACCGGACCTAAAAAACGTTAATCTTACTATACTTACTCTTAAACAGGTAAGATTGTTGTAGAAACACTATGAAATATAAGAAGATTATCATAAACATTTTTGTGAAGGTTGGAGCACTATTGCCTACTGTAAGTGGAATGATTTCTCCATTTGATGGGGATATTACATTTATGGGCAAAGTAATGGCTACATTACCACTTGATCCGCCAATGGCAAAGTTGATTTATTTTAGTTACATATTTAACATTCTTGATGATGGAATAATAATGGGTAAGTAAAATTTTAAATATAGAATGTTAAAATAACAACTGATGTTTGGAAAACTGATAGAATTATGATTATTGTTGCGAAATGTATTAGTTGTAATTTTTTTATTTCCATTTGATTTTAGCTTGTGGTTTATCGTTGAAAAGTATATTTAGTCAGCCTTTTAAAGAACGATTAGGAGCATATACACAAAAGTTAATTTGGGCTAATAACTCGTGCAGTGATCCGGTTGCTTATATTTCAGCTTTTAAGGTTTAACGAAATCATTTTTATGTTCTCATTTGTACGAGACGATCCCAATTTAAAACTGAATTTTTATAGAGCTGGCTTCAAAGGAAACCAGAGTTCGATTATAATAGATCAACTGAAAAATTATGGGCTCGTCAAAACTTTATTCAATTATCTGCGATTCGCGAATTATATGACCTTACTGATGATGTTAGCGATAGATTAAGTAGATCGTTTCATATTAGAAGAAATTCAGGTAATATGAAATGGGAACACAAAGAAGAACAAGCATTGGTCCTTAAGGTATAGATGTGGAGTTTATAATGAAATATGCATATGTGATCTGACCACATAGAGGAGGAGTGGCCGAGTAGGGTAAGGCGGCAGTGTGTTAGCGCTCACTGTCGCCGGTTCGACACTCGGTCACAGGCGCTCCGTTTGCTGGGCGAGCAATCATCCGGTAAAAAGGAACCGCCATCCCCCTCTCCGGCGACGGATTGACGACCCGTCCCGGAAGCGAATTCGTCAAGAAACCATCTCATGATGGCAGCATTGGGCCTTCATGGTCTGTTAAGCTACATGATGATGATGATGATCTGACCACACAAATTTTTCCGGCTTAAATTTCAATCTAAAAATTATATAATATATTTTTAGGTTATATTGGCTGGATCGTTTTATCCAAATTTTTTTGTGCGCGGAACAAGCAATAGATTGGATCCACATGAAGTAAGTAAATTAATGGATGGTAAAGTTCCCGGTAATACGGTATATTTCACTGGATTTCCCGATGATCAACCTAAAATGCTGTACAAGGAAGCTATTGAAAATTTGTTCCCTGCTAAATATGTTGGAAAACCAAAAGCTTTATTTAATGATACTAAGTGAGTAATTTAGTTATAGAGTTTTAAAGCGTATAATATGATTTCATAATATGTTAGGCTTAATTGTCGTATTCAAAGAAAGTTTTTATTTAACTGCTATAATAGTCCTTAACTTGATGAATTCCCAGTTTAATTTAGATTTAATTACTCAAAATAATTCATTATTATAGATTGTCACATTTTGCAGTTATTATATATATATATATATATTATCATGTACCATTGATAATTTAATAATACATTTTTTTTATCTTTCTAGCAAAGTTTTTGTTGAATTTCAAGAAGTTGGTGATACGCGACGGATTCATAAAAGAAAATTAGTACCAGACAATGTGTGTTTTGGCGTTTATGTGGCTTTGAAAATGAAACGATTAAATTTTGATTTTAGAATACCATTATTAAAGTACGTATACTTTTAACATACTAATAACAGATTTATTAAATGTTAACCATAAGTTACTACAAAATGTATTTCTGTGTATTGCGACTTCCTGAGATCAACAAATTGCAAATTTTTTGAAAATGGGTTTTTCGCGGTTTTAAAACTGGAACAATAAAAATTATAAAATTGATAAATAAGATCGTTAAGAATTAATCTATCAGAATTATCCAATTATTTTTGTACATGTACAATTGTTAAAAAGAATAATTTTTCAATTCATTCTATGGAAAATAAAACTTTTTGCAGATAGGTCATTGTTGTTATGAAGCTGTGGTTTTTAATTAGTGCATTTATAATAGTAATACATTCACTAAATGTTAAAAAAAAAATTAGCAAAACAATAGTTATCCCTATAAATGTTCAATTGTAGTCAAAGGATTGGTTAAAACATTGTTATTTACTTGTTAATTTATATAATAGTCCAGCAGATGCTGCAAAAGAATACGAAAAAATGCAAAAAGAAGAAGCCAAACAACAAAGTTTAGGACAAAATAAGTTGCCCGTGTATTCAAGTCCAGTCAATAAAATAAAAGATGATGAAAAATTTATTAATGTTCAGATATCGTTTGTAAGTATTATTAGTTTCCTAAAAATTTTGTAATCACAAATTTAATAAATTCTATTTAAACAGGAATAAATCCTATTCACTAAATATACATTAATGTTGTTAATTGTAAAAAATTAAGGTGGAATCATTTGGGCGTTTTTGGGTACATTTGATTGACAGAGACAGAAAAAAAAATTTCATGGACATGTGGGCTCTTGTAAATAGTGCAGATTTGTATGAAACCAATATGATCAAATCAAAACCAAACTCATTGAAAATAGAAGAAATTTATGTTGTGTCTTATGATGAATATATGTATAGAGCTCAACTTGTTAGTATTACAAATGATCCACAACAAAAATTTAAGGTATAACATAGAAATGAGATCACTTGGCTTTATTTGTTACAAAACATTTTTTTTTTTTTAATTTTCAGTTTATGTTGATTGATTTTGGTGAGTCTGTAGAGTTGAGCATTGATAAAGTGTTTGACTTTGCAAATGACTCGTTTAAAAAAAGTGTTCTTAAAATACCAAAATTAGCTATTGAATGTAGATTTGCCAACATTCGTCCTGCGTTGAATGGAAAGCCTGTATCCAAATGGTGTAATGAAGCTAATGAGATGCTTAGTAAATATTATAAAGACTCTAGTAAGGAAATTTTAGAGGGAAATGTAAGTGAAGTATTTCTTTTTATTAATCTGGATGTAACTTTGAAAACCAATAAACATTTTTGAACCTTTTTAATAATCATACAACTGGTTTGAACTATGAATTTGAGCCCGGAGAATTACCTATCTATATTTTTATTCTGTAATTTAGATAATTGATCCATGTCGACTAAAGATTATATTACATAAATTGTTGTTTATTTAATTGAGTAAATACCATGTTCCAATAATAAAAATTAGATACAATATCCAACATAGTAGGCAATAGTAAATTTGTTGGTGCCACCATATGCATTCACCTTAAATTACACCAATTGTTCTATAAGTACATTTTTTTTCATTACAGATTTATTCCATTGTAAAAAATGTAATGGTGTTCGAAAATTTAAAAACTAAAGAGTATACATTCCCTGAATATTTTCTTGCAAGAAAAATGGCATTGAAATCCGAAGAACCCTACGAATCCAAAGTATTACATAGAATAAATTTATTATTTTGGAGAACTGATTTATTAAATGTTTAAACAATTTTCCTCTAAAGATAAAAATTATTTACTTAACACAAAAATTGCATGTTCTTATTTATGAAATACAATTATATTTTTTTGTTATATTTTATATTATGCTCTACTAACTTAGATTTTCTTACTTTAATTGTATCAACTTTTACTTTAAGGAAAATAACAGGATTCGTTTTCACACGTACCAAAATTTTGGATCATCGACTTCTAATCAAAATCAATATAAAAGCATCAATTTGCAGTCACTGTCTTTGGGTGGACAACATTCAACAGTAAGAATGTTTTAGTAAACTCTCTTAAACTAGTCATTAAAATAAAATAAATATAAAAATAGTAAATATTGTGTATATTAAGGGTGTGTGGTTATTCAAATTTTGAATAATTTATCAATGAATTTGAATTGAATTTAATCAGTTAATAAAAATGCTTGTTTATTCAGTTCAATTTATAAAAATATTGAATTAAATGAAACAAATTATTGATATTGCATACATTCTTTTGACCGGCATTCATTGATACTTTTTTTGTGTTAAATACACGTGTATTTATTTTGAAATATTATTAATTTAATTTTGTGCACGTTCAATTTGGACAATTTAGCTTGCTCTTAAGGGCCCTATTAACCCACTTGAAATAACAGTTCGTGGCATCAACCGCCATACCGAATCCAAAATAGTTTCTATCGAGAGCCAATCTGTCAATTCAATATTGTTGGATACAGCATATCCACATGATTACTATGAAAGGTAATCCTTAAATAAATATATTATGTCCTACATTTTATATATTGTATTATATCAAAGGCCAATTTTTTCTTGAAAAATGATAAATATAATTTTTATTTTTGTACATTTTTTTTGGATTCTTATGTTATAAATTTAAGTGTTATCGGCAATAATTATAATTTATGTATATTTGTTGATTATTAGATTATTTGTTGCTGGAAATGTGTCCGTTAACGAAACTGAAAAAATAACTTTGTGGGATACGACAATGATGCCCAGCATGGCCGGGATACCTGCTATTATCTGTATGATATTCTCTCCTTCTGTTGAAATAAGGTATAACAGATTAACTTTTTTGTGTATAATTACATTCTTAACTTGTCTGTGTTTTTATATCTGTGCAAGGTGTAATATATCGTACACAAAAATGATAGGCGCTATTTGTGGGTTGGGATATGATCCGAAAAATGCAAGACCTTTGTTTGCGGAAAACGACATCGAAATCACATTTGACACTGTCATTGATCAAACAATGTTGGAAAAAGTAAAACGGATTTTAGCTTTTTATTTTATTCTCGAGTTTAATTTTGATATTTTTTTTTAGATAAATACTGTGAGGATGCTATTGAATAAATGTGTAAATCCAGAAGATGACGAAGGACCAGGTGAAATTTTCGAAGTACAGCATAAATTAAAAAATGAGTTGATCCAGTAAGAAAACATTTTATATTTAATTAAATAATTATGATTTATGATAAGTTGTTTTTATTTAATCGTTTATATTTTTTATGTAGAATTTTTAGTACTGAAGCTAAGCCCAAGGCACCAGAATCAGTACCTTTGAGCCGAAAATATATGTGGGGACTTATTCCCAATTCGAAACAACAGATGCCGTATTGTGAAGAAAGCCCTGTTGATCATCCCATGGCTGGTTCAGATGTTTATAAATTATTGTGGGGTGTTAAATTGGAATCCAAACTCATTAATGTGGAATGTAAAGAATTGTTGAACAAGTTGTGTAAAGTTAAAAGATTACAAGATAAGTAAGTTTAACAATAAATAATAAGATCTCATTTCTAGTAGACATTTATTTATTTATTGTTTCAGTATTGATTTTAACTATCGTACGTGTGAAGTAATTAACGAAGAACTTTTTTGTCCATTATGTAATTATACATTTACAAGTAATGTGACCATGTTAAGCCATTTTAAACACAAATTACACGTTGACCATTATAATAAAGCCAAAGAGGAATTGCAAAGATCTTACACTGGTCCATATGAAGACATAAAACATCTTTAATTTATGTTTATCTCAATGAAATTATATTTTAAGTAATTGATTCTTATTTACATGTATATTTACACATATAGTTAACAGTTAAAGTTGACAAGAAAATGTATTTGCCTTTGTATTAAATTTTCGATTAAAAGCTGTTTTTTTATTTTGTAATATCTATTATCTATGGATAAACGCAACTGTTGAATATTATATCTCTTAGGCGTTAGAGGGTTAATTGTCTGACTGCAAAAAGCAAGTGATTTTTTTTTTATATATTTACAATTAACATTTAAAATTGACAAAAAAAAAATAATTGTTTTTTTTTTTTTATATTGTTTAATTTTCTAATAAAAATTGTTATTCATTTTGTATCTCTGTATTTATATGATTTGTTTGTCAAAAATGTAATTTCTTAACTGTTTATTATTTACTTCAGTTTCATTATCAACTTTCTCGTACAGTATAAATCCTATCAATAAAAGTAAACCACTTTTGTATGTAAATCAAGTGGCAATATTGTATGATAAATAGGGGATAAGTAATACCAATTGTAAATAAGTTGTGAACTTTTAATAATAAATAACTATATAAGATTCAGCATCAAGCCAATAAATAAAGAAAATGCTTAAACTTTGTAACAAAAAGAATCAAAATTATGCATAGTTTTATAACATTAAACTGCAGTAAATATTTAATTAATAACTTAAGCAACAATATGTAAACTATAAATTCTAAATTCACACAAATGAAAAAAAAGTAAATAATGTGTCAAATATTCTCTGGTTATACTTATATAACAATTTTTTTTTTTTTCATAAATTAAACACTTATTCTATAATATTGGTTCATACTTGCAACGCTTTTTTTTCTTATTTTTTGACTTGTGACTTCCATTTTCTGTTGACAAAATAAATATAATATAGAAGTACATAATTTATAAAAGGTTACTTTACTAGTATTGAGTAATAATGTTTAAATATAATTTATACCATAAACGGACATATTAGCGACAGCCTCTTCCAATACTTCATTCATTGAAGTAGCGTTGGCAGTTGATCCTAATGATGGCCATTGTGAAGATTGTGTAGCTATAGCGACACTTGATGATGGTTTTACATTGCTAATATTTTCATTCTGCAAAGCCTAAAATAAGAGTATCATATCATCAGACGTCTACTAATTTCAATATAACACGTCAATATTTTTCAGTGTATTTTTAAAAAGAAACAATACTCGATAGTGACATTTGATAACTGTCTTATTTTAAATACAAAACTAATAATACTCAACAAGAGAAATGGCATAAACTTATACGGGATATTTGTTATTACTTATACTTAATTATAGTATTCATATTAAAATTGAAATGTTACCTTCGCGAATGATAAGTTGGCCGATCCTTTAGACTTATGGGAAGTAGTAGAGCTGTTTGTTACTGGAGAAGACGACGTCATGCCAATTGATTCGCTCAACGGAATCATACTAATAATGATTAAAAAAAAAAATGTTTAAATTAGATTATCTAACAAATCAAAATGCCCAAAAATTCAGCAATATTCCAATAAAAAAAATTTCCGGTTTGATAATTTTTTTGAACATTATGAACAAGAAATACTTTCCCCCATTTTTCTCAAAAATAATAGTGTTTTTCTTTAATATTTTTTGGATGTGTTATTTTTAGGAATGTTTGATTCCTAAACAGTTATATAAAATACCTTTCATCTGCAAATGGGTCGTATCCACACTGTGGAAAAATGTCTCTGTTTTGCCATTCTGGAGGTGCAATTTGTTTTTTTTGATTTCTCTCTTCAATACGTTTAGCGAGTCTCTGTTCTTCTCGAGCACGTCTATCTCTTATAGCTGTCCTTTCATCTAAATTACCTGAAAAAATATAAACATTGAATGTTAAATGACAAAATTAATAAATTCTTTCTCTTAATTAAAAAAAAAAATACTATAATAATTGTATATATATGTTAAAAAAAATGTGTAATTACTTTTGAATAATTCAAAAATGTCTGGTGACACTAGATTGGTCATGTCAATTTCAACCCATTCAAACACAGTAGTTATTGGCAAATGAAGCAAAAACCTATAGCGCTTTCTCAACGCTTCAGTCATGGATAAGTATTGCTTTTCTTTTACAATAGCTGTCAACAGCTGTGGACTGTTTTCAAGATTACCGTACGTTTTTTCCAGCATTTCTACATTAATAGCTGACAAATAGATATGTTGACCATCGACCGCTGTAAAAGATTGTATTTTAAATGAATTTTTCAACAAACGTTAATAATAAAATAATAAATACCTTGATAAAAATAGAAGTCTTTTTTAATAGACTTATTTGGTGTTTCATTAATTTCATTAAAATTAACGCTTTTAAGTTTGTCGTTACTAAATATTATAAAATAAATTAGATTTTATTTAATACATCAACAAGACAATTTATCTTACATATTTTCCGTGTAGTTTGATGTTATTATCTTTTCATTTTGAGCACAAGGAATGTTAGAAGAGCATCCAGAAATATCAAATAAGTTTTTCACACATGATAGCTACAAAATAAAAATGATAAAATATATAGAAGTGTATCTTTAAACATTTTCTGTGTAAAATATATATTACTGGTGATGTTCCTAGACTTGTACTAGGAAAAGATTCCACAAAAGTCGTGTCTTCTAATTCTTTCGTGGTCAAAATCTATTGATTTTAAACAAAAATTAAGTAAAATCAAAATATAATTATACTTGTAAACTTACAGGCTGGTCGTTCATTAAAATATCTTCTCTTGTAGATAACAACTCGAGTGCTTCAAAAATATATTTTTTCTCCACATCTTCCGTTTCCCAATAATCTAGAAGGGATACAAGAGCTTCCCTTTCTTTGTTCAAAACATTTAATATCTGAAAAAGAGTTTGAATTTTCACTTATATAAATAATATACACACAACATATATATTTATGTTGTATATGTGTGTGTGTATATATATATATATACACACACACATATACAATGTATAATTTGTTTTCAAACTAACTTCGTTCTTATTAGCAACAAGAATTCTAGAAAACACAGTAGAGAAATTTGATTCTGAAACTGATAATGGAGAGTTATCAGTCGGCTGTAAATTAATGTTTTGGCGTCCGAGTTCAGCGATAGGATAAGCTTGTAATGAATTTCTAGCCCGTTTCATTAGTTGTAGTGTAATGGATTGACCAACACTGCATTCTTCATTTATAATCAGTTCGACGCTAAAAAAAAAAATAATAATAATATACACAACAAGAAAGGTGTATATATATTTATAACTAATTGGTGTTTTTCAAACAAAAAAAACGTTTTAAAATATGGTACCTATCAATCTAAAATGTATTTTATTATTATAGTTTATGTCCTATAAAGTTAAACAAACAATATACTAATATTGTTGCATGTTTTTTATTAACTTAGTATAAATATTCTGTACCAAAGATAATTTTAACATTAATATAATGTATTAAAGTTAAACTCAATTCTTTGGTTTGGCGGCCATAAATATTCACATTTGTATTTTTTAATAACTAATGGTATTTGTACAACAAATGGATTAACTCAATTCTAGAGTGACTAATAATAATTAACCTTACGAGGCAGAGTAATTGAAGAGATTAAATTCTGCATTTGACTGATTTTAATTTGACCAAAACATAGTTTTAAATAATCACTTTGATTTTTAGGATGAACAAATAGTTTTAAAAAAATTTAAGAAAAATGTATGATATAATATATATATATTGTTTAAATAATGCAAATCAAATTGTTTCTAAAAAAAATCCATAAAACAAAGAGTCATTGTGTGTTAAATAAAAGTTAAAATATTATATTGAAATAATATATTCTACGCTATTTTAAAACAGTTAAACTCACCTTTGAAGTTCTTTTTTTAGTATTCTAGAATGGCAAATAGGACAACCATCAACATCAAGTTCTTTATTGATGTCCAGATAACGTAAAATACATGGCCAGCAGTATATGTGTCCACAGCTGGTCATTTTCGGTGTCGTAGGAATGTCCATACATATCGGGCAGTTTATGGCTTGAGTAGAGAACATTTTCTACACAACAAATGTATACTTAATATGTTTTAAAAATAAATTTGTTAAATTTAAAAAAAATAGTATTTTCCATTTACACACTAATAATACTAGTATCATTTATCATTTCAATTAAATAACATTAATTTAACTCACAATTTGTTCAATGTATTCCCAATTTACAATTTCATCTTGATTAGAAATCCAATATCCATAGTCTTTCCCTGCCTTTACCACAAATTGGCAACTATAACACAATGAAAAAATGCATATACATTTAAACAGTTCTTATCGACAAACTATAATTAAATTAAAACATACTTGGCTATCAAAAAATGTTTAATATTAAATTTGGGAGGTTGTGCTTTTTTCCTAAAGCTACAACCTGGACCGTTTTGTGAATTCCACATTCTTGTTTGATTCCAGTGCCGTACAGTTGGCAACATAATATCATCATCCCCAACGTCTTGCAATGATTCTATTACCTAATTGAAAGAAATGATGTATACATTTTATCAACTAATATTGTTGAAAACAAATAACCATTATTAGTTTCATATTTTTAATTATATTAAAAATTAAGTTAGTTTTAATACAATTTTAATTTTAACAAAATAAAAACATGATCAACAAATATATAAGAATCTGATTTTGTTGTTACTCGTGTAAAAACATTATCCATCTCCCATTTTTAGGTATGTTTACAAGTGTAAGAAATAGAACTCTAACCTCGGAACCCTTCTTTCCACAAAACAAACTAGCTCGAGGTTGTGGCTGTTTATAGTTGCTAATAGTCTTTTTGAATGATGCCCCTCGATTAGTATCAGCTTTTTGAGGTTGGCCAGCAAAAGACTTTCCATTTCGACGATTATTTGTGAACTTGGAACTAGAAACATCTGTAAATAATGAATTAAATATTTATGAAAATGTTTAATTGAAATTGATATACAGGCCAAAATCACATTTTATTCATTTACTAAAAATACATATTTCCCTATAATTAAAAATGTTTTCAAGAATCAAACAACCATTACATATTTAAAAACAAAAAAAAAAGATTAAAAAAATAAAAAACAAATGAAATTCATTTGTTCCAGAAAAGTTTCAGGGAAAATTACTGTAAAAAAATGTATTTAAAACTTTTTTTTTAATTTGTAAAATAGTTGTTCAATTTAGGAAAACATACTCAATTTTAAACAAAAATTGTATTTTTAGTTATTAAATTAAAGTAAAATTATTTTCAATACATCAATTATTAATTCACAATAACATTGATAATATATAAAATATAAAAAAGGCCCCCTCTGGAGGGTTAAGCAAGCCTATTTGCATTTATTAATAAATAATAGAAATAAATTTAAATATTTTCATTGATAAGAGAAGAATTGATAGAACATATAAAAGTTCCAAAAGATTTAGTGATAAACTATGGAGTATTTTACTAAATAGATTTTATACCTTGCTCTATTTTCCACCCATTAAGTTATATAGGTATCGGTTTTGCAATAAAAGGTTCTTTTTTTTTAACAGTATAAACGAAAAAATATCTTAACATTAGCGTTATCCCGATTCCTGGTACTATACGTATATTTTAATATAATATATAATAAAATACATATTATGTATACATGGACAGTACTAATAATTGAAAACTGCAGCTGCAGCTGTTAGTGAGTAGGGGCTAGTGAGGAACTATATTACTATATTAGGCAAAATATGGACTGCCCCTTATTGCCAACATTGCCGCAAGATAAACTATTCCTCGCGCAGAATTACCGATTTTTCATTTTTCTTCCATGGAATTTTATCCACCAATAATTATATTATATTATAAAAAAAGGTACTTTTTAAAATGTTTTATGTTAATATTTTATACTGTAACTTGTTAATGGTCGTTACTCTTCGAAATGTTGCAATTGAATTTAATTTGTTAATTGATTTAGGCAACTTAATTTGTTCTATTATTTATTACAAAATTCACTAATCTCAGCTCTATCAACGACAAAATCGTTTTGATTAGTAAAAATGTAATAAAAGTATTACGACTGCAATTGTCCTACAAGCTTATTTACCACATTCTATACATTGCATATTGCATAAAAATTCACCTTTTTTCGTCTTCCCTTTATTTTATTTTTGGTCCTAACTAATCAAGTTTTTACTTTTATATACCTAGTTATAACGTAGTTTAAAAAAAACCTATCGAGATATCTAGAAAATAAATCGTGCCCGATAATTCTAAGCCGGCACGCATAATGGAAGTAGGGGGAGGGGGGTAAAGAATAAAATAAAAACTTTTCGAAAAATAGTTTAAATGAATTCAATTAAGAGATTTAAAAAATTTAAAGTCTAATCCAACTTCGCCGAATTTTTGTCTCGTAATAGACAATAATATACAAGGATTGAGTAACAAACGAGTCCAATTTTTTCGGATAAGGACACACACATTGGTCTTTATGTTTGGTTCGTGACTGAAAACGTTTTAATTTTTTTATTTATTCCATAGCAAGCTGCACGACCTGTATAAAATAAGAATAATGAATAAGGAAAAGTCAATAGACAATAAAATGCACGATTATTTATCATCTTATGATTATCTTAAATGGTGCTTAAAAATATAAATGAATATAGATAAGACCGGCGAGAGGGAGTGGTGCGAAATGCGCAGTGTTTAATGGGTCAGCACTGATTTTCTTCCATGAAATTATTTCGTTTGATGTATACAACACAACAGCAGGAACCCGAGAACACGGATTATAATGATGATAAACAATTTCCAAACGTATATGAAATTCACACAATCGTAGACAAATTTATAATTAAAAAATCGTCCTGAGTGGTTGTTTAACATTCAATATTACTATGAAACTCGCTAAATGATGGTAAACAAATGCAGTGTTACCGGCTGTAAAAGTCTATATGTAAAGGAGAACGTTCGACTACACAGGTAAAATAAAATCACATTCAACCTCCATAAAAGATGGAGGTTAAAACTAATGTGTCATGTTATTGGTGTGAATAATCAAAATATTACAATTCAATTTGGTGTGGTAACAATATGTTATCAAGCATCATTATTATTGATATATTTGTTAATATTAATTACTAATTACTTGCGAATGTACCTAGATTTCCATTAGGAAATGCAGAAACATTACCATTGTGGATTGCAGCCACTAAAAGGGATCCAGAATGGAAACCTTGTAAGAGTAGCAGATTGTGTGGAAACCATTTTAAAGCATCTGAATATGTAGTTGGACACAGTAAAGGCGTTTTGAAGCCCTCGGCTGTACCAACGATAGATTATTGCGTTGAAATACCGGTAAAGTAATACTTGTCAAGCTAATCAAAACTGATTGAAGCTCAATTTAAAGAAAATAACTTAAATATGATTTTAGAGATACAATAAAAAGAAGTATGGGAATTTCAGAGTGTACGACAAAATGAAACATGTGAATAAATTAATCAAAACTGAACCAACGGTAATTTATTAGCAATCCTAATAATATATTTTAGTATGAAAGACTGGTAAAATTGTAGCATTTAACATGATATCCAACAAACATTTTTAGTATGCCAAAGCTTTATTTATAAATGACTTGTAATTGCTTTAAAGTTGTTTAAAAGAAATAGAAATGCAATTATATATACATTTAGCTATAATAAAATCGTATTTAAAAAAAAAAAATTGTATTATAACAATATCCAGGTTTTTAAGGATTATTTAATATTAGTTTATTTTTATTCCTGGTATAGAGTCAAGGAAATCAAACTCCTATCGAAAGAGTCAATATCGACTACAATAATATATTTAATAGGAAGATCACCGAAAACAATCGTAATAGTGATAAAAATAAATATGCTCAAGACGAGGTATCATCGATAAAAGAAAGTGACACGCTGACTTTGTCTGATTATGACGATGATGATGATGATAATAGTGATAATGATAATAGTGGGAGTGAAATCTTAAAAAACAATCTTGGTAATTCGAATACTGAAGTAAAAACAGACGACCCTTATGATGAACAATGGTATGTGTATCAAGATTCAAGAAATATCAATGGAACCGATTAATGTTAGAAAGTAGTAGTTCACATTTGAACAAAAATAAGTTTATTATGGTATCTTGGTAACATTACTTCAAACCATCAAAGTATTTTAAAACTACTTTGGTCATGTTACTAGAACTGATAAAAAAAACAAAATATTGAAATTAAATAATATGCGTTTTTTTTATTTTTTGGAAAGTTAAAGTTATTGGGCTCTTTTAACATTAATCGATTCAACTACTGTTTGTTTATATGAAGAAAATACTGATAAAAATTATTATTGTAATTGTATGTTTGCTAGTTATTACAAAGAAGGCATGGAGACATTAACATTAGCGGCCGAAGTCAAACGGTTAGAAGATCAAACTAGCACGGTAAGAAGCAAGCACATTGAATATTTTATCTAATTGCATTACTAATTAAGTAGTATATCTTTTTTAGACTGTTTATCAATCAGTAGCAGACAAAAGTTTTAACAAAGTCATGTCTCAGAGGATGAAAAGGAATAAAAGAAGAACAAAAGATATATATAAAATGTATTTTAGACAATTGGAAAAGAAAAACGCGCGTGAAATAGCTAAACAAGTATTTTATGATGATGTAACAAAGTTCACTAGGCACATTGAGGAACAGTTGAAAGTGCTTCACCCACACGAAAGACTTTATTTTAGCACAAAACGTGCAATCGACAAGATTTTAGCAAAGGCACAAGTGAAAATGAGTCAGAAAAAAATGCAAGAGTGTTAATTATAGTATTATTGTATGCACTTGTATAGAGCCAGTGTAACTATTTTTCGTACTTAAATATGTGTGTACTTACTAATTGTCATTTTAATAAACTTATCATTTTTACTATACTATCAAGTTCTTTAATAAAATGTCTTTAGTGACAAACTTCAGTTACAACTACCCTACAAATAATACAAATTTAGTAGGGTTTAATGATTAGGTTACTTTACAAGTTAAACGAGCTAATTAAATTTAATTTAATTACTAATGAGTCACAAAACAAAGATTAGAATTATTGTTCAAGATTAATTAATTATCTGAATTTTGGCAAATTTTCTAGTAACAATCTTTTATGTGTGGACATTGGAAGGTAAACAGGGAAATGTACTAACAGCAAATATAGGAAGTTAAACTTTGGAGATTTATATCAATATTTTTCTATAAATAGTAAGTTAGAAGTTTTTAATCTACTATACCTTAATTTAACATTTTTATTTTTAGATTATATTGTATTTTTTGTATTATGGAATACAACGGACAATATAATATATATTGTAGAAATTGTGTATAGACATATATTTCTTTTCCAAAGAAAATTATAACATCAATATTGTAACTAATGTTATACTCAATACTTTGGTTAAAAAAAATTTGTTTTAGAACACTGATTTATCCCTTACACCGTTAAATTTATAAGAAAATTTACTTGTTTTAACCATAGACCTTATACTACGACCTGTTAAGAAGTTTGCCCTGAGACAAGATAGAGGGCCCTTTTTTTGTGACGAGTGACTAAAGCACGATAATAATTAATAATATTACCACGTTTTATTGCAGTATTAACAACCAAAGGTCAATGGAGACCTTCACTTAGGTGGTACGTCATAGGTACAGATATGATGATTCAACAACATACTGTTTTTACTTTATACCATAAAAAATCAATTGTTTACCTTATAATATATACAAAACAAATCATTAGGTAGACCGGTAGACGTCCACCACCGGGCGCCCGCGTATGTCGATTGAGGCGATCTTCAAATGTCTATAACTCCCAAGTACGTCCCGCTAATTTTTTTGCAGATTCGTAACCAAAATAAAAGTACTACCAATTAAAAAAAAAAATCGACTAATAAAGGGTGCCCGGTAAACTAGATTTATACCAGATCTTTGAGCACTCATGTAGGTAGCATGTACACTCATATTTTTTATGAAAACCGTGCTATGTCTTAATGCATGAAGTCAGTCTGGCATGATATTCTGTAGTTACAAAAAAACAAAGGAAAATGAAAATTTTTTCATAGCAAAATTGAGAGCAATACAAATGCTACTACCCAGACGATGGTATAGCTTTCAAACACATAAGCGCTCGAAGGTTAAACAAAATCTAGCATGTTTTAGCAACCAAGGCATCTAATGATTATTGATTGTCCAGAAATGATAAAAAAACTGGTTACTATTTGTAGATATAATTGTGTTTTTGTATTTAATTGAAACGTGTTTATTTTCAGTGAAAAAAACAAAATGTGCTGATTACCATAGGAGACTTCTATACCATGTTAACTTTTCTCGCTGGTTGGTCGCTGAATCTTTTAAAGTCGTACAATTTATTAATACCTAAAAAATAAACACAAAATCTACAAATATTATTGTTACCTGTGGATTTTTTGCCGTCTGTTTTACTGCCCTGCGCGGATTTTGGCGCAGGCATATTTAATTTTCTTTCCATTTGACGATTTTCCGACATCGATGATGGTTGTTGAGGAGAAGTGATCTCCGGATGGAGAGTAAACAATTGATTTGATGGACGACATCTTATTCAGTATAATGCCATTATCACGTGAACGAATTTTAAAAAACGGCAATTTTACGCAGCCAACGGACGAGATTTGATGAAAGTTGGGGGGTTTTAAAAATGATACGAAAGTGATTGTAGAGCGATTTGAGAGTATCCTACTCTCACGCTTTTTTATGATTTTTGGGAATAACCACAAACGCTGCAAAACTCGGCGAGCTACCGGCAAACCGGAATGTCGGAAGAACGGTATTAAAATACTTACACAACTTTGAACTTTCAAGTCGCGCTAAGGCGACCTAGCACACGCGAATAATAATGTTGTTCGACGCTCAAAATGGCCGCGACTGTGAACGTACAGCGAAAAAACACTGATAATGCGTAGTGAGATGAGCTGTAGTGACTCAGAACTGTCGTATTTTATATTGTTATGCGAGACGGCACAACAGCTGATTGCCGGTTGTAAGTATTTTTGTTTCTCTTTCCATGATAACCGGGAAAAGAATAATAATGTTACAACATTTGAAGGCAAACCCGATTGCAGCAATAATTACAATTTAAGATTTAACAAGGACTCGTGTACTAACTACTACCACAAACCAGCTGTCGTTTTATTATAAACACAAAACATACAATAATAAACGATAATCCTTTGCCAATAGCATTTAACGATATTATTAAAGTCGCTTTTTAGTTTATTCACAAATTATTATAATATTATAATACATAAGGTAAATTTTTTGCAAATACAATTTTTTTTTCATTATTCTTTTATTTTTGTATACATTACAGTGTATACAGAGGCATATTTATGGGGGATATTGATCTTTTTTTTTTGTAGTTAAGTTTTCCGTATTTCTCAAAATAATATTACATTTAAGTATATCTGCTTTCTAACTATTCTAAAAAGGATAAGGACTGGGGAAAGATCTATCCCCCATATTCCCCTCTATAAATACCTCAATGCGATGCAAAGCTGAAACATTTTTAATTTTGCTATTGTGCGGTTTAAACGCACTATATTGACCAAACGAGCTCGTTATGCCCGTCATAAAGGACACTCTTGGAAATTTAAATTGGTAGTTTGGTTGAAATTGGTACAGTTTGGTTTGGGCTGACAAATCGTTCTATGATCATTCTTTTTTTCTAATTCTTTCTTTCCCATCACCACAATAATTATTTTTTGCTTTACAATTTTATTAATTTATACAATTTTTGATAAAAAATAACTTACTTGAATGTTACACTGAACCCTTCAATTAACAAAAACATAACATTTTAAGATTTACAAAAAAATACACTTGTGTTAATTTATATTCCATAAGTACACTATTCATATTCGATTCAATTTTGCCATCCTAATATACTTATAGGCAATCTGGTGTATATGAAATGTCAATGATAAAGTTGTTTGTCTCTTTAAATAAATTAGTTAGGTAAAACTTGTATGGGGTTTGGCAATATTATTTTACAAATTTATGAATACACCCATTATTTAAAATAAAACCTGTTTAATGTTTTGGATGTCTAGCACCTTCTCTCCTCAGGACAGTATCCTTCGTTTGATGTGCCTTGTACCATTAACAGCAACTGATCCAATTGTTTTTATAGTCATGGTTTAATATATATACCCCTCATTTTCTTTTTTGTTTACTCAATTTTTGTATATAAAACTAACTAAAAATAGAAAACGGCAAAAGTAATTTGTGACATCCAAAAATACATAGTAAATAACAATTAACCATCATTTTTAGTTTCAAAAACTGTTTTATGAAAAACAAATTTGATATTAACAAAGTTAGGTATTTCATTTAAAAATAATTAAGTGTTTGACTGTAACTTCAAAACTGACATATTATTTGTTAATAACTTTAATAAGTATTAATTTTTTAAACAGGTTATCGACCAATTGATAAAATATTATGTAGTATGTGTATTTAATTTTAATTAGCCAAACCATTAAAGTTTTTATCAGTTAACCAAATAATATGAATTTTGAAAGTGACTATAAAGCACATGCAAAATGCTGAAATTGTTTTTCTTGTAGTCTTAAATTTTTTAAAGAATCTAAAATCATACATCTCCATTTACTCTTGAAAACTTGTTTGCAATCCATATTTACTTTCAACCTATAAAATAAATTGGATTTAATAACACATTTTCAAAAAATGAAATTTATATAAAACATATTTACCATTGGTATATAAATTCAGGATTTGGTTCAACCGCACCAGCTATTATTTCACTCCAAAATATAGTATTTGTATTTTCTATTGACACATTATTTTTGTTTTCGAGTTGTGTTGGTTTAGCTTCTGTTCCAACCAATGAGCCAATACTGTGTTTGGGGCTCCAAGCAGACACTCTGCGATGGGAAGGATTAATTTCCTTAATGCTGTAACATGTAGAATAACCGATTGTTTTATTCAACAACAGCAGGAATTATATTACAATAATTATAAAATTATATTATTACTATGATATTAATGTAATGCAGTCTGAGTTATTCTTACTTTAAGTCCAAAGCTCCTCTAGATCCATTTTCAGTAAGACACATAGGAGCAGAATGAGCCACTTGGGTAAACGAAGAAGATGATACAAACGTTTCTTCCTGATCTGATTTTTTCTTTGATTAAGAAAAAAAATCACATCGTTAAAAGTAGATATATGTTAATAGCATTTAAACAATTAACAATTACTTCTTGGTATGATTTTGGTTTAATAGTAGCTTTAATACAAATCCATTTGTTTCCAATAAGATTGCTTTTGGTCACTTCGTTCCTAAAGTATAAATGACGATCTAATCCCACAGCAAACACCTGTTAAAAGTCAATACTAACAATTAACACATGAAAAACGCACAGCATATATTAGCATGAACATACTTGGTCATTGGGGCTGACAGACACAGATAGCATACTTGTGTTTAATTTAGCCCAACAAGTACCCTCAATATTATTTTCAACATCTTTTCTAATCCATACTCTTGAATCGTTCGTCACAGCCCAAACTGTCTGACATCCTACAGATAATTGAATAATTTTGGAATCGGATTCCGGAGAAGCAACAACCACCCAACTTCTACCTTTAGTTTAAACACGTCAACAATTAATAAACTATTAGGCAATTAAGTTTTGACCAAACTATATTCAAACCTTGAGGTAATTTAGCATCAACTCCCTTTCTTACGAGTAAAATACCATTCCACATGACTACCCAGACTGAGCCTGTAGGACTGCATTCTATATATCTAGCCTCACTTCCCTCTTTGGCGGGGACACATAACCATTGGGACCCTTCAGGAAACATTTTGTTTACATTTTTCCTGTAAAAAATCTGCAAGCAAAAACCTTTTAGTGAAGGAAAAATTAAGAGTTACATTATTTTTTAATAAATATAATATTTAGTATAGATATAAATTGTTACCCTGCCTTGTGCTGTGACAGCCCACACCATCATAAAACCAGATTGTGAACCAGGTATTTTATTTCCTCCAATAGACACACAAATGAACGGTTCCTAAAATGATTGAAATAGTAATTTTAACTCCAAAATCTTAATTTAACACACGAATTAAAAATTTTCAACAGTTATTACCTGTGTGAAATCTCTGTGCAAAGGTGAAATTATACACCAAGAGTTAACACCAGTGTAAATCCTAGTCCTGAACCATTTTCTTCGTCTAACATACGAGTTCCATCGTTTTTGTGGGTAAAAAGTAGCATAAAAATCTATTGCATATGTCCATCCCTACAAGAAAATTTAAATACAAAAAAAAATATAAATATAAATCTTTTGTTGTAATTAAGTGGTGAATTCAATATATTTAGCTAATTAACCAATTTTATGGAATGCTAGTTGCGAGACGTATTTTTTTTTATACTAGAAGTAAGCGAGAGTATTAATGCATTAGTACGCAGTTTGTATAGAGCTAATGGATAGATTAAGGGTTGGGTTCTTAACAAAAATTAATTGCACAGTTAAATATTATAACAATACTTCTCTACACTGATTTAGGTTACTAGACAATTAAGCATTATAATAAAACAAAAATCTCTTACAATTGGTTTTTATTCAATATAAATGACTGCAGTCTAACTTACGTCATCATCTAAATCTTGATCGTCCAATGTTGTTTGCAATTTCCATTCGTGTTCCCACTGCCAGAGAAACGACGGCAGTTTTATATTTTCTTTGAATTTCTCGTCTTTGCCATTTTCAGATGACCAACAATACCTATCTGTGGGCAATAGTCTTTTTGAAAAATTTCCGCCGGGTATCCATCTCTTTGAATAAAAAAAAAAAAAAATCATCATTTACACTATTATACTACACAATTATCATAACAAATGTCAAATATGATTAAATCCAACTGGAATTGTTTTTTTTTTGTCTCCAAAACAAATTCCATTGAATTCATCCACACTTACCTCGTTTTCATACACCTCTTCTTTGATCTGAATGGCTTCAGTTAAATTGTGCACCAAAAGGTATGTTTGATTATCACTTCCGATGGACCAAATAAAATTCTCAATGGCGGAAATGTGTTTTAAATCTATGCAGGCGTTAGGAAATTGTACCCACTGATCGTTTGACGTGGCCAACGAAAATATTTTTCCGTAATTATTAATAGCGAATAACAATTGTTTATTCATTACAAAATATTCAACATGGACATCAAACGAACTCTATCTACATTTTATTAAGTAATAGAATATCGGTTAAGAGATGCTGCATGTTCCAATTGAAGTACTATATAGGAGGTACCTACTTGACAGCTACTATATTGGCCGAGTCACAAGTGCAAAAGAGAAAATCAATACTCAGGCCGGCCGCCTCAGTTTATAACGTTCGGTACCTGTTGTGTAAAATAAAAAATTCTGAAAAACCACCCTCTAAGTTTCAAGTTCCCTCCCCCTCCATTTAACGTAGTCCTAGTCACCAAAGGTTTTTTTTTTGGTTGAGAATTGAAAATATATATTTAGTTTTCGCTGAAGGGTTAAAATATAGAGTACTTCTACTATTAAAAAAATTACGATTTATTGCGTTATTTAAATATAATATTCGCGATTATTTATTATACTAGTATAATATTACTTTAGTACGGATTAGTTGAAGTTAGATATTAAATTGCAGCTTTCAAAGAAAAATATTTTTAAGACGAGTCTGCAACCACGAAAGAGCATTTTCATGTCTCGTTGAAGTACCGAATAAATTTAGAGTAGTGGTGGAATTATACATAATGAAATAGTATCTAAGGTGGCTAGTATAAACAATCAAGTTTCTGGCTAATATTTTAGTTTTTTCATAATATCTGGCTTAAAACAATTCATAGGGAATATTAAAACTATAAAAAACCAATTTTCAAAATATTTTTACCTAGGTTGTTGTTCTTTGAAAGCCAAAACAATATAATAATTTTAAAAAATAAATAATTTTAATACATTAACTCGTCGGTAGTTCATAGCATATTTATTATTATTAATAAAATTTAGTCACAGCGAGATAAAAATAAATAAATACAATCCGTAAATTTTATGTAATGCAAAAATAACAAGTTAAAATGTAAAACAAAAACATTAACAATAACAAAAACAAAAACAAAATGGCACATTAAATTTAATCTTAATTAATAAAACATATTATATAGGTTTTTTTTTCAAATTTAATTTCGGGTTCCTTGTTGATGATTGTTTGATTGACTATTTAAAATGATATTTTTTATCTCCTCCGATAAATTGCTAGGATCTGACAATATTTCTGTAGATGTGCATAAGTTACGTAATGCATTTAAAGCAACTGAAAAATTTTAATATTTAAAAATAAAATGGCTAACTTAACAAACATTATAAAGTAATACAATATTGTACTGAAACTTATAAAATAACAATCATGTTATTCTATTACATTTATTGGATTTTACACGAATCTCGAGGAAAGTTCAAAATTCTCAATAATTTTAATTATAAAATATTTTATTATCAATATTTTTTAAAATTTTTTTTATACGAGTTTTCAGTTATTAACAATATGTAATATTGTACACAGATCTGAATTTCATATTTTTAATCATCTCGGATTATAATAGGTCATATAAAATTACTTAAGTCATTACTGTGTACAAAGTATATAAATACATACTTGGCCTGAGATCACCTAAAGTACAATGTTGTTCCACCCACTGAAGAGTGGTACGATACATTTCTTCATAACTGGTTGTTGAAACGCTAGAATTAAATGAGTTCAATAACGGCTCAGCTATTAAACTTAACTGAATAACTTTAATTAAGGAACAGACTCAGTTAAAATAATAATAACCATTAACCACTAAACAAAAAAAAATGTCCTCTAAAAAACTTCTAAATACTTTGACTTTTATGCTTTTGCCTTGCAAACATCATTATTAACAGTAAAATATTAAGTAAAAGGATACAATATAAAATTTCCAATTTTCTTGGGTTCTTTTCTTTACATATTCATCAAACATTTCTTTCATTTTGGTTGTCCGCTGTCTCGAAAATGGAGCTCCCGTCGCCGGTAACATGGACTGACAATTACTGTAACACAAATTAATGGTAAACTAAATGTTTATACATTTTTTATTTGTAAATCATATCGAATATGATATTTTTCATAATACTGTATTTTGAATTGGAATACCTTATAGCTACATTCAGAGATTCAACTTGTTGTTGCAAATTTTGTCTCTCGTCATACAATCGTCCTCGTTCAGACCTCAGTTGAAGAATGTAATCGGCACCTTTTTGTAACATAGCAGCTTTACTCATTTTCGTATTTGGATTCTGATTGATTTGAGGTATTAACATATTGAGCATATCAAATCCATTTTTAATGTTACACCTTCGCTTTTGTTCCGCGTTGATGTGACAAACTCTCCTATGTTCCTGCACACATTGGGACCTAGGCCTTAAGCTCATGAGCAGTTCAAAGTAATATTTATGTAGATGGTACAAAAACAACAATGTGATGTTTGTGATCTAAAGCTAATCACTAATCAGTGTGTTATATTACCTTATATGGAGTCCGCGCCGGTCCAGGAATTATGGCATGCGATGGAATAGATACTGATGTATCCATATTTCTTTGTGCCAAATTGATCGTCGATTCGTTGTTATGAATTGGTGAAAGAGTTTTATGACAGAGATCAGAACTACACGTCATAGGTGATGAGGGTATGGCAAGAGCTTGTGGGATTGGAGCTATGATCGGTTGGGTATAGTTATTTGTTGGTGGTGAAGGTTGGTTACTAGAGGGAGGCGTTTTATCCATAACGGTGTGATTGCCATATTCTTGACCTTGGTGTCTATAAGTTGAATAGCCATGAGCATGATTGCCGTGTGGTATGTCAAATCGAGGTTGGATTTGCGGCAACTGATGTATACCACCGGGTGTACCCACGGCATCAAGAAGACCACGAGTGTTTGGAGTCAAGTTATACACATTGCAATCACTAAAAAAATATATTTTCCATTTTTAACACGAGTAAAACAAGTAGTTTTATCATTTTTCTATCTTTAAATGTTACCTTTGATTCATGAAAACCGGGCTAGGTTTACGATACACAAAATGATCAGTGTATGAAGTTAACACATGATCAGGAGTTCTTGCCCTTCTTTGAATTAACTGGTAAGGTATTTGTTGCGCCTGCTGATATGGTTGATAAGATCCACTATTGTTTCGAAACTTGTTCATATTGTTTGACACTGCAGTTGAACTGGACGACGAAAACATACTACTATCTAGAACAATTGAGATAAAAAATAAATACCAAAACAAATAAATATTCAACTTACTATTTGTATTAAGAAGTTGAGCCAACAAAACACTTTGATTGTTATCATTTGAAGAATTCAAATTAGAAGACATCACTTTTTGTTTTGGTATAGGCTGTCTGCCTCGAGTCCTTTGTCGAATCTGTTTTTGTAAACAAGTGCAAGTTAAACAAGAGGCATGTGATAAGATAAGATGTACTAGGATACAAATTATTAGAAATATGTATTACTTTGGGAGTAACAAAATTATCCTGTGAGCTTCTTAAAACCGGAGGAAATTTGCTATAGGTTTGAATCTGAGGAATTCTATTTTTGTAATCGCCATTAGACGATCCATTTGTATAATTCATCACAGAACTGTTGGCTGTAGATATGCTTTGTTGTTGATTGTAATCATTTGTATTTATAACCGTCCCGTGTTCAATGTTTGATGTGTTGTAGTCAAATGATGGATATGTAGGCGGTGCAAGTGGTAATTGTATTTCATTATGGTGAGTTTGAGTGGTAGCTGAAGAAATACTGTTATAAGAATGATTGGTGTTTTGATAATCAGTATTTGAAGACTGATGAAACAAATTTGGAAAACTAGACTGATAGTTTTCTTCGGTTGAATAGTTGCCAGTGTGCAAGTTGCCTGTATGCAATGGACAAGTAGGGTCAGTAGTCTCTTGCTGTATGTTGGACATTTTAAGTTGGTTTAATTCTGAATGTAAAGTTAACGAATTTTGATTTGTTTGATAACATGTATTGACGTCGCCATACGATTGGTTGTACATACTGCTGGTAGATTCTGACGACATTTGGCATTCTTCAGGAACCGCTGGTAATTTTGGAGGACTAAAAAGATCTGCACATAAAATTTATATTATAATAAACATAATATTACAGTAATGAAATTTTTTTTTATTTATGATGTTTAATTTTTATTAATAGTTTACATAAAATTTATCATATCTTTTAAACATTTATTTTTCCTTAGAATGTTCTTGGGGATGATGTGGCCAAGTGGAATAAGACCACAATAGAAATATGCACAATCGCTGGTTCAGCTCTCGACTGCTAGTAGTTCCTTTCTCTGGCGAGCAATTGTCTAGATAAAAAATAGTCACTCTTCCCTCCCCGAGTCCCAAACTTGTTTTGTTAAGTGTTAGGTTGGCAGCCAACTATAAATCTTAACCTGCTAAATCAAAAGCCCCATTTGAGCCCAAGTAATAGAGAAATAGACATTAAATATTAAGAAGAATTCATGTAAGTTCTCGATACAAATATTCCTAGTAGCTCTGCTATAAAATAATATTATAATATTTTTAAACAACTAATTATCCAAGTGTTTTAAACATTACATTACATTATTATTTTTAATTATATACAAATTTCTTACTCAAAATAATCATACAACAAAATTATACTGAATATAAAACATTCTGAAATGTAGTCAAGTCTATGATATTTGGTACTTTACATTTTAAGATAAACTTTATAACTTTATATACTTGCATGCTGTAACAAACATACTTACATAAGACAAATAACATCTTAACTTTCAAAACAGTAATAGTAGTAATAAAAAAATAACTTGATTATTGCTTGTAAAAAAATATGTTAATTATTTGAAAAATCAAATAATTAAAAAAAAAAACATAATATTAAAATATATTTCATTTTTATGATATACGATCGATAGCATAACATTTAAAAAATTGTACATAACAATTATAATGAATTTGAGAAACGATACAGGTGAGGAATGAATAAAAAAACGGTAACAATTGGAGATTTGTGGTGAGAGAACTTGTCCAAGCCAACCCCGATTGTATGGAAATATAACCAGCTGATGAAGTAGAAGTCATTATCATTCAGTTATTTACAGTAATCAAACTCGAGTTTTCAATGACACACTTTTTAGAACTTTATATTCGTTTAAATTATAATTTAGTATTTTAACATGTAGAGATTGTACATTGCAACAAATAAAAATTCCAAAGAAAAAAGTTTTTTCAATACTAGAAAGTCGAGACCCAATACCTAATAAACTGTGTATGAAAAATGAAAACTGTCCCTTTTTAGGCACAGGATAGTTTTTATTATACATTTTTTATCATTCCACACTTCATAATGACATAAATTATTGTTCGAAAAAAAAGACAAAAAAAAAAAAAAATACACAACGTCTCAGTAACCTAAGTCCTAAACTGTCAACTGTACAATTATCTTACAAAAAAAAAACTTGTTATTCCGGCCAAACCGCAATATAAGACGGAAAATAACTTTGACGAATTGTAGATTTTCAAACACGAATAATAATTTATAATAATTTGCCTACATAAACAGGAACGCTAAATTTCGACGGTTTAAAAACGTTCTTTGCGAGTTATTTTTATCATTTATCAGCTTTAGGAATTAGGTACCAACATACATGAGCAATATATTATTCTGACTGATAACCTACCTTGTAGGGGTTCTATAGTGTCCATGAATTCATCTAAATGCGGTTGTAATTGTCCCAAACTAGGTTGTATGAAATCAGCGATTTTGGTCGATTTATCTGAAAGAAAAAAACTAAGTTAAATACGATTAAAAACCAAACATAACAAAAAATTAATCACTTTTTACGTTTCACTTATTTTCCAATACGCATCACATTTTTTCAAAAATACGAATATTCGAATGTTTACGACTCACGGTGAGCACGACAAGACAGTTTTTTAACGCGCGCCTTTATATTATTTGTATTTGTATTATTATTATTTTGTTTTATAACAATACACATTAGTGGCCGGAGTTATGATTAAACGACACGATAAGTCATAATAATATAATAAGAATTGGAGGCTCAGCGGTTCTGGGCGTGTGTAATTATTACACTCGATATGATTCCAATACTGGTTAGCTGATATGGATTTACTACCGTGTTGGCGGAGGCCTCTTTAAAAAAGCCACATTTAATAGCTTAATCTTATCAAAAAAAAAAAAATTAGAACCGTATTATAATTTCGATAAAACGGTGTTTTGCTATTTTTTTTTTCTTCCTTGAATCGCTTATGGTCATTAAAAGGAACCGAACGTCATTAGAATAATAATAATACAAATAAGAATGAAAAAAAAAACGAAAAATGATGACGGCTCTCTTGTCTAAATCATTATTATAATAAATATGTTTTTAACGTTTGTTTGGCGCGCTCAGTTTTTCGATATGCGGCTCTCTTCAAATCGGTCGGTAGATAAAATTCATTGTTGTATATTTATACCACAGTTACACGTGCGCACACACTAGTATACATACATATAATATTATATTGTTATTATTAAACTTGATTAGATTTTTCTGCTCTACTGCGGTTTCAAAGCTGTCCGGCAAAAATTGGGCATAATATGGCAAAATTCAATCTCGTCCGTGACATCTATTACCGGTCGAATCAATTTTGTAGAGTATAAAAAAAAAACCAGGGGGTTTACACAAGAGAACAAACACCGAGATTATAACATAACAAAATTACGGTAAACAACGACAACGACATTAACGTATTAGAACAGTAAAATATATTATACATAATAATATAATTATAATGTATCGTACGTTATGTTATATAGACGAATCGGCGCACACGCACAAATAATAATACAATATAATTCATGCTCCGGGTATATCGGGGAGGGGGGGGGAGAGACTTTGATTCGCAAACACTGATTAAAAATAATATACAAATAAAAAACTTGCGACTTAAGCCGTCCAAAGCCCGTTTGCATTACACGAGTCCAATACAACAACATCAACTACACAATATTAATTATTACAATAAATAACAAAATTGTTTAGTTATTGTTGATGATGATGAATGCCGACGCCGATGGAGGGGAGAAATAGAGGGTTTTAAGTAGGCGTGGAACTCTGCCTGCAATATCTAATCAACGAGGAGTTTATAATATATTATAAATATATGTTTTCGAAAATGATAAACACATTTAATTGGTTTTTCAAGTAGTATATTATGGGACATATATTATGGGACTAGAGTATTAGCCGATAAGAGCAATTAAATAAGTAAATAATATCTAATTATACATTATTACTACAATTAAATGCCGAGATTCTTAGAAGTTTGTAAATTAAACAGATTATAATATTACCACGTTCCGCGGGTTAACAGACTAACGATACTAACGGTATACTTACGTACATACCGCACATAACAATAATAACAATAATAATCGCCAAACAAAAAAAAGTTTAAAATTCATTAAGTCACCGCATAAATTATGTAGTTTTTTTTCTTTTTAACGATAATCGCCACTGCATGCAATTGCAATAAAATTGGCCCCCCCTCTCTCATCAAATTTCAAGTCGTTTTTTTAAGTAGTCACATTATTATGTATTAAACTACAAGTGTATGACACACCACGTTCTACAAGTATTATTACAATTAAAATGAGGAAAAAAAATAATTTATTTATAATTTCCTTGAGAAAACGAAGTTAATTATAACTCCGTGTATTTAGATAGGGAATTCGGTTTGTTTGAAAATGCTTACATTCATATTGACTAATAACCCGTATAGACTCTCCCCGTCAGAGAATTTTTGAGGTCTGATTCGAAAACACAAATTTTGAACGCTTGTCGGTCATTGAAATATCAAATTGGTTTTTGAAATTTAGTCAAAATGTGCTATATACATATTGTGTAGAGGAAATAAGGTGGAAATAAAATTAAAATTTTAAATTTACTTCATCGACGTTGTAATTTCGATAAAAAGCGATTTTCGTTGGAAATCAACGGATTGAACAATAATAGGAAATTCGCAGTCCTTTTCAAAATATTTTAAAAATCTATTTGAAAAACAAAAAGATAACAAAATTGTATATTATGTTTGCACAAGCACATTAATTTATTGATAAGGTAAATCTCACCTCTTAACTAACGCATACGCACACACTCGTCGTTCCTATACACTTAAATATCCAAAAAACACTTACATAGCTAACCTGTTCTCCCCCACTTTATCCATACAAAATAGTGTTACACAATTATTGATTAATTGAAAGACATTTAAAAAATGAACAATGTTGAAAGCTATTATCTAGCAAAGAATTCGTACACTATATGGGTAATATTGTTTCTTATTTTTTTAATAATAAATTACAAGCTTTAGTTTTTACCTGGTACTACGACTTCATAATCATCATAGTTTACACGTACTCTAAACTTCAAAAATATGTATTAGCCACATAAGGTATAGTGTATTATCGTTAATCTGTGTAATTGTTGAGCTGTTAGAAATTATAATAAAGGCTATTAAAAGAAAAAAGAAAAGTATAGTGTAGTACTACAATGTAATACATATTTGCCCTTGGCGCACGAGTATAGTCTACCTATTTACAGTGTTTTAATTAAAAAAAAACTACATAGCCAGTATAGCAAGTATAAACTAAATAAATAAAAAAAATTTACATCATCTTTTAAATGAAAAACGTTCCGACCAAAGATGGTTTAAACTTATGGAGAACGAAAAGGGTTATTATTTTTATTAAAAGACGAGGGCTTGGGCCTTTAATTTTTTTTTTTTGTATTTTAAATATTCCAATTTAAAAAAAACTACTAACCACTTATATGTGTTAGGTGTATTATTAAAAAAACAATATGTATTAAGGCAATGTTAACTAAAAAATGTCTATTAAAAATAAGTCATTTTTTGACGCATCTATTAAACTGATTTCAAAACAAAGAGTAATTTATTGAAAGTTTAACAATTTCGTTATTACAAAATTATATTTAGTGTTGAATAATAAATAGTTGAAGTAAGTAAAAACATAAGCGTCCAACTTAATAAATAAAAAATAATAAAATCCATTTAGAAGAAATTTTGAGTTTTTTTTTCATTATCTTTAAACTAAAATATATAAATCCTTATGAACACAGCTTTTAAAACCGTCAAAACTAAATGCACATCATAGAATCTAAAATGCACATTTGTTAAATAAATTACACACGCGTAATTTAGACATTGATATAATTATTTTAATTTTCTAAAATAAAATTATTAGCGATTATTGCATTTTAAATTTAAACATCGATTGGCCCGCAATTTACACAGAATATTGATAATGCAGATATTTTAAAACAACTATTTAATGAAACAATGTGTACATACAATCGCGTACGGCGATATTTTTCATAAGATAAATAAAGTAATAATTAAATGTGCTTAAGTAGTAGTATAACAATAATAATCGTCTGTGCATTATTTCAAAATACCCCCCATCAACCTTCTACCTACGATACTCAAGAACGTGTCTTTTTTGTATTCGCGTGCCCATTTCAATTATAATATACTCTATTTATTTGCATTGACAAATGTTTAATTTAAAATAGATAATGCATTTTATATCAATTTTTCGTTGGGAGTTGTAATTTGATAGACACGTGTGATCCATTCATTCGTATTATTTGTTATTATAATTATATATTAAATTAATAATTAATTAAATTATAATATTAAAATAAAAGTTGTTAAAAACGTCGTTTTTTAACAACTTTTATTTGAATTTAGGGGGAAAATATATTGCCCCAAAAAAGGCCAAATTTTATTTTCGGCGTTATTTACAGTTTTTTAATTACCTACTTATACGTTTAAAAAAAAATACATACTTAAGACAATGAAATTATGTGTAAAAATTCAAATTTAACTGTGTTTTATTTTATCAGCGAGAGAATGAACCTTATTTTATTGATAGGTACACGTTATTATTCCAATCATCAATCGAGAAATGATATACTATAATCAATAATGTTAATATCATTCTCATTAAATTGCCTCTTCTTGCCCTTTTAGATGAAGCCTACATAATATATCATAACTATTTGTAAAAATTATTAATTATTTTCTGAAAAGAAAAATCTTTCCTAATACATTTTTTAAACCGTAACAGCAGGTCAGACCAAAAATGTACCCGTGAATTTAAACATAGACGTAAATTTATATTTTTAAATATTTCGATTGTTTATTTTTGTATTATATATCATCATTTAATTCCAGTACTTTTAAAGATGTCAAGTCTTAAATTTTAAAGACATTTAAATACCACGCCCCCCAACGCCTGGTTTTAATATACCTTTGACTTGACCTAAAACTTGTCAAAACATTTCTGGCGCCATCACTGGTGAAGTTATACCATTTTTGAAACCTTTAGAAGTCAATCAAACAATCATTCAAAAATAGAATGGTGGGCGGTGGATTAAGTTAAATAACTAAAATTAAATCATAAACAAATTATTTCCAGTTGGCAATAACACGCGTTTTTTTTAATAATTCGACTTACTTAATTTATTTGTTGGGGTATGTATTTACCCTAAAAAATCATACATTTGGATAAATACCAAAAACTTGTTAAAGCTTAAACTAAAAAAGTTGGTTTAATTTAGTCAGAGCGACTATAAAAAACCGAACTTACATAAATTGTGTAAATTATCAAATTGCAACAAATAATAAATTATTAATTTCATTTACTATTAAATGATAATAAACCGTTGATTATTACAAATATTTAGGGATCGATAACCAGTTTAATATAATTACTTCTCGAAACGAATGCATTTACATTATTACAAACTGTGAGAGGGAAGGTACACTGTGAAATGAATAGCATTTTTATCTTATCTAGTAACATGACTGCACAGCTTAAATATTATAATACAATTTATTAAATACTCACGATACACGAATTTCATATTTAGAAAGTTCTTAGTAAATATTAATAGACTTAGTCGCGTCATTCTATTGGCCCAATACATTTTTTTTTTGAATTTGTCAAAATTAATAATAAAAAACTGTAACTTATTGTTTTCGACTTGAAATAAATTAATTTATTACAAGTCAAATAATTTAAGTGTTAGTCAAATCACCCATTTACTACCAATTAAACATTAAAATAAAGTAGACTACAAAACATCATGTAATACGTATACTTAAATATTTTTATAATCTTATTTTTTATGTATAATAAAATGCTTTATTTTGTAAGTCCACGTAAATCATAATGACCATGATAATCTATTTAACTGCTTATTCAATTTTCAAAGATTGTATTAAATAAAATGAAAAACGTCAATTTTACAATTCTTATATGTGTACTGTGTAGTTATGTATAATAATATGCTTATTATTATGTTTTGGTGGCTTCTACAATAAAAATATAAAATTTAAACCAATAAACCACCGCAGGCCTTGTTTATTAACACAAAGGTTCTAAACAATAAAAACATCACCAATATCAGAGATCATACTATAATTAACCATTTTATACACAATTTGCTTAAAGTAAAAAATCATTTTTTCTCGGAACATCATTACACATATGATTGTTGTCGAGATGGTTCAAAGTTTAACACTATAATCAAACATCGATCATTTATAATTTATTTCCCCAATGAATATTAATTAACTTGACTTTGTATTACGTTTATAGAATTGTAAAAATTATTAGAAGATATACAAATCCTAAAAATGTTGAAATCATATGTTTTTTTTTACATACATATTAGCATTATTAATTGAATAAAATTGTTCACATTTAATTATATTTATCTGTGACAGATTTAATTTAATTTTATAATTTCAATTATAAAATTAACCAATAGAACAATAGGTGTTTAAAATAAATATATTTATATTTGGTTGATAACCTGTTGCAAACTGGTTGGGAGGAAAAAAATTTCATATTTGAATTTTGTGCATCAAGCTTTAATTAAATATCTCATATCCTAATTGAAACTATATGAAACTTACACGATAGTGTTTGTCCTGGTGATCAATATAATAACTATTTTATAAATATTATATCCGCAAATAATTTTATTATAATTAAAAATATATTTTTTACTATATACCATCTTATCACATGATAAATACAAGTGATGTGTGTCATAAATTAATTAAATGAAAAAGGAATTAAAGAAATAAAACTTAAGCAAATACCTTATCTATAAGTTAATAATTGTTAAGCATGTTGAAGTATCCCTAATTGTTGTTCTCACGTTTATTGAGCACGCGCCACGCATTATTATTATTTTCGTAATAATCTTTATGTCAAATAGTTTAATCTCTGTGTATATATTTTGTAGAAAAATTTGTATCCATTACTTACCATCTCTTGTGTTAGGAAATTCAAATATTCTCTGATTTGAAACAACTGTAGAGAAAAGTGTGTCACTTATAAAATTCATATAGTCATCATCTATTCTAGTGTCACCATTATTGTCGTGCTGCCATTCTAAAAACTCGTTAAGCTGCAAATAAAAAAAAATTGATTTTGTTTATATGTTCTTTTTTTTTTTTTAAAAAAATCCTACATTTTGTCCATTTATTTGTAATGGAATTTTCTAATTGACTTCAATATCATTAAATAATTACTTTTGTGATAAAACAGGGCTTGAGTTTGGGGAAAAAAAAATATTGTTTAACATTATTTGCCTTTAGGTTTAAAGTTTTTTTAATTTTATAGTTAAAGTAAACATAAGAATAAATAAATAAAACTGTTTAAACGTCATGCCATTAAATGTTGATTTTTTTTTATCATATATTGTTGACAAAAAATACCATAAAGGAAAAATTATTTTAGAAAATGTTGGTTTCTTATCGTCAATTTTTTGTTTCATTCGTTTGTTATTGGTACGACATGCATTCTTTTAACTGATGTCTGGGTTTTTATTATTTTTCTGTTTTTCGTTTTCTATACCTGTAACAACTGTAAATAAGTGTGTAAGTCGATTTCAGTGATTTTACAGGGGAGCGATTTTAAACTTTGACCAGCTGCCATAAATCCCTACTGAGCCAATAACTCACATCTCTCTCAAGGTTTTCTTGTTGGTCCAACGAGTTAGACATTTATTCAAAATGTGCTAGACGCCTCGGACTACATCCTAGCGTACTTAGTCAATTTTGACCAAAATTTTACTTACACACTTATTCAGTTGTTACAGATATAATGATTAAGTTCTGGTAAAATTATAATTATAATAACATTATCTACTAATGTTTCTAAGTACTATTATAAAATAATATTTAATATACAATTCTAAATAAAAACAATATGTATTACTAATTTTTGTCTTTCTTTGAATCCGTTTTGTAATAAACTTCGATAAAACAACCGCCATTTTTTATACTCTGCTGTTACAGCATTTAACTTCCTTTTCCAATATTTTCCTTCCAAAACAATTGCCTGAAAATGGAAAGAAAAACAATATTAATTTAAAATGGTTATATGTTTGTGTTAACACTTTTTTCTGATTTTTTCTGACCTCTGGTTGTTTATGAATATCTACAATTTCTACTGGTGATGCGAATTGGCAAACCATGAAATTATTTTTTTTGATAACTGTAAAAATAAGACCATAAAAATTATTTTATAAAAATATACATTAATTTAAAAAAAACAAATAAATTTCTAACAATAAGGTTATTAAATTTAATGAACTCTCTAAATCACAATATATGTTTATTTATTTTTTTTTTAAGCAAGAATAAGTTGGATAGTAATTTATAACAAAATATAAGTGTCAATGTGCCAATGAAATTGATATTTAAAACATTGTAACTTAAAAATTCAAGGTACATGAAAATAAAAAAAACTATCTTAATTGTTTTTATAATGAATACAAAAAACATTATAATACAATAGTTGTATATTTATAATTTTAATAATATAAATACTATTAAAAAAAAACTAAACTAAAAACATTTTCATGTAGACAGCTAGAACTGGACTAATTATATTAAAAACTAACACGAATATATATGAACAACTATATAATATGATATGGTATATATGTGTACACGTATTACACATGGGATTTTATCAATTCAACATAACAAGGTTTTAAACATCTCAAGTGTTGTCTGCAGACTACGACTGCAATGTCAAATGTTAAGACCTTTGTAATCGGACAGCGGAGAACTTGATAAGAAAAACCATTTAACTGTCATATTGTGAATTGTGATAAGCCTCAACATATTTTAAATATAATATTTCAAAGTAAAACTTACACTGCATATGCCAACACCTCCATATTAAATTGTTCAAACGTATTTTGTCTTTCCATCTCAACCGTACTCCTTTAAAACGATTCCATTTTGGCGAAGTCAATTTTTGTCTAAAATTATGACAAAATTATTACTAATAAAAATTACAACACAAGTATATTTAACATACTAAAAAAAATCCATACTTAAAAAATACTAATATAAATATAATACAACAATAGATCAATTAATATACATTAATTATTTAAATAATTTGTGTATCCGATATTTTAATGACAGACTTCTATTTTCAACAATGTTGACAACTCTTCATCTCAATAGATGGTTTACATAAACGTATGAGACAAATCAAGATTCATCAAACTTTCAGTTTTTTTAAACATCTATGGAAGTCATACAATCAAAACTTGTAAAATTGTTTAACACTGTATTTTTTTAAATTTCAACTTGTTTGTATTTCACAGCTGATTATAATATAAATTATAATAATTAATAAAATAAGTTTAAGTTCAAGACATCATAAATATAACAATTTATATATTAAAAATAAATAACTCTCATTTAGAAATACATGCATTTTTTAGTAATATTTTTTTAATATACCAAAAAAATTACAAAGTTTTTTTTAAAAAACAAGCGATGCCAACCAAAGCTTCTCATATAACTCTAAATCTTAAAAAAAAATTAGAACTTAGCCAAAAATGAATATTTATGATTTCCAAATTATTTACTTTTATTTAATAGTTTATCAAAAATATGTTCTTTATCATTATTTTGTTATACTGCCATGTTTTAACAAAATGAGACAATTGTAATATTTTAATTTTTAACATGTGCACAATTTAAACATAATAGGTATAGAATGAACATTTTTTCTTTATAAAATTGTATTTCAATTTATTATTTAGCAGTCTTTGTAAATAATATTCAATTAATGACATACAAATTATGAGCATAAGCAATATAATCCAACAATAAGTTTGTTAACAAAAAATCATATAATTGATCTGATAGCAAAAACCTGGAAGTAATAATACAACGTTTTTTTACAAAGTTATATAATAATCAATTAATAGTAAATAAAAAAAATAGTAATTAATTAAAAGTAATGTAAGTGTAAAATTAGATAAAATCAATAAATATTTTTATATACTACAAGAAGATCAATTCATATCATGTAAATTATTGATAATAATCTTTGATTAACATATGTAACTTTATTTTAAGTTTAAGTGTATAATTTAACAAAGAGTATAAGCATATTTTATTAAACTAATTAAATCTAGTCTCAAAAATAAAAACATTATGTTGTTTTCTATTTTGTATAAACATTAATCATTATTAGGCAATTATATTGATTTTTAACAATGAAAATGTATTTTTCTGTGCTACAATGTTTTCAATAAAAATACAAAACCGGTTTATTTTATGTTCACTTAGCAATGTTGATAAGTAATGATGTTACTATAGAAACAAATAAAAAATTATGCGTTATTCAAATTCATCTTATTTACGACAGATATTATTTCAAAATAAATACGTGCGCTCATTTGTTTATGTAACATATACAAACATTTAGTAAGAAAGAACTTTGATCTCCAACCAAAACAACTATTTTAACAACTGAATAGCATACTTTTGTTGATACATAACAACCTTAATTTCTGTCAACATAAATATTTTTTAAAAACGAATCCACTGATTCGCTTTGGCTGAACAAATTCAACAATACTTAATTGCCATTTAATAAATAAAAAATGATAACATTTCACTATCAACATCTAAAATAAAAACATTTTAGTTAAAACTAAATTAAAAAATTAGCCAAATTTTGAAAAATTATATTATTTTTGATGATTTGTTTTGAACGTCATTCTAACTGTTTCGTAATGGTTTACATTTTTACACAATTTTAGCTGTTAATAGAAAATATTAATTGGTAAATAAAAAAATTTTAAAAAATTAGTCTACCAAACAGGCGAGTGCATAAACATTTCTTATGCGTAATTTTAAAAATCATTCAGATTCAAGTTAGGAAATACAACTAAATACGAACAAATTTAGCAAATGTATCATTCAGTTATAATCAATTGGAAGACAAATTACATTGTGGACATTTTCTATTTAATGGCTAATACGTCTAGTTAGGCTTATAGTGTTTGCTGTAGATATAATATGCTCCAAAAATATTCACAATTCACAAATAAAAAATAAGTTAACCTAACATGGTTCGGACTCATTGCACTTCAACCGGAGTCAATGCCCTATACTTAATAATTTAACAGATAGTTACATGAAATTACAATATTTAAATGACAGCATAGTACATACTTGTATGCGAATGACATACATTGGAAGAGGTTGTTTAACATTGTCTTAGAATTGTATACATCGGCTTGTGTCAATATCTCTTCGGAGACGGGTACGGCCACTTGAAACTCATCGTCCTGGGCTTCCGCCTCGAAATTCGACACCATGAACTGCCCAGAGTGTATGGTCTCGGTGGGGCCTGAGGAGGAGGAGGATGATTTCGATTTTGGATGGGAAGAAAGCATTACCAAGACGGTGGCGATAACGTATTTTTAACATGTACAAACGCACACGCACATGCATGAGCAGACGGACAATCGAAAATTATTTTTCACACAAGTAAAACACACTGTTAAAAGAAAAAAAATGAAAATCTTATCCATACATGTTAGTTACGTACGCCTAAATATTTACAATGTATAAAGTATTTTATTACGTCTAACTTATTGTATTCTAACGACTATGCGCGTTTATGTAAAAGAGTATTTATAAAAAAAAAGAATCTATGTACTTATAATATTTCCCATAGTGTTATTTATTCATATTCGTATTATTATTATGATTATATACTACTAAAACTATACACTACTACTTTAGTGGCGGACGCCAAGACGGTTAAGTGGCTCATACCTACTGCAATCTTATTCACGTCGTGTTTGAACTCATTACGCACACGCGCTCGTCAAAATTGTGTTTGTCCAATAAGCTGTGTAATAAACGATGTATTATTGAGTCGGTGAAATAAATAATTATTATCAAATCAAACTGTACGATACGCGGCCGCGGCTGCCGTCAACGTCGTTTGTACGTTTTTCTTGATAATAACAATAGTGTTAAGTGTATTGTATATATACATATATATTATTATATTATATTAAATTAAAAATATCGTCGGCCCTCGCCCGGCCAATGTTACACGCGGAGGAGATAACGCACACTACTAAACACGTATACGGTATACACACCTGTTGCGCACCAGCTACAATCATATTTTATAATAAATAAATAACACGAACAAAATAAAACGTTCTAAATTTCGTTGTGTCACACAACTTGTACATAATATACATTATAATTCTCACGAGGAGCCAACGCACGCGTTATATACCTACACCATCGTACGGTTATACCTATAGTAACAGTATTTTTAATTTTCACTTTTTTTGTTAAAATATTAATTACATTCTGCTTTAATATTATCATTATTATATTATATTATAACGTTATTATTAAATATAGTAACACTATCGAGAATGAATGTATTCGAATTCTGCTACACGGTACACATCATAGACGCAACTAGGGGGGGGGGGGGGTGCTAGGGGGACTTTGGCACTCCCAAAAATTCAAACCCCAATCTTTTCAGTTGTACGCATACAATTTTAATAATGTACATATTCTGTTCAACTTTTTTATTTCAGGATATTTTTGTTTTCAAATATTTTAATTTACATCTAATGGTTTGAAGATAAGAATTGTGTTTAGTCGTGTACACATAAATTTAGCACCCCCTAAAATGTAGGTCTAGTTGCGCCTATGCCGTACACCAAATATTGGGCGGGACAATACAGGCCGGCTGGGATACTAAAAAACCATTAAGACTCGACCCTAAATTATTTTTTCATCCAGAGTAATATTGTTAAGAATTAACAATTTAACGATCCTAATTTAAACGTGTTTGTGAGTATACTAGCCTCGTCTAAATTTCCGCCGATAGATACATATTATATAATATATTTTTAAATTATCGCTTTGCAACACAAAAAATATCTAAAGATAAAATGAAGTAGAATCAGTGGCGTATTTTAGGAGGGTGCCAACAGGTGGATTTGGTAATTTATATTCTTTTTGCTTTGATGTCTTAACGATAAATGGTGTATTATATTATACTTTTCGTGCAATATTGCAACAGAGGTCCATATAATTATTTAATTACATTAGATCTACCTTTTTGCAAATATTTCTGTTCTTTTACTATTTTAATTTGCGACAACTTTTTTTTTTGCGGTATAAATCAAGTAGTTTGCTGTTTTTTTTATCGTGGATAAATATTATACGGGTTTTGATTTAATTTAAGCAGTGTACTAGCGGTATTTTAGCGAAAATTCTGCACGTTTGCAATGTGATATAATAGTATAATAGCAATAGGCAATAAAGCGATAGACTGTATCAACACTTGAAATTAATTGATGGCATAAATATGTGACAATACGAGTCGTAACCCCGGTAATTTGTAGAATACTCGAGTAAAGTATATAATGGATTAAGATACCGAGTTTTTTTTTCTTACCAATTTATGACGTACGACACAAAACATAATATACGCCATTTGTTTAAACACTACAAGGTCCAGAAATTATATTTATAGAAAATAGAAATTAACAGCTGTTGTAGGAAACCGAGCATGGACAAACGGGTATGACGTCATTTCTGATTGGTAAATACTTTTTTATGTACACATTATAATATTAATGTTATTTTTAACACCTCAATATTTTAGGTGCAACATACGTCATACACATTATTTTTACATTTCGTATGTATTGAACACTATAATCTATGTGCAATATATAATACGAGTATATATTATGTACCTACCGTACCAATGTCACAACACATTTTTTGTTCTTTTTATTATTTTCTTATAAGTTGTAAGAGTAAATAGTGACCAGAGTTCACGCATAATTAATAAACATGCCAAGTTTGGAGATATAAAGCTAATAGAACAATGATAATCGATATCTTATAACGTTATAAATATTTTGAACGATCAATTATATAAGTGTCTATAGTCTACACAGACAGAATTATTCCGAGTATTGTACAGACATATTTTATTTCCGATAATAATATTATATTTATTTATATGTAAGTAACCTAAAGTAATTTAATAATAAGGATAGTGAAACGATTAATGGGTATAGTGGATGAGTAACGCACGCCAGTTATTATTATTATTACTATCAATAATAAAAATAATTATTATTTATTAACAATTATTATTAACACAGTTCCACTACCGCCTCTCTCACTATCTCTAACGGATAATTATAAATAACTTTTTCTGTAATTCACATAGTTTTTCTTGAACACAGCAAGACGGTAACAATAATTTAATTGTTTGCTTCGGATAATACCTCGTTCCAATCTAGCATAATATTTGACATAACTCTATGGCGAGAGAGATGACAGGCTGCTGTGAAAGTAAATTTTAGATAATAATTCACTAAAATATTTTTCAACGCAAAACACGTTTACACGTGTATATAATAAATAGTATTATTGAATTTGTTTTTTTTAACGTGATCATGGATACACAGACAAGAATGGATGTAGGTCGGGATACCGGACAAGCTTTCTATTTTTTTTTCAAGATCATTAACGATTTTTTTTTTGGTTACATGCCTATTTATATAAACTGTCTTCACTTTTCATACAAACACATGCATAACTAAAAGGTAAACCAGAAATATAAAAACTAAACTGCTATATGATTTACATTATTATTCAGTATTCAAAGTATATACAAGTTGTTTTCACCTAAATGTGCTGTTATTATCATTTATCAAATATTTTCTATAATTAAAATGGCGGCCCGCGGCAATCACGAATCTAATAATAATATGTAAAACTTTACACATAGATAATGCCTATTAAGATGAAGGAAGGAGCGTGACCTGAAATCTAAAAACGTTCAGCGGTCATTGCGACTATCCAATGTATTACAATATTTTAATAGGACACATTTCTATAATTTAAATATTATTATTAATAAGAGATTATGTAGTTGAACAAAAAAAATAAAACATCAAGAAAATCCCCCCTTTATCAAGGGAGGATGACATTTTAAAAGTCATGTCATGTTCGTTATTTTTATAATTATATATATATGAAAGGTACAGGGGAAAAACCAGCACTTTTTAAAAATGGCAATATTTTGTCATAAAATTCGTTTTGATACAAAACAAATCTGTTCTTTACTTTTAAGCACGATTATAAACAAAAATATACTATATTTTTAAAAGTTTTAAGTATTTCTTTAACATTTATAACATATTTTAGCATTACTTTAACATGTTTTTCTTAGATTAGAAAAAAGTGACTTTGCTGTTTTTTTCCCTGTACCCTTCATCTATATATATAATATAACATTAATATTAAATGAAAACGAAATCATAAAATAATCGTATTATAAACAAAATCACAATATGCATAAATAAAAATAATAATACATTTTAAAATTGAGAAAGAAAAATCAAATAATATACAAAAATGTATAATAAATGCAAAAACCAGCTTCTGGGATGAAATTTTTTTTTTCATGTATCCTGATCACTAAATTTTGTATCAACTTCATTATTAATCATATTTAATTAAAGTTTTTTTCGAACCACGTTTTCAAGTGAGAAATTGTTATTCATAAATAAGCTACCATATTTATCACTTGTAAATATACTTAATTGTGTCTGTTTACAACAAACACAAATAAATTTCCTAAATAAATTTCTACCCCTAAGAATAGGTTAGGCTAAAAACAAAGTACTTAACCATTAACAGCTAACAAGTCTATGACATATTAGGTCGGTTGGACAACTCTTGCTCTACTAGAGACACGAGTTGCCATCCTGAGGAAGTGGTTATTGTGCGATGGTTTCCCGTTGCCGTCTCCACCAATCGGGTGGCCATTTCTCTCTCCAGACAGTTGCCCCTCCAGCTAGAGAAACAGCCAGCGATCAAGATTCGAACTACGGCTAGTGTGTAGAAACACTGCCGCAGTAACCTTCTCGGTTACGACCATTAGACATTTGATAAATGGGATTTAGAATTTTAGTTGACTGTTTTTTATTATTATTACTCAATATCATTAACGTCTAAACCAAAATAACCAATTAAACATACAACTGTTTACTAATCGATAAGTATATTATATTAAAATATGCAAAATTAAAAAAAAAAGAAATACATTGGAACTTTACATGAAAAAGTAACTAATACAAATTTAAATATGTATGTCCATTTATTATGTTTAATATTTATCATACTAGCATACCAATCTGTATGAAATGTAGCGTCCAGCAGTCTCAGAATTTCTTACAATCTTTACAACCTAAAAGCAAACAAAGTTACATTTTTATTAACAAAAAAAATTGTTTAATATATATACATTATAGTTAAAAATTGGTTTGATATACAATTAGTGATAGGCAAAATACTTCATTATTATTAGTTTTTAAGGATTTAATTTTAGTTAAAAACTATGAACTAAGCCCAAAAATTGCTCAGTTAATACTTTACCTGTCCTCTTTTTAAACCAAAATATCTGGCAACAGGATCACCAACTTGAATTCTCATTAATTGATTTTCTTTTAGTTTGCTATAATTATATTATTAAGGAAACTCTAGTTTTAACTATACTACTACCTACTCATTTTAACAGTAAAAATAAAAATAAATATTCATAGTTATTTATTAAAGGAGACATATTTCTTAATTCAAGTAGTATTACTTGTTGTAAATTGTTTGAATAAATCTTTGTGAACAAACTTTAATATTTAAAAATAATATTTGTTAAAAAAAGAAGAAAATTAACTCTTATTCTTACGGCAAACAGAGTGTATATATATACTCAACACACACACATATATATATATATATATATGAAAATATCGAAAAGGATACTATCTGCATAATAATTCTTGTTTTTCGTCTGGTATTAACACAATGTGTTCAGGTACTAATTCATGTTCAGTGATGTTGATGAGTAGTTCAGATTCCAAAAACTGTTCCAAAATATACTTAGGTGCCATGTCCACTAATGACTAAATGAAAATATTAACATTAATACAATAAGGAAAAACATAAATAATCGATATTCTTTATTTGTTTAACACCATACTTGTTTAGCACTAGGAGTCATTCCTTGTTGAACTACAATTATTGCTCGGGTTATAGTCTCTTCTTGCATTCTTTGACAATAGGTCTTTATAGTTTTAATACCAATTTTTGGTTCTTCGGGGAAAAACACAAACATTTGATCTAAACACAAATTGTATTTATTATTTAATGCTTTGTATTAAATAAAACTGTGTTTTTGTTATAATATAATCAGTGGCGAAGCTTCATAGGAGACAAAGAGACAATGTCTACCCACTTATAATACGGACAAAAATTTGGTTTTATTTTATGTGTATAAAAATGTTTTAATCAATTTTAATGTAAAAGTATATTTTTTTTGTAATAGTATTCTTAGAATAGAGTAGTTGTGGACGCAGATCAGCGGGCGGTAGCGCTGCCGGCCGCCGGGTCTATCCAAATTTAGTATAAAAATAAATGAGACAATTTCAAAATTGTATCTTTTGCCGGGCGCGGTATGCAGAGGGAAATGGAAAACGGCGGGGGTTTATCGTTGCGCTATGAGACATGTCTCACCGACCGCCGTTCATATTATTATTGTTTTGGTAAACGGTATCAGTTATCCGTTATCGATGTACGTCATATCGATTGTCGTGTTGTGCGTTTTCAAATATGCCTATGCCATTTAGTTTATTAGTTTTTGAACATTTGTTTTTTACAGTATAGATAAAATAAATATACAGGGGGTCCAAGGGGGCGCAGTCCCCCTGTCAAGTCACGTAACACCATTTTTTTTCAATGTCTCCCCGATCGAAAGACTCATGCCTCGCCACTGAATATAATGTAGAATATGTACACTTGGCGTACAAGCATTAAAATTGTTTATATATAAGTGAAAATAACACAATCGTTCGCGTGGTGGCTTTTGTACTGCTTTTTATTTGGCAATTTTGTTTTTTTCAATTTATTTTGTGGTTTTATGTAACTAGATACAGTATTACATTAATATATAAATAAATATTACCTGTGGGATCATCGTTATGAGCAACGAGGACAATTAAATCACTTCGACTTGGTCTTTTTTCACTGGTACACAATATAAAAGTATTAGTTTTTCAATATTTAAAATTGTAAAAAAAAATATTGTTAAATTTTTGTATAAAAATGTATACGTAGAACATATTATATACCTTGGTTTATCACCGAACTGCTCTTTAAACTGTTCTAATGTCTGATCCAATTCATCTTGTGTAACCAAATATCCTCGGTCATGGCAAAGCTAATACAGAACAAATAACAAAATTACACATTACACTTTTAACAGCATGGGATTATAAGAGTTAAAATATTTTAATAAGTCAAACTTGTTTTTTTTTTGCAAATCCCAAATATGCAATTAGAAACTCACAGATTCTGAAGTTAAAAAAATGATGGCTACTTCATATGTGGTGATAATTATTACACTATATGAACCGAATCTACAATGCCAAAAATGTAGAAATTATGAAAATAGAACAATATTTGGCTCTTATAAGCAAAATTCATTCTTTTGCTTGGCCGTTTTTTTTTAATAACATAGTTATAAAATATCAAATCCTATTTCGGAAATAAAGATTTTATTTATTAATGTCATATTATTATTTATTGGTATAAAATACAGCAACTGACTGACAACCCGTCCTTAAAGCAAAATTATTAAGAAACCAACTCTAGATGGCAGGTTTGGACCTACAGAGCCTGTTTAACTACATGATAAAGCAATAATATTTTTAATATTTCAGATTTTAGATTAAAAATGAATGTTAAAACATTAATTTGGCGAATAAAAATGTGCCTGTTAAGGCAAGTTTGTTATTAAATATTTACAATAGTATTATTGTTTATTAGTGTGGTATTTAATAGTCACCGACTAGGAAGTGCTGTCGAGTATCATTAAACAAAAGTATAGGATTCTTACAAGTGCAAATGTTATTATTATTATCATTGTTGTAATTTACGAATTACCTGCATAACTGTTTTGCGAATACGCCATAATTTATAGGATTCACACTCGTCATCCATTATAAAGAATTATTATGAAATAAGAATAATGAAGAATATTTGAGATTTAATTATTTTTTTTATTTTGGAATCTTCGATCACAACTCACAATTCACAAATGCAATACTTAGTTACCACTTGTAAGTGAATTTAGCTAGGCTTGTGTTATCACGTCTTATCAGCTATGTACAACGTGCAAATGAAATTTTATTTTGCGGTCCTGTGACCGGGGAAACCTGACAGATTACCAAAAACAACCGCGTTGACAAAAAAAAAAGTTAATGTGTCAGCAATCTGCGATGAACGCAAAATGGCTGCTGACATCTTCGGGCAGCCGTGTACCCGTTACGTGACAACAGCGGCAGCCATACTGTAAAAATGGATAACACGTGTTGCTGACATACCTAATGACAATCGGAGTATTCAATAATGGATTGATACCATGAAAACGGTCGACTGATTAGTGCCTATGACGCCACCGGCTGATAGTAGACTCTTGGCGGGCATATCACAGATAATAAATTATTTATTGGGCCATATTAAGATTTGAGGGATATCCACGATTATAGATCAATTCTTTATATAATCGTGATGATGACTGATGAATTAAGAAAAAAAAAAATAGAAAATACTGAAAACATAACAATTCACCGTGTTAAATATACCCTAACTTTAGAATAACTATGAAGTATAACGAACTTCCATCTTTGTTAAGTGGTATTCATACTCCATCGAATCATACACAGTAACTGCAGTCCAAGTCTCACTCTAAAATAATCTAAAAATACACCAATATTATTTGATTTCAATGTAATCATTACATTAATATAATTTAGATAAACTATAAAAAAAAAATTAAATTTCTCAGCTTTGCATTGAATTAAAAAAAAAATTACATTTTTAACCATTACAGACGGGCATTAACAATCATCAAATATAGAATTTATTCTTTGTATTCCTAATAAAAATGCTTCAACATTATTATGTATCTGAATTTAAAAATAAACCAATATATGACTTAATGAAACAAAACAATATGTTTTTAGCATAAAATTCGTTATTTCTGTTTCGTCTATCAGTAAACAAGACAAGACAATTTTCTTTAAACCCCTTTTTTTTAAATATGAGATTTGACAAGTTGAAATTCAACGCTGTAAAAGAAAATCTACATGGTCAATAGCAAAAATTACCAAAATATTTGTTTACACTAATAGTTTAATTTGTGGGTCGTTATAATTTTCAGAAGCTTTGTGATTAATTATAGGAAAGATTGGAGTTTTATCTTTGCATAATATTTCTGGCAGTAATAAAATATATTAAAAAAATTAATTTTTATTTAGAAAAGAAGACAAGGGCTTGTTAAAACAAATTAATAGACAAACAGGAAAAGTGAATATTATATAATATATGCCTTCAGTCTCATTGGCTACACACAACTTAAATTAAAATAAGTATGTTTTTAGAGATGTACAAGTATCAATAACGTTAGCAATTTAAATGGATGATCACATATACAAAAAGTTTAAAAAATTTAAATAACAAATTTAATATTAGTATATTTAGGTTTTTAAAACAAAGTTCTTTAAAATAGTTTTGAAAAAAAGTAATGATCTATAAGCAGCGTCCTGTTGTGCTTCTTCGTAATTAAAACGAGATTCACCATGAAATGCTACTGTTATTGGAGTAGAAATTTGAAGGGATGTTTGGAATTGTCCATTAAAGGATGTTTCTTCAAAATCGATAAATGTAGCTTTTAGATTTTGTTCAGTCATGAAATTCTCTAAAATTTTTTTGGCATTACAAGAACACAATGCATCATCAGTCATTTCTTTGATCTCTTTAAAACAAGGACCGTCACCCAAAGGTAAATGTTTGTGAATTTCTGGTAATTTGTGAAATTGAGAACTAGATTTTGAATTCTTCAGTCCACTCAGACTACTTGATTCTAGGCGTACAAAATCGTCTACATTATCAGCTGCACGCGTGTTCTGGGTCACATTGGATTGCATTCTAAAAAGAAATTGTTAAAATCATACTAAACAAAAATACAATAATAATTATTACTTACTTGTGTAACATTAGGTAAAGTTTGTTGGCAGCTAAACGTTTAGCGATTTTTTTTGACTTCCCCACGCCAACCTGTTTGTACTCGGAAACGTTACAAGAAACAGTAAACAGACGTTGATGAGGAAGTCCGTCTTCGCTTTCCGTTATATAAACTGGCGGAGGAAGATGAAGAGATGTACAAAGCTCTTGTAACAAACCTATTGGATTACGTTCATCATTATCCCCAAAATTCATTTCCTCAAAGTTTTCCGTTAAATCTGAAGGACTATCAATACTCAAGTCTAGCGAGGCGGCTGCACACAAATCAGGAAACTGTTGGCTGATAACTCGTAATAAACTCTTGGCTGCGTTTTGTTTGGCTTCTTTCTTCGACTTCCCTACAAAACATACTTAATAAGTATAAAGTATATAAAAACAATTAATGGTAAATGTACCTTGACCATAAGCGACAAATCTTCCATCTGTAACTCGATATTGGAATGATGGAGCACATACTGCACCTTCAATTTGAAGTAGTTCATACTGAACAGAGCGGATTCCTTGTTTGTTTAAAACATCTTGTAATAGAGTCACTGATGTCTTGTCGTTATCAAATTTAACATTCATGATCATAATAGTTCAATGGTCACTGCAAAGCACTAAATACACCTTTATCATTACTAAACTAGTAATAATTATACAACTTAAACTTTGATTATTTTTGAACCTTAACAACAATAAGAATAACACTAATTAGATAACTAAAAAATTATTTATATTTAAAAGTAAGCCTTTGACTTGAATCAGTCATTTCAAAAACGACACAAGTCATAAAATTAAAATTCTATACTAGCCACAAATAACTTCAGAACTTCATAACTAGTTTTTGCAGTAATTCTAATTTCTTATACTCAACATTTGTACATATATATGAGTCTGACAAATTTATTTTACACACAGAATGCGTAACTAAGTATATAAATATCAAATTTGACAAAAAGTCATTTTTGAAAAATCGGTGACTTATGTCGTTTTTGAAATGACCGATTCACTTTTTTTCTTTAAATTAGGTCTATTAAAAAAAGGCAAAATATACAAATACGTTTTTGGCATAACAATGGGATTTAATTATACTGTATCATAATGTTGTATATATTTACCTAAAGTGTTACTTTTTATCCAATTTGAACATCTGAGTAATATTTATAGTTCAATTATTAGCATAAATATCTCTTCGTAGTTCATAAAAAATTACAATTAGGTTAATTTAATTTTTAAAAAGTAGTTGTTTTAGAAGTTTTAATTTACAACTAATGTCTTATAACACTAATGACTAAAATATAATATTTCGAGATAAAAATAACATAAAAAATACTATGATCACGGTCTCAAACTCTTATATACAATTGTATAATTAAAGGTAGGATAATCTTAAATCGTTCTTATAATATATAAGTGCGTGATTTATGATTTATGATCAATTCTGATCACTTGAGAGTTGAGATGAATAATTTGACAAATTTTGTTTTGTATTCTTATCTATATCAGTTAAATCACTGTAGAGCCTTATCTTAGTGGAACCAAAACTATGAACGAAATGATAACCTAACCTAACGTGTCAGCTGTTAGACACATTTCTGATTTCAGTTTACTGTACAGTGTACTAGTCAGTGGTCTTTACTCTTTTGGCTCCTGGATGTGTGGTTTATATCGTAAGGCCAACTAATAGATATGTCCTCTTTTTCAAAAATTGATTTCAAGCGAGAAATTTATGTTCTTTTTACGACATGGCCGTATTCAGGGGGGGGGGGGGTCCGGGTTCAAACCCCCCCGAAATTTCATCGAAAAATATTTGTATTACCTTTCCTTTATATCTTTTGTTCCATTTTTTTAATAAGTATTCCTGAAAATAATGTAAAAAAAATAAAAATATTTTAATGTAAGTTTTCTTTTAACTTTAAAGCCTAAAATAGAATTAAATAAAAATAAATACGTGATATTATCGTTATCGCCTGCTTAGGCTTATGGACACGCCAATGAATTTTAGTTTTTTTCGAATTTCGTTGGTGTACCTTATTGGAAGACGTCAATTCGGAGGAATACATTACTTATGCCAAATCAAGCACTAGAAAAATGTCTAGAATTAACAAACCAGGCATAAAAAAATTTTTTTTCAATTATTTTATTTTGAATTTAAATAGTAAGAATTTTACTGAGCAGAGAAACTTAGTACAATTATTTCGCCTGTAGTTAATTCCGGACCCTTACAGCTGTATATAATTTAATTATTATTAATATTTAAAATAAATTACTACATGTTTTGCTTACCGGTTACTTTGTATTAGGGATTGTATACTCGTTTCCAAACCACCTATGAGGTAGAGTATTTGGCTCGTTTTTTTTAATGTGGTATCTCCATCTACGATAATGCTCAAATTGTATTTACTGTACAACCACCAAAAATGTGTGGTAGGGGCGTTTCAAGCAATTGTGGACTTACGCATAGATGTCGATCCGGGCTTAACTAAAGACTAACTTAATGACTAAAATATCCCGGTATCGACAGACTGAGCGGCCACGCAACAGACAATGGTGGACTTACACATAGATGTCGATCCGGGCTTAACTAAAGACTAACTTAATGACTAAAATATCCCGGTATCGACAGACTGAGCGGCCACGCAACAGACAATGGTGGACTTACACATTGAAGCCGATCCGGGCATAACTTAAGACTAACTTAATGACTAAAATATCCCGGTATCGACAGACTGAGCGGCCACGCAACAGACAGTGGTGGACTTATGCATCGAAGCCGATCCGGGCATAACTAAAGACTAACTTAATGACTAAAATATCCCGGTATCGACAGACTGAGCGGCCACGCAACAGACAATGGTGGACTTACACATTGAAGCCGATCCGGGCATAACTTAAGACTAACTTAATGACTAAAATATCCCGGTATCGACAGACTTTGCGTAGGTATAAGAGAGTACGAAGGAGGTTATCCAGTAGGATCACGGGATAGATATTGGTAATTTGATTTACAAACAAATCTTGTTGGTGTACAAAATGTTGTGAATGATTAACTGGACGCAAATTTTAAAGTAAGTAATTAATTTTTACTGAGCAGAAAAATGTGAGAGGTTAATGAAGTATAACGAGAACGACCACAACGTGAAAGTGCGTAGTTACAAACGAAAAAATTGTTAAAGTAGTTTAGTTCAATTATCTGAAATGACAATAATGCTAAAATGTGTAAATTTACTTAAATAAATAAATTATAACTGTGCGGTTGTCCAAAATAATTTATAAAGGGTGAATTGAGAGTAAAATGGCATCATCGTACATAGACCTAATCCACACAGTACTCGACTTAGTAGAGAGGAGGGGAGGTAACTCAATTGCTTAGATATTTTAGCGTAGGTACTTACTAGGTATCTTTATTTTACTTCCAAGTGAGACCAGAATACATTACTCAGAAATGTATGATTTAGTTGAAAAAAATATTTGCAAAAATTACACTCGCTTTTTATAAATTCGTCTGAGGAATACATTACTTATACTAAATCAAGCACTAGAAAAAGGTCTAGAATTAACAAACCAGTGATATAAAAAAAAAGGTTTTTTCAATTATTTTATTTTGAATTTAATATGTAAGAATTTTACTGAGCAGAGAAACTTAAGTACAATTATTTCGTCTGTAGTTAATTCCGGACCCTTATAGCTGTATACAATTAAATTATTATTAATGTTTAAAATAAATTACTACATGTTTACTTCGTATTATTTATACTTATTAGGAAATTTATGATCGACCGCCACGTGTAAATAATTGCTTCTTGAATCTAAAAAAACAAATTAACATAATATTAGTAAATAGTATTTAGTAATAATTGGATTTGGACTTTAGATTTGGTATCTAAATTATTATACATTAAGAGATTTCTACACAGCATGCTGGGTTTTTGCGTTACCTACTCTGAAGCCCAAATGTGAAATCGCCCTGTTAGACTCTCAAATGTTTAAATTAATTTACCAACTTTTAAAATTCCAAGTGTTCTTACAAAAGTTTTCTTTTTTTGAAACAGTTATTGTAAATAACAATGAAAAAAAAGAACATATGTCTGTATTATGTTACATAATATAATAACTGTATGTGTTCGAAATACCTACCATCAAGTCTCCAGGCGAACCCCTTTTGAGTTTTTGGTCGCCTTCGGATTTTTTTTTGAAATAGCTTGAAGTAACGTCCAAACTTATGGTGAATATGACAGTAATGTTTAAGTCGTTCGAAAAAGTAATTGTTTTAATGTAAAATATATCTGCAGAACGCTTCGACACAATGCATATTGTTCGCTGAAAATATTAAAATCTAAGTATTGACTTTTAATATACAATTGCTACGTCTTTTTATTCAAACAACAAGCAGAAGTTAACATGGAAACGAATTGTTTTCAGCAGTTAAATACTCACATAGAGCCAGCAAAGGTTTGCAAATTTTGTGTTCAAGGAGATCCTATATTATAATATATATTATATATAATAAAGGATCTCTTTGAACACAAAACTTGCTTTAAATTATTAATATTAATTTTGCATAGATTGAAATAATTGACAGAGTAATTGTGGTTGATAGAAAGGTGTATAGATACTAATATTGTATATAGTTGCTCGTCCAGTATGCACATGCGTTTTATTCAAACAATTATTTATTATTAAATAATCTTGATCAAATGAAAGATGTAAAACTTAATTAATTAAATATTAATGAAAATGGTTTGGGAATATTTTTAAATAATATATGTCATTGTTACTTTTTGTGACATTACACTGGTGCAGACGACGCAACGCCTTAATTAGTGAACAAAAATAAATTATGTTTTTTAATCTTAAATCATATGTATATTATTTCTATAATTATTAGGATTTAGGAATGTGGTTTTACATTTTTTTTTAATACAACTTAAGAAGTATAGTTTAGAGGGGCGGGTAGTTTTATTAAGGCCACGATATGATTAGAGATGCCTACTGAAAGATTTTGACGTACTTTCCAACTTCTTAACGCGTAGACATGAGTCTTCCCTTCCTCATATCACCACCCACCGGACCCTATTTTCAAACATGCATCAATTTATTATATACTGTAAAATTATATACGTTTTTTTTCAGATGTTGAGATAATAAGTAAATAGGACTCATTTATATGGAATCCCAAATACTTTATATAACTTATAAAAATTAAATAAAAAAAGTATTTAACAATTAAATTGTTATGTCAAAAATGTTATCAGATTTCAGGACTTATATAGGTCTGTATTATACTTATTAAAAGCGTAGTATTAAACCTAAATAAAATTAACATGTTGTTTATAAATTAATAATGATTGTAAATACTATCATTATACAAAATATCAACACCAGAACATAAAAATTGAATTTTCATGTAAAATTCACATAGCAATAAATGCCTGTCTATCCAAGACAACAATTTATTGTCAATACTCTTTTTGGTAGAAACAAAACAAAAAAAATATCAATAGGATCTATTTATTATAGGTATTAGCATTGATCATAAATATTATAGATGGGCGATGGCCCACCGAGACAAATTTTAGTTCTGTACACTGTATACCAACACGGTAGTATCATTTTCGTTGAAAACTATTGACTAGCGCCCATCCCGTGTTGGCGTACAGAACTAAAATTTGTCTCTGTGGGTTATCTATAATATGTATAAACAATGGCATTAGATAGAAATTGTAAAAACAAAAACGGATTTATACACAAATAATTACAATCGTAAAAAATAAATTTATCAGTAATTAGTAACTACATTCAATGAGAGATGTATTAATAATACAATGTTTTTTTTTATTAACCTAGGTAACAAATGAAAAACATATAATATGATACATAAAAAATAATAAAGCTCATTACACAAAAATAATAGTTGAATCGTATTAGTAGATGGCGTCATTATCATCCAAACCATCATCCTCAACATCTAAATATCCTTACCCGTTATCAAAATAATTTTTATTGTAGTCAGTTCCATCATCTAACTCATCATCGATATCTTTTACTTCTCCTTCTTTTTTGGTTCTTCGCTATCTTCGACATCAATGACATCTTCCTCTTCCTAGAGTTCTTTAACAACACTTTCACTGAACAATAATTGTGAAGTGGAAGGGCCGTTTTCAGTTTTTACCTTCTTTTTACTGGTTGGGTTGAGGAAATCGTTTATTTTGGTTTTCTTTGCAGATACAATTTGTTTTAACGACAAATAATCATGGTTGGCTACTTCGGCTTTTAATTTATCCATCCACTGCTTGTCTGTTAACGGTTTTTTTTCATTTGGTGAAATTTTCTTTTTTTTTGGTAGCAAGGACGGAGGAAAATAACTATGTGTTTCTACACTCTTGAGGTACGACCAAGGACTAGTAAACTCATCTTTAGATATAAACGACGGAGCACTATGAAAATGCTTGGCTAATTGTTGTTCGAATGAAATTAAATCTTCGTCTTCACTGTTTTCTCCAATTTCGGTAACATTAGCCGGTCAAATCCACCACCACCACCACCACCTTCTCGTCCTCGTCCTATGGACGCGCCAGCCATAGGATCAACACTTTTCAAGACTTTTTGTTGTAACTGCTAGTTTTTGTTTGTGTGGTAAACTTTCCTAAAATAATACAAACACAAATAATTATATCATTTTAAATAATAATAATTTAATCACGCTACAATAAGTATATATTTAAACATGGTGGATTTGAGTCTTAGAAATTCCAATTTTTTGAGAACTTACTGGGTCATAAATTACTTTAACAATAAATGAACAGCTAGGGACTAGTAGCATCTGTCTCACCAGCTTCTAATTCATTCTGAAAAAATTACAATTATGAACTATTAATATATAGGATATAGATAGTAAGTTACTAAGGAAATTTAATCTAAAAAAATAATAGTTATATAAAGGCGAGGCTACACCAACTATTTATTAAGGAGTAAAGTATGGGAAAATTACTAAATAATTGTATTAATTAAATTAACTGATATATTAAGTATAATATTGTACCTTATACAAGTGTTTTGTACCCGAACGGATATAAAACTCATCAAAAATCAAACAAATTCACATCAGTCGCATTAACTATATAGGTATCCAAGGATTAAGGACAGATTATAATTTTATAGAGATCAACGCTAATGTATTTTTTGTAGCACATGACCTTGATGTGTTGACCTCCCCCCACAAAAAAAGAAATCTAACCAATAATATTTTAGCTTCGACGGATTCAAATCGACAAGGGTACATAATTGACTTCTTACCTAAAGGACAAAAGAAGGTTGAAGGTAGTGCGTGCAATCAAATGTATCGAGATGATTCATTGTACCTATCTAAATTTTTTTGTTTTATAAAATTACAATAATAGTTCACTATAGTAATGATGATACATGATATATTCCTCCATAATAATTAGCATGTTAACGGTTAATACGTTTTAACCATTGCATGTGCAACACGTGTTGCTTTTTATCATTGTGTCTGCGCTGATGTCAAAAGTACCATTTCATTTGTCAATTGTCTCGCAGAAAATAAAACGAATAAAATGTTGTTGTTTTTTTTTGTATCACTTCCAACAGTACTAGTGTAAACTGTTATACTATACATGTGTGCATTGTGGCTTGGACCTCCACTGTTGTTTCGGTCGATTTGCCCATATACCGTTTATATATTTACATAAATTAGACGGCGGCCAACAATTAATTATAATGGTAGGTATCTTGTATGACAGGTTTTTTTTTTTAACTACTGGTCGCGTTTTTATACAAATGCCAAGTACACAGCATAGTCATATTGTAACTAGTTTTATTATCAATTGAAATATCAATGATTTTATTTTGTAAATAATTTTTTTTTTTTAGTAATACATGCAGTTTAATTTAATATAATGTAATATATATATGTATACATGTATTATTGTTTTAGATAATGATAGTGTCGTCAATATTTATCTGTTACGATACACTGATGCGTGACAAATAATAATACAAAGAGGAATAATGTACCTAATATTACAATGAATTTGATTCTAATTAAATTTAAAATTTTGACAATCGTGATTTGGCATAGTAAGTTTAAAAAAAATACTATTTTCGACTAATTTTTATATGCTTATATAATTTATAAATCAATATCGCTAATATATATTTATATTTATAGAAACATTACAGTTTTAATATTTATGTTTATAATATTATAGGACATAGTAGAGCCGAAGCTCAAAAGTTTACGACAAAATGCTGTCCAATAACAAAGATACCTGACGGGGACGAATGTAAAGAAAGTAACATAACATTTAAACCGATATTTTGGCCAACATACATTAATGACAACAATGACAATATCAATATCACCTTCGGTAATCCTTGCAAATATGGAAGGTAAGAAATTTCAAATGTGATTAATATAAACCTCTTTGCGGGCGTTGCTAAATTTTCCCATTTTGGAAGAGTTACTACACTTTTTTTCTTTTATTAATAACATTTATTATTTAATTTTAAAAGCTGTTCTACTTACCATTTAAATTAACTATATATTAACATTTAGCCATGGTGTTTTTTTATTAGCATTTTAACGCTACTATTAATTGAGTTTTATCTTAACTTAGGCGCAATTCTGTATGTAATAATAATAATATAATAATGTACTTAGGTATTTGATGGAAGAAGGAATTTATAGTGAGTTTTTTGTATTGCACAATGGTACACTGTACCTACCTAACGACAAACAATTATTGAGTGCAGACCAATATTGTCTGGATACATTTTTTATACAAGAAAAAGCTATTATATTACCTCTCGTATGTTTCCCAAAGCCTAAGTGCTCGGAATATTGGCAGAAATTGGTAATTTTCGTACTTCCATATGGTAAACAAGTTAATTTAGTTTGATTAGACTCCGGACTGAAATTCTTGTACCTAATTGTAAATATTTCTCATTAGGATTATTCGTTTCGTCGTTATTCATGGCAATCAGTGTGCTATTAGAAATACAGAAACAAAACAAATTTAACACAATCAATAGGTTTCACCATTACTTTTTGTACTTACACACGTGTTTGATAATTTCATCGACTACTTTGGCCACAAGACATGTTACCGATCAAATAATGGCCAACACTAATGCGGCAATAGGTATGTGTTATGCAATGATGTAGACGTAACGTTATACATGTTGTGTATTTTAGCACTTTTGTATGAAATCAACTATAATTGATATATTTCATCTTGGTAGAATTCATTCTTCAGTCTTCATACATGACAAGCTTATTGATAGTCGCTGTAATTACTTACGAATCATGGAAAAACTTTAAGTATAACATTTTCATACATTTTGACTTATCGACATAAATATCATAGCTTGATTGATGATTCCAATTTTCAGACGCAATAACACAAACAACAATATAATTGACAAATACATTAGCAAAATTAATAGCATTAACGTGGCGATTTGTATGTTTTTAATTCAAGGGATAATTTTCTACATAATCGGATGGTCGTCGGTTTTACCCACAATTTTTTTATTATACAGTAAAAAATGTTAAATGCCGTAAAATATTTCCAAGTAAATAGTATTGTAATGTGTTTTTACATTTTCAGGTGAAACCGAATCGTCATCAATGCATTATTTACGAATTTCTATTTATAAAGTATTTGTCGGATTGCTTTTGCTTGGTATAGGATATTTATTGGCCGTTATTATAACAAAGGATGAAAACAAAGAAAACGCAAAAACACAAGAAACGTCACAAAAATTATATTGCAAGTACCAGTAAGTGGGAAAACAACTTATAATTATAATTTGTATACTAAATTTAATCATCTCATGCTTTAGGTTGAATAAAAATGTTTTAGCGTTCAGTCTAATGGCGTTTCACTGGTTGCTGGAAGTATTTGGTATTCCGAATTCAAATGTGGCTTTTAACATTTGGATTACGTTGATACTACTAACCTATTTGACGTATAGTATTATTTTATTATTGTTATCGGCGTTTTATACAAGAAGATTAACAGCTGTAGACAACAGACAGACAGAAATCACTTCTAACTGTTTATTAAATTAAATCTAAGGTATTTTACCTTAATTCAGTTATTTTATAATTGTAAAAGGTACATGGTACATTTATCGATTAGCAGCAAAATTTGTATACCTGTAAAAAATAAAAAAGTTGTTATTGTTAATCATTGGACTGCGTAAAAAAGTAATTTGAGACTTAATAGATGTTATATTTTGTTGTGTGATTATAGCAAAGGTATTATAAGATACTATCCTGCTACCAAATTGCTAAAAACCAGTACAAAAATAAATAATAATTTTTTATCTTTGTATTTGTATTTTTTTTTAACAAATCGTATGACGAGTCGTCAGAACACACACCTTACAGTGTACATTTATTTAGATGATTTTTGTAAAAAAATGTATTTTTGTAGGAAAAAGAAAATGTCAAGTTATTATTCTAATGATTATTTAAAAAACTTAAAAATTTACCACTGAATTTGTTCTTTTGTCAAAGATGGTTTAACATAATTTAATGCTTCGAAAAAATGTTTTTTTTTTACTGAAGTACAATTGGCAATTCCTTCCTTTGTCATGCATACCAAACCTGCCTAAAAAACATTGTTAGTTTAATATTTTGTAGGATTTATTTATTTATAAATTAATTAATTCTTTAAAACTTTACTTCTTTTACTAAATTTTCGAGATCAGCTGCTGAAAACAAATCAGTTTGAAGAGCCACATCATCCAATATGGATGGCTCAGATATAGGCATTCTAAAAAGTCAGAATTTTTTTTTTTTAAATTAACAAAAAATATTATACAAACAATAACTAGTTCATCAATTACTTTTTGTTTGGGTTATTAACAATTGTACTAAGTATATTGGAGCGTTCATCTGATAAAAATGGAGGTGGCACATAAATGTGTCTGTCAAATCGACCGGGTCTCAATAACGCTGCATCTATTTTGTTTGGTCGATTAGTAGCAGCAACCACTACGACTCCTTGTCCATGCTGCATAAAATATTAAAACAATTAACGTTTTAAAAATAAATAGAACACAAGTAACTCACTTCATTGCTGTTATTTATACCGTCCATTTCAATTAAAAATGTCGACAGAACTCTATCTTCAAATCCAGCAGACTCTTTATTCTCGGTACGGCAACTGACTAAGGCGTCTATAAATTAAAACCACCAACACGTTAAACACAACAATAATGTTTAGAGAAGAAAAATCTGAAATTTTCCATTTACCTATTTCATCTATAAACAATATCGAGGGGACATTGGCCCTTGCTCTTTGGAATAACTGTGAAATATTAGCCTCGGTCACGCCCAAATACGGCGAATAAAGTTCTGCCGCCATGGCCGAAAGGACATTGATGTTGGACGATGCAGCAATCGCACGAACAAGACTTGTTTTACCGCAACCAGGAGGTCCGTAGAGTAAAACACCTAATTTTTAATGGCTATTAGTTAACTATACATTTTTAAATCTACCAATATAACCACATTACATTTATGACTAGTGTTACCTTTAGGTGGGGGTACGGAAAAACGCTCAAATGCTTCTGGATACATGAGAGGCCATTTAATACAAATGTCAAACATCAATTTAACTTCATTTAACCCTCCTAGGTCGGTAGCCGGTGAAGATTCAGACTTAGTAATTACCTGACCGATCCCTGATTTTAAAGATGAAGCCGGATGTTTGGAAATGAGATTCATTGCATTTGTTAATACTCCATTTTGCCTATAAATTAAATATGTCAAGTCAAAATACAACGTGTTAATAACTTATTTACAAGACACACACAGATCTACGATTACGGTTGGATCGTTGGAAAATTCTTTTGTCACTTGTTCTAAATCTGCCGCAGTATAGCCGGGTGTCAATTCAGCCAACGAAGATGAAATATCATAATTGATATTTATGTTGAAGTTGCGACAAAAACCGTATATCATTTTAGATCGGTCAACTTCAGTAGGAACGCCAATGTAGATCTAAATGGGGATACAACCGATGCAATATTTCAGTTTAATAATACTTTCATTAACTTACTTCGTATGAAAACCTTGAACCTTGTTTAAAAGATGCATCGATCGATTGGGGAATACTTGTGGTAGCGATTACAATTATTCGAGAATTATCTCGGACAGACGCTAAACAATCTTGGATTTGCGCGCAAACTCGTCTGGCGTTGGTACCTTTTCCGTTTAACATACTTTCTGCTTTTTCCAACATTATTATACAGATGACTAAAAACAGATTAGAATAACTTTTATTAATTTAAACCAATTAAAATTTGGCTTGACAAATTACTTTTTTTATCTTGTTGTACTATGAGTTGAGATTTTGAAAATACATTTCTAATTACAGTTTCAGTAGAACCAGGATCAGAATTAATGAAATCGGTAGACAAAAAGTTTAAAAGAATGCATTTCAGAGATGCGGCAATGTGCTTGACAAGACTGGTTTTTCCACAGCCCGAAGGTCCAATCAACAATATCTAAAATTAAAAAATATACATTTAATACAAGAACTTAAAATTAAAATAGTAATGATCTTATGAAATATTCACCTGATTACAAATAGACTTTTGTCCAGTTTTGGCTACTTCTATAATACTTTTCAAACATTGTATTTGTGGATCAAGACCAAAAAGTGGTTCTACTTTACAACCAATTTTAGTCTGTTGAAACTGTTGATAATTCATAGTTTGAATAATCATTATGTTAGTTTCAGGCGTAGTCAAAGCAGCGTTATTTTTACAATCGGTTTTATGAACGAGAATAAAGTCAATATTTAACATTTGTTTTGGTCTGAGTTTTTTCAGGTTCACTATACAATTGTTGTGCACAACGAATAATTGCAAACAGTTGTTGATGGCTTCTGCCAACATTAAAGGTTTCATCGACCATTCATTTTGATGTTTAACATCAGTAAAAACTACACTAACAAAGATTTGTTTTGCTTTTGTTACGTTAATCGCTTCAATGTGTTTTTGATCAATAAACGTATCTAGCATTACAGTCATGGGATCAATGAGTTGGTCTGGTAAGTGTTGGACGACGCTAACGTCGCAACGGGCAAAAGAGCAACTAGTATTTAACTGTGGAACGATCCGGCATATAATTTTTATCTCCTTACTAATTTTCACAAAGACATATTGATTGAACAATTTTGAGCTGGAAATGTTTTCACTGGCATACATTTTCTGAATTGTGTCTACATGATTGCTATTTGGTACTTTTGATAGGTAAACCGTAGACATCATTGAGCGAACGTGCGAGTAAAAAAAAAAATGGCTCAAACTCTTGAACAGTGTTACACTATTGTCTATGATCAATACAGATTTACGTTAATTTTGTTTTTTTTATAAAATAATCATTGTAAATGAATAATTTTGTTAAATAAAAAGTTAATTCACATATTATTATTCACATCATAAAATGTAATTCTCAATCGAATCGTCAAATCACACTATCGGTTCAAAAGCCCGGCGAGAACTCCATGTGCTTGATAAGACATTATCAGTGAATATCACGGTGAAAAAATATAGGTATGTCAGTAATTTTTGTTAATTGTATAATGGCTGCCGGTGTTTCATGGGCGGCCGTGTTGTGTAAACTGATAACACGATTTGCTGACATACCTATTTGTTGACAGAAATTTAAAATTGTATTATGTTTTAATCTCTTTTCTATGGTTTTATGCTTTAAAGAATATTTTTAAAGAAATGTCAGTGTAAGTGTATTGTTCTTTGATGAATTCACGAAAAAAGTGGCATTTTGAATTTTAAACATTTATTAAATATGGATGTAAGGTTAGTAAATACTTCAGTATACATTTATATCATCATTTTTTATATTTGTACGTTTTAATTATTGGGCCTTTTATACTAGTTTGAACTTAGCAAATTACTGTTTTGGTTACAAATGTAAAAATAACACGAATTTACCAGTAAAGGAATGTTCAAAAATTGGTTCAACTTAATGTAAATAGCTAATTTTGGCAATTCGTTCAGACACGTTTATTAAATTTACCCACAACATTTTCCTGCGTAATACATTTTTGAAAACTTCCAAAATTTTCAGGATTTTAGGATAATGGAATCTTCTCATTTCTATATAGATTTCCAGTTTCTTTAAAAAAACTCAATTGAGAACGTTTATCTTTTAAGACTACTTATTGTAGTCTAGCATGTAGATCATTAACAGTTTTTTTTTTTTAACTGCAGTCGTTACTATTTCAAAAAAAAAAAAAAATTTATTTTGTATCTTGGACAATCTTGGTGAATTAACTAATAAATGTTTACTATACTCTGTTCGGAATAAGAACAGAGTATAGTTACTACAGTGTTTGTAATGCAAAAAAATCGGATAACACCACAATTTATCAGTCGGTAACTTTGCTAAATTTAAACAACCACAATAAATCTTTTTGATAAAAATCTTCAACACTATATCGATAAATACACGTTTGCTGTTTTTATTTCTAAAAATTTGACTAAATTTTTGTAAGAAAGGTAAACTCAATTTCTGGATTCTTAACTTATATGGATAAAACCTGTTTGGAATCTTAAATTCAATTTTGCTTATAATATTTCAAAAAGTAACAAAGACAAAATCATCAATTTAGTGTAAAATATGTTTTGCAGCGTTCTACTACCAAAAATAGCACTAAGTTTGGGAATCGGTATTACTTTTGGTGTTTGGCTGCATAAATATTTGCATAGAGATCAAACGGAAACGTTATTTTTTTTTGGAAATACTCAATATTATCATCACACAACCAACGACCAAAACGATTGTGATTGCCGAACTTGTAAATCAAATACACTTATAAAATGGCTCAATCAAGCTAAACATTCTTTAGACATTTGTTTATGTTTTATAACTGATGAGACACTCACTACTACAATAATAGATGCTCATAAACGAGGAATTAAGGTGAGAATAATATTGGATGAAGATTGCATTAGAACTACTTGGAAAATGGGCATGGCCGGTATTGCTAAAAAAGTGAAAAAAGCTAAAAATTCAGATAGTATAATGCATCATAAATTTACTATCATAGATGGGAAAAAAGTAATTTTGGGATCTCTCAATTGGACGCCAAAGGCACTACGAAAAAACTGGGAAAACACATTAATTACGAACAACGCAGAAGTGGTTCGTGCATATTCTAAAGAGTTTGAAAAACTGTGGAAACAATTTTAGCTTAAGAATTAACGCGATGTAAATAAAAATAACAAGACAAATGTAAAAAGATAATCATGTAATTTAATATCGAAAAATTGTCAGTTCCTTATTAACATTGTACCAAAAATAAACAATGAGTTTACATAGTTTTTTTTGTTCAAGTATCAATTATTTTACTTCAAATGTATTACATACTTCTCGAGCACACTGGCCCAATTAAAATGACTACTTCACTACAAAAAAATTTTTAAATTAATTACAAAAAAAAGGTTTTAAGAAATAAATTTTCTGTGTAAAAACACAATGCAAAACATTATATACAATATTACATTTTTTTTTTTTTAATCAAACACTACTACTTTTCTTTTTATTATTATTATTAATGATTATTAATTTATATTTATATATAATACACACTAGAATTAATTTTTTTTTTTCCATCAAATATGTGATTAAATATTATTCTGAATCGCTATTAGATAAGGTAATATTACTACTATCTTGTGGATCTTCTGCAACAACAACTTCTGTGTTGCCGTTTGTATCATTTTCATCGTCTGAGACACATTCCTCATTGGAGGCTTCATATAGAATTTCCTAGGGAAAAAGTTAAAACTATTATAGAATGGTTCAACACGGTTTTATATACTATTAAAGAGCAAATTTGAAATACATTTTATGTAACAAGATCATATTAGTAATGTATTATTTATTATTACTTTTGAAAAACTTATGTAATTGTTAAAAAATCAACTATAATAAAAACAGTTTTACATAGCATACATAGAACCAATTTAGATACTTGTTTATTTTATTAAACAAAAAATACGATTTTTGTAATTTTGTATTAATGTACCCCAAAAAACCTAACTGGGTCAAATTTTTAAATAAAAAAACAATATCTCGTTTTAGCCACTTTGAATGAAAATACTTACATATTTATTTGAGATTTGTCCAAAAAATATTAATAACCTGTGTTTCGATTTTATATTTTGAGATATGTTCTATAGTTACCTTTAATGTATTTACAAGGTCAGTCGTTTCTTCCAATAGATTTTTGCATGAAGTATTCTCATCTTCCAGTGCCATTACCAAAGAATGTAATTTTCGATTGTCTTCTAAGACTTCTTCGAGCGCTTTTTTACGACGCTCTGCAATGGCTTGCCAATATTTTTCACTGGGGCCGGCTGTAAAATTATAATCTTATTTATAATATATAAAATACGACTATAACTATGCTTATGGCTTACCAGTTGAAGTGAGATCTTCAATGATTAACTTTTGGTAAAGCGAAGGATCTACTTTGGGTACTGTTAATTTCTTATCTTTAGACTTTATTTTGGCTTCGGTCGTTTTCAAAGATTTGGACGTTTTTTGATCGCTATAAAGAAATTACAAAAACCAAATATAAACAACTAATAAGTTTAAGATAATATTACACATGACGATAGGTCATACATTTTTTCTTGAGATCGGCCACTTCCAACTAAGTTTTCTTTGCTGCGACCAGACGGCTGTAACGTTTGTAGACATTTTCTAGTGGCATTTTTGTTGTTGGCCTGCACGGAAACCTACAATGACAAATTGTTTTTTACAATTTCCGTGGTTAGTTTCGATTGGAAATATTACCTTTCCCGACCGTGTTCTGGGTGCATTTTCGGAAAGTGCGGTTTTCATTCTCGTGATTATTATAGTATAAAGTTTTATTTCAATAAACAAACAAGTGTATTATCAAGTGTAATCGTATTGATCAGTTAACGGCAAAACATGAAATGGTTGTTTAAAATGAATAATTACAACAGTTAACGTTAAGCTTATAAAACAGAAGGGCGATACAAATAAAATTAATCATTTAACGTTAACTGCGAAATTGGCTCGGCTGAAGCCTGAAATAGTGAAATGAAATCGCAATGGAAAAATCATGACAAAATGGATGTTTAAAAAATTAAACGTTAACATTTTTGTAACAGTAACCAACACCAGGGTAACGGTAAATACCGCTGTTGACAGCTGCTGTAGATAAACCGCCGTGGTGTTATCACGGGATCTAAGCTCTGGAATGATAATATAAATTGTTTTGTTAAGCACAACACAAGCCACAACCGTGGTTGGAACTTGGAAGAAAGTTGAACTTTGTAATGGACTATTCGAATTAATATTTAACAAACCCGGAGAACTCTCAAACGCCCGCCCCTGACGCCACAGCTGATTTGCCTGTGAACTTTTTGAGTGGGTAATATGTCAATAATAATTAACAGCTTTAGTTTTCGGTAAACGTCAATGTCCAATCTGTACGTGTTGTACACGGCTGCATTGTGAGAATTTTCTTGAGCTTCGTTTGACCAGTAAGTACATTTACCAGCGAGTTTCAGCGAAACATTGTCCGGATGATCTTAATTCAAAATGAAAGGACACCTTATTTTACAAATTTTGTCAAAGAGTCTACGTAACGAAGACGGTCGACATTGAAGTTAACAAAATAAATAGGTGATGCTAGAAAAAAAGTGACTTCTTGTGTAGGCATTTTCCAAATTTGAGTTAGCACTATTTTCTGAACGTGAGATCCATGTTTCCGGGATCAATTTTTTACTAATTCAGGCTATTATTCTATTCAATTAGATGTTTTGACCTATATTCTAATCTTGGAGACTCCAAGGTACAATTATTTTGACACTTTGAAGAAAACGATACATTCGACCTTATTTAATGATTTTCCCAAAATCAACTTAGTTGGTCCCGTTTTGCACTCTGCATCACGTTTAAGAAAATAGGTTTCCGGGTTGGCGCCGAGCTTGTCAATCCTACACACTTAAGCTAAACTCTCAACTCTTTCTCTTCCCTATTTTAAAGTTTTGGCTGGATTTATATGAAAATGTACTTGTTTGAAACATAAAAATGTATGCTCTGTTTGGGATTTGTGTTTTTCACCTATTTAAAGTATTTTTATTAACTTCAAAGTTGATTTTCTTAATAATTATGGCCTAATGACAATAATAGCAAAAATGAATCCTTTTATTTTTATTTTTGACTAATTTTGCCAAAGTTTCATCTGATTAATTCAATTATTAAAATAAAAATACTTCCTGATTATCTGTACTTGCTACTTAAATATATACTCTCAAGACGTGTTAATCGATAACACATAATGTGATTCGTGTTACGATAATTTTTAACTCATTGCATAGATTGCTATAGTTACAAAAAAATATATAAAATATAGATATTCGTTTGTGTATAAAATAATGTTAAAAAGTTATAGTTTACATATAAATATTTTTGTTGTCAATGTTTGTTTTTGTTTTTATAATCAATTAGATATGCCCAAGAATCCATTTGTGACATCCAAATCACGCAAGAAGAAGAAATCGAGAAAAAATGTTCACAACCCAGAAGCCTTGGATGAAGCCCAAAAGCCTAAAACGCTGTGCCCACGCAGCATGGTCAGGTACGCCAACGTGAGCGGCTACGAAGCTATATGGACGTGTAAAATTTGTTTGACAACGTTGCTAAGTGAAAACGCAGTCCAACAGCATTTACTGAAATGTAAAAAAACATTCGAAGTATTGGAGTCCGAGACGGTCGAAAAGAACTCCCAGGTGTAAGAATGACTATTGTACCATATAAATACAGTTTACGCTTATTTAACATTTGTATTTGTATTTTTTTATTTTTAGTACTAACAACGTTAGCGAGTATGATGCCCGTCAATATATATGCCGATATTGCGATCAGGTATTTTCACGTATGGTCACATTGAACAAACATGAAGAACAGCACGAGTTGTCCAACAGTAGTCCGGAATACGAATCGGACATTGATAATAAAGTGGTGTGGAGAATAAAACCCAACCGTGTGGCTACTAAACAGCCGAAAATTACCGACGCCGCAACCGATAACAGTAGTTCTTCAGTGTAAACTGATGAATATATATATATATATATATATATATATATATATATTTGCTTGTATTGTTCTTGTATGTATCCTATCTATAAAATGTCATTCATTTTTGTATTAATTATTTAAATTTATATACTCAACTTGCGTGCATGAAAAGTATTTAACCTTAATTATAAGTCTTAATATATATATATATATATATATATATATATATATATATATTAAGACTTATTGGTTGATTTGCTCGAGTTAATGATTCCTAAACAATAAAACGCAACTATTCCAGTATAACATAATATAATTTTATAATGTCTTCAAATTTTGTTTTTGTGTTTCCTAAAATGTATTAACTAAACATTTTTGAAATATATACATTTTAATTTTGAACCTAAAACTGCCGTTGTATTTTTGTCTATCTCCGATTGCCGCTATATTAACACAAAATCATAATGTTATAAACAAATGAATAAAATTCAAATCAAATATATATTTCTGCATAAATAAAATGGTAAAACAAATATTTAAATAATTGCATTTTTTATTACACGCGAAAAACGGCCAAATATAAAATTAATAAATTATAAATGGTGTATTAACCTTAAGTACAGGATCATAAGAGATTGTATATTTTTTACAGTTTGTACATAAAAATTAATAGTATGTTTGATTCATTTTACGTACATAAAACAAAATAGATGACAAGCGCAAGCTTCTGTCGTTGGCTGATTACAACTATATTGTTATGTCCAATAGGCATAACATTTTTAATAATAAATATTTATAAGATAGAAATGAAACATATATCGAGGGGGAAAAAACAAAATAATAATAATAATATAAATAAATAAATAAATAAGACATAATATTATAAAATGTTAATACTGTGAAAATGATTATTTTTGAAATTTATTAACAGGCTTGCCTAGCATTTTTTTAATTTTTATTGAGAACCAACGCAAAATCGGTCACAGTTCAAAAGTGTAATATACAAAAAAAATAATAAATATCCCGAATAAAACCCCGAATGAAATCAGTGGTCGGTAAAAAGTATAGATTTTTAGTGAAATAAAATAATAATAATAATAACAATTATGTAAGCGTAACACGCTGTTTAAAATTAAAAACTAAATAGTAGATATTCAACGCTTGGAATTCTGCAAGCTTACGTCCCATAGTGTTGTGATAACGCAAGTATCGTTACATTAGGTTGACTAGACTGTCGCCTCCGAGAAGGCTAGTAGGTGTTGTCGTGTCAAGTTTCTACTTTGATGGAACTCGATGCCGCCACAGAGTCTACCGTGTTGGGGATTTGTAAACTTTCAGTTGCCTAAAACATAAAATAAACAATCGGTTAAATATAAAATTAAAAGCATCCGATGAACGTACTACACAGTGCAGTTCCGAGTTGTGAAAACTTTGAAATAATTTTCTATTTCCTAACGATTTCCTTGCCCCAATAATAATTACAATAACAACACTTACGTCGATGAGGTGATCGAGGCCGAACAGGAATCCTTCTTCGTGGTTGCCCGGCACCCACGGTTGCCTGTGGGTGAGTATCACGTTTTCAGGTACGTGCCTCGTTTTGGCAAAATCTATCAGCCACGCACCGACTTTGGTGTCGTCATAAATAATTAGAATACTGCTGCCCACAATCTGTGTTGGTCAAAACACACACAATAAATTATTAAAAAAACACATCCAATAGGAGGTACACCGTTGGGTCGTTATTGAGATATTCTCTCTTGGCGACTACTCACCTCGTGAGTTTTAAAATAATGAGAACGGTCCAGTTTGGTCCGGATTTCATTCAGTCTGGCCACCAGCCTGTGCTTGATGTCCTGCCGGTCGCCTAGGAACAATGCCAGCGTGTTGTTGACTTCTTCGTCGCTCTTGACGGTTTTCAAATCGGTAACGGGCGGAGAACCTCGAAACTATAACAATCGTCGTGAAACATCATCGTTAAATAACCATCGGACGGTATTGCCGTTGTTATTATTATTATTATTATTTACCTTCATGGCTTCGATCCGGAACCCGTGACTGCACGTTGAACTCTGCTGTTCTCTGAACTGCATGTAACGCAGTTTGGTGACGGCTTGCAGTTCACGTTCTTCGGCCGTAGGCGCTTCCGGGTCAACGGCGATCATCTATAACACAACATCACATTTTTGTTAGTCTCGTTTCGTTTAGAGATAGGTAAGGCTAAAACTGGGTTAGGTAACGTTTAACTCTTTGAGGGGCGGCTGTTAGCATATTGACCACTTTTGTTATAACCCTTTTGGGGCGGTGGTCAGTGGAGATAACCGCATATATATTTTTTTTTGGCGTCGGTTACACAATTAGCGATGATCACATAAATACTAAATAGTCAACTACGAACACACGCCATTAGAGCGTTGGGGGGCAGTTGGCGACATTTCTTGCCCCCCCAATAAGGCAAGGTTAGATAGAAACTATCAATGGGGCAGGGTAGGTCGGGTTATTTATTTGGTTCACTCCAGGCCAAAGACAATTACCACTTTACCTTGAGGTAGAGATCTTTCCGGGCGGCGGTGTTCTGCACTTCGGATTCCAAAAAGGTGCGCGTGCCCATTTTGATGTCCATGACGTGCGGGTCCCGGAACCCGTACAACAGGTCTTGGAGCTCGATGAACGTCTGACCGTTGTACTCGACCTCTCTGTAGTACCGGGGCACGATGTCCTGGAGGCTGGGCTCGTTGGACAGCGCTTCGTATACGTCACATTCGGTGCCGCCGCTGCATTTCTTCCATATGGTGCCCACGCCGGCCGGGGCAAAGCAGTCCGGATGTCCGGACAGCTGGAACCACGACTGCTGTTGCGGGGCGCCGGCCCGGCAAGTGCCAGCCGCGGACTGCGCGGTCGGCTTGACCCTGGCTTCGGGGTCCGACGTCACCACAGCGGCGGCGGTGGCGGTGGCGGTCGTCGTGGTCGGTGCGGTGGTGGTGTTGTTTCGCAGCAGCACATCGCTGGCGGGCGCACTCAGTTCTAGAGCGTTCTAAAAATCAATTGGAAAAAAAATCAATAAAATTTAACACCTCAAATGTCAGCTTATCTGTCGCATATTCCGTTTCGTAAAGCTAATTTTGCAATGCCCCCCCCCCCAGCCCAAAAACTTGTCCTCGGTGAAAAATAATCCGAGCAGCTCTATCGAGCGACGGCCTCGGTCCTGTCCTAACAATGTTCCCGCTTGGTCTGACCTTGTCACAAAGCGTATTTGCCAACACTTGGCCAAACTCAAAAAGTGCCAAGTACACGAGAGAGAGAAGAGTCTCGGATCAGAAAGAATCACAAGGGATTTGGACGTTTGAAGATAGAAGAAGACAGTTTTCAAGGATTTTAATTAGCCCTAGCCCGCACCCCTGTGTTTGGATAGGCGGCCTGCACTCCCTCGACTAATGCTAGCAATATGTTATCCGGGTTACACTTACCAGTGCCAGGAACTTGAGCAGAGTGTTTTCCTTTTTATGGTTTTTCTTCGACGACGGCACGGTATTGCACTGAGTGCTTTTCCACTCTCCATCGGTTTGCTGCAATCAAAAACAACAAATCATCGGTCATTAGCCATTCGGCAAACGCGCAATTAACGCGGACGTGCACACGAGTATTGAGTATTAATTACAATGTATGTCCCGACCCGGCGAGGGGGGCACGTACGATTAAAATAATATAAATAATAATAATAATAATAGTTAGAAATCGATTCGGTCGCCTCTACTACCTACAGCGACGACGGTTTGCATTAGTGATTGCAAGAAGCGCGCGTTCCAAAGCCCCCTTGGAGGCCAGCCGAATGACAAACAATAGTCGTCGTAGAAGACACACACTTGGAATAGGTACGGTCAAGAGGCAAGAAAAAACAGCTCGAGATTTTTGTCTTTTAATTATGTCCAAAGAAAAAAAAAATGCAAAATCGTGGCTACCGCGGCAAATTTGTATTTTACACGGTTAACGAACTAGCACGAAAACCACAATTTGCTGTTTTTTTTTTTTTTGTACAATTTGCATTTTTTTGGTGAGCTTAATTATCTGACACAAGCGTGTGTCGTTAATGATACTCCCGTGTCAAATAATTTTTACACCGTATATATATATATATACACGGTTATCATACTCATACCTACCGATTGGTGAGCTTATTTAAAAAAAAAAAACCTTGTACACCCATAAATAAATCGACTGCGTGTTAAGCTTTGGTTTGATAGACAGAACCTAACCGCTGATCGATGCGAGTCGTCGCACACAGAGAACATTGAGAATTGCCAACATTTAATTATAAAAAAACAGTAATAATAATAATATAGTAAATAACAAACGATAAGGCTGATTCAATTTACCTACATCTTGGCCAATAAAAATACACATGCTTCGCACTTTTTTAAGCTTCTACTTCTTCTTATTATTATTTTTTATCAGTCGTGAAATTCGGGACCCTTGACCGTTTGATGTTCACAGATAAAAATCGAATAATATAATCATATCTCTACCTATAAGCCATTGCATTTAGGTATACGTTAGCCGTTTTTCTATTCTGTCCTACCCTACCCCACACTCCGCCATTATTATTTTTCTTCTATTCAAACGATACACGTTCGTGGGCGTTCATGCGAAAGAAAAAAATCCCAATGTGTGCCACGTTATGCACGTGTCGCACACACCATCATCGGTAGTCGGTACAACAATATGTTACCGAGGAAACGATGATCAGTATGCCATTGGCGTGCCCAGGGCCACATTATTCGTCGTGTGCGATTTGTTTGGTATAATATTGTTGTGCCTCTGTATTGTCTCTTAGGTATTCCACACACACACACACCGGGTGGACGGTTCTTACCCAAGACGCGTTTCTTCGACAGCGACGAGCAATGTTAATTATTCGAGAAAAAAAAATTGACTAAAATGACCACCCACGCGAATTGGCTGAAAATATATTGACATAAAACGTAAATCATACCACCGGACAACCCATTTTTAAACATACAAATACATATATACACACACACATATAATGTACTTTTCCATAACGTTATCGGCCGTTACAAAAAAGACCAAGGTCAACACAAACTTACAAAAGTTCATTTGCACAATAAATAGAAATAGTTAATTAATTTACAAAAATAATATTATTAATATTATAAAGACCAAACGTATAACGTGTGGGTAGTCAGTCAATAACTAGTGATAATGGTATCACGAGCTATTACCGTGCGAGCCTTGCTAAAAAAAAGTATAACAACAAAAATAGAACATCTATTAAAAAACGATAACAGGTGAACATCGCGATAACTCTGACGGTCACGTGTTGCGTTTTTATACGGTCTACTGTCGTATCGATCATTGATTAAATAATAAATTTAATTGATCAAAATAAATGTCCGTATAAAGAGTCTTTTTTAGAATATTCGCGTTTTTAAAAATTAATAATGTTAAACGTTTGCAAATCGCAAAAACACGAGACATGCGTGGAGTGAATAAAATAAAAAAAGAGACGGATAGATTTTTAGAGAAAGAGAGGATTTGTTGAATGATCTATTTGAAAAGGAAAAGTGACCAAGAAGAAAAAAAAAATTCGTCAAAATAATAATTACAATGACAAACAAAGTAATTATTGTCAAGCCAAGTTTTATTTATAGTTATTAGGTATATAAATACATACGGTACAACATTTTTGCGTTTTGTGTTGGATTTTGATTATTGTGTTAATCGTATACATCAAATTGATAAATCAAATATAGATATTATTAAAGAAGCGCAGAACGGTTATTATCTTAATTTTTCAACTATAGGTTTAATAAGAAATACTTAAATCAGAAATCAAAAATTTGCGCCCAACAGAAACTATGTCGACAATAAATTCTATACATAGATCCTACACTCAGCATGGTAGTGCTACACAATATTATATTAACACAAACAACTCTTCTTTATCTGTCAAATGCTCTAGTCAATTATGCATCTTTTCAACCTGTTACCGAGTAGGCTAAGCCTCAACAAACTCGATGAACCGCAGAAATTGTACATCTTACATTATTCAAAATTATTATTTATTTTCATAAATTCAATTTGACACTTAGATTTTTACCACAGCAAGTACTAGAACCGATATCGATGTACCTAATGTGTATGATTGTATAATTAATAATGTTATGCTCTATATACATATAGTACAATGTGCCGAGTAATACTTTGTATTCAATTAATAATTGTTCACTTAGTATTATACTATGTTGGTGTTGACGTCACACGATTATGATGTTGATGCGTTCAGCATTTTTTCTTAATACGAAATTTTGCAATGTTTATACATTTTTTTTTTCAGTGTCAGAGCAAAATATATGTATCACCTTAACAAAACCGCCAAGGTAATGACAGTAAACAATGATTTTCTTTTAAGGTAAAAAAAAAATCTGTTTCTTATATAAGTTCATTGATCCTTGCAGTGCTGTGCTGATGCAGTTGGTTTGTTCCTAACGTATTTTTTTTTTTTTTTTTTTAGAAACCGCAACGAGGAAACAAAACCTGATGCCATAGTACAAAGTCCTCGTGGAAACGCTCACGGACGTTCTATAGACAATTTATTAAACAATTTATCGAAATAAGACCTACTAGTCTACAAGACAGAAAAATGCTCTACTTTCGTAGAAATGATTTTAGTTCTATAATACAATAATTTTAAGTTTACAATAATTTAGCATTGTGGGCTGCATGGACTTTTCGTTGTTGTCTCGAAGATCATGCCCGAAATTGTTGCACACAACAAAATTCAACTTAAGAATGCGAAACGTGTGAAAACAACCCGAGTTTGTTTTGGATTAGACACACTGACATTTTTATTAGTTTGTATACATAAAAAAAACCCGAAACGTCAACACCGCTTGCACGTGTACAATTTTGCTGTTGTACTTTGCTACTAACTGCATTGTATTGGCCGGGACTAGAAATTCAAAAAATGCTTTTGCTCCCAACAAAAAAATGTTGTAATAAATAATTGCTTATTGAAAAATAACACCACACAAACACAATTGCATAGGCTCGATTATGCGCGTGCCATAATTAAGGAAATCGACGCTTTCATTGACCAAACCGGTATTCGGCCGGCTATGAAAGGACGAAAAGGAAGAACGGATATCAGCTGGTGTCCTGTGAAGAATTGGCGGCTATTGACCTCGCACAGGCACCACACTTTCTCTTCGTTTGCCATCACACACCCAAATAGTGAATCTCTTACCAGTGGACATTTCCAAAGTATACTATTACAACCGTTTGGCTTTAAAATATGCAAACGATTAAAAAGAAACAAAAATTCACTTTCCGCAGGCATACACCACTACTATACATTATATTAAGCGCATTAGTTGTTCCGTTCTTCCGACCATAAAATACCGTCCACAGTTCGTTGACACGATCTCGTCACATCATGTTACTACTCATGGTATATTATTAATAATAATGCTATTGGTATATTATGATAATGAACGTTTGAATATTATATTTATGACAATTCACGCTTGTGCAACGCCGGTTATAACAAATAAATGTACAGCAGACTTGCACACCGATTGCTTATTGTCTACGTGTACATCCCTCTAAGCTAATCCAGAGTTGATACAGATAATCCTCCTCTCAATACTACTTATTAGTTTTGAAATCTCGGTGGTTTTTTTTCTGCCTAAACCCAGAAGACGTTTGGTTTTTGCACAAAAATATGTATTTAATAGGATTCTATTGGGTTGACGAATTCCTTAATAATAACGCAAACTGGGGCAATATTTTTTTTTAACAAGTTTTTGCCAACACTGCTCTACAAATGACAAATTTCTGTCACAACTTGCAACATGCAAGTATGTCTTACTGCTCGTCTCTGACTAGTTACGTCTAAATCCTGCGGCTTTCAATCAAAAACAACGCAAGAACAGACAGCACAAACACAACATCATAATAATTTCCAGTGTATTAAAATACCCGAGTCGACCGTGAGTCATTTTTAGGCTAAGCATCCGGCGGTAAATATTGAATCATTATTTGTGCGATAAATTCAGATGAAAAACTAATATCGTAGTAGACATATTATTATACTACAACCGTTTTTTATTCTTATTATTTTTTTAACAGAATCAGCCTAAAGGTGTTGACCGTTTTGTTGTCGTCTGTTCGACATCGTGGAGTTGCGCAAATCCAGGCCAAATAAAAACCATAAAACGAAAAAATTATTATTAGAATAATAAAAAGGTATTAAACGTTTTAATTAGATATTCTGGTCTTTGCTAAATGTCCGAGCGTTGCCGTGCAAAAATCCTTGACACGGATTGTAGGTTTATATTATATTATTGTATGCATAAAAAACAAATTAAACATAAAAAAACCAGTTAGCCGCCGTCGCTTGGGGGTATAAAATAAATACATACAAATAAATGCAGTGCGTGAAACGTGACCGGACTGAGAATGAAAATGATTATTATGGCGAAAATTGAATTGAAAACAAAAAATTGTATTTTAATCTAGTCATTAATAATATCAAAATGGGTTTTTT